GAGAAGATCGCCGCACAAGAAAAGGCAGCAGCAGCACAGAAGAAGGCTGATGCTGAAAAGAAGCGTGTCGAGGAAGAGCTCCGTCGTCGCGAGGACGAGCGTCTCCAGCGCGTCAAGGAAGAGATCCAGCGTGATCAGGCTAAGCGTATTGCTGAGGAAATCAGTCTCAAGACCGGTCTTGAGCTGAAGCCCGAGGAAATCGAGGGTTCTGACGTCAAGGCTCTTCTCGATCTTAAGGTCTCCAGACTTCAGACTGAGCAGCGCGAGATGAATGACCGTCTCAAGAGCATTAACAAGCGTCTTGATCATACTGAGCGTGCCTTCCGCAAGGAAGAGATTCCCCTGCTCCACAAGGATTACGAGAAGCAGCAGAAGGCTGATCTGGCCTACTATGAGGCTGCTCGCAAGGCCGAGCTTATTGCTGCCAAGACACAACATGCAAAGGGTATGGAACTCAAGAAGCGTCTCAACCGCATTTTGGGTGATTACACGACATACAAGCAGAGGCTCGAGTCCGAACATAGAGAGGCTATCGATGCCCAGCGTCGTGAGATCGAAGCTATTATCGAAAAGGAGAAGAAGGAAAGAATTGCCCTTTACCGCGCTACAAAGGAGGAGATCGCTAAGGCTCGCAAGGCTGAAGAGGCTGAGCGTCTTAGAAGAGAAGAAGAGGAGGAGAGACTTCGTGCTGAAAATGAAAAGAAGGAGGCCGAGAAGCAGGCCCGTCTTGCCAAGGCTAGAGAGGAGGAGGAAGAGTTTGCCAAGAAGCGCGATGAGATTGCTCGCAAACAGGCTGAAAAGGAAGCTGAGATTGAGCGTAAATTGGCCTCCAAGCCTGTTGGAGCCACATACGTTTCTCCTGGTGCAAGAGGTTCCGGTTCGCCTCTTCCCAGAAGTGGTGGAGCATATGTACCACCATCTCGCAGAACTACTGGCCAGACTGCTAGCTCCGAGGCACCCAAAGAAGATGTCTGGCGCCGTGGAGGTTCCCGTCCTTCTGGTGATTCTGGCTCTGGGTCTGGCTCTGGCGCTGGTTCCGGTTCGCCTCTTCCCAGAAGTGGTGGAGCCTATGTGCCACCATCTCGCAGAACTGCCGGTCAATCCGCTGGTTCCGATGCACCTAGAGAAGATGTCTGGCGCCGTAGAGGTCAATAAGTGGAAGTTTATGTGTAGGTAAGACCACATACTTTAAAAAGCCTACACGCGCCACTTGACTTTACAGACTAAGGAATAAAGCATTTTTATAATAATTCACAACAAAACATTCATTTCATTCAAAACCAAAATACATGACCGATCATTAATACTAAATTCAGCGATATTAAGTGATTTTTCTTGAAGTGGGAGGAGGGAACCAAGTAAAGGGGGTTGTTGTTGTTTTTTTCTTTCTTTCTTTCTTAAAAAGGGAGTGGTATTCACCAAACCAAGAAGCTTTGGTTAGATAAAAAAAATGGCATTGTAAGTAAAGCAAGAAAAAGAAAATGGAATGATACGGATTATGTTCTACGATGTTGGGTGTACCTGATTCAAATGGTTTTTGGATTTAATCCGAGGGCATCCTTTTTTTTTTTAAAAAAAAAAGAAAAGGTTGCTACTGTCGTATAGGTACAAGGGGTATTTTTGTTGTTGTTTTGTTTTATTATTTCTCAAGTACCTTGATAAGGATTGTCATAAAAAGACTGAGAAAGCCATATGAAGGGATAGACAAGGGATTATTAAGGGGATATATATATATATATTAGAATTGCCAATAGAATTATTATCCATTCTTCAGGAAAAAAAAGTATCTGCAGGGAAGACCAAAAGGAAAATTAGGAAACGCCCCTGTTCATTTTACATGAGCTACAAAGATGATCTTACTACCCCCTTTGGTTACTTCAAGATCTCATCAGGGGAATGATATACTTGACTCAATGATGATACACAATAGATAAAGAAAGCACAGAGAGAATCTAGTCCAGACCCAAGATGGAGATATATACATACAAACATATGTATACATGTATTTATTTAAAATTAACGAAAAGGCGCGAAATATTAGATTTTTTTTAATTCCTTTTATATATATATATATATATATATATATATATTATCTTTATTATACTTATTTGATCAGAATTTCTATTCACAATACTATCACTGCAAAATAAATAAATGAGCAAGCAAATAGCCAAGAGTCTTTTGTGAAAAAAAGAAGAAGGAAAAGAAGGCATGTGTAGGTACATCTTGTGAATTTACAAACATATTTGAGGATTTCTTGAACAGTGAAATTTAGAGCTAGGCATGTGTATAAATAACATTTCTAATGATTTATTACACTGATCTTGCTCTCTCTTTTTTTTGTTATAATTAATAAACCATAAAATTCACTATATATATATACACAAATTTGCATGTCAAAGGCGAGAAATGATATTCGACTGTCAGAATTTCTCCCTTTATTAATTTTGAATGGTTTGGATTTCATGATATCTTGACAGTTGTCGCTTGGTTAGTTGTATAAACGCAATAAACCAAATGCCGGAATTTATCAGTGAAAAACAACAAAAAAGAGAAATAATCAGAATTGAAATACCCAAGTATCCTGACGAAATGAATAGGCTTTAATGGCTCCAAAACGAGAACCAATATACTTCTTAGGTATTGAAAAGGTGAAAATGAAAAGCTGTAGGCTGCCTTTCAAATATACTCAGTCTCCTTTAACACCACAGACCCGGTATCATAATTAGACTGCACTTTAGACCCCAAATAAACAAATAGATAGACTTTTTCCAATACATACACACAAGTGTCTAAAGCAAAACGGAGAATTTTAGGGACGAATGGATTATATCAAATGGCATAAAAAGAGTGCTTTCTTTCTCGAAAAGTAGTCAACATATACATGAATAAGGGTAAATCCATACCAGCAGAAAATATGTGTTATAAAGACAAGTTGCATTAATCAAGAATTGAAGCAAGTATAAAATAAGATAAACCGATGGATCTAGAAAGCGTATAACTTTAGTCATAATATTTCTTGTTGACAATGGACAACTCTTGTATCTATTTCATTCTTCTTCACCCCCTCCCCTCTCCTCCTTTCAAGAACCTCCGAATAAACTCCATATTCTCGACATCTGTCATATACAAACTACACACACAACAAAAGCATTTCTATATATATATATGTGTGTGTGTATGTATAAAATCTCCTGCTTTTTTGGTTTACTACTATATTCATCTTAATCAGTTAATGAAAAAATAAAATAAAATATCTTTGATTTTGATATCTTGAAATCTCCCCTTCTTTTTCGTTTGTCTTATCAACCGGACATAACAGTTAGCTATATTGTCTTTGTGCAAGGTAAAATAAAATGCAGGAGGCCCTAAGATCTGACTTGGTGAAATACAATTTACAGTGTGTCCGACTGTAGGTAGAATCGCTTTTGGGATTTTTTTTTATATATTTTATTTTGGTATTCATTTATTTGCAAGTAATACCAACTCCTATATCCCAATTTTTTGTCCTTCATTTCCTCTCTTTATTTTCTCGCTCATTATATTCATTAAAGTTCTGCTATATGAGCTCCAAATGTGCTTACCTGATTTAGATACACACGCTGTTAGATACCCTGTCTGTAGATAAAAACAAATGTAAAGGGTGAAGGGTGTGGGAGCTAACCTATCCGTTGGTCCTCCGGGAACAAATCTTTCAAAAGGAAGCAAGGGCCGGTGGTTAGAGAGGTTGTGATCTACTTAATAAAGTCGCCATGTTAACCAAAAAGGCCGGTATAGGAATGAAACCTGTGAATGGTCGGAAAAGTACAGCATTATAAGCTTGAATACATAGTACTTGCTTTACCCTTGTAACCTTGAGATGAACCTGAGAAGCATATCTTTTTTCTTTTTTCATTCAACAATTGCCACCCTATTTTCTCCTAACTTTTCCACACACATACAACCCCTTTTTGGGAACCTCTTTATGAGGATGAGGTTGTCGTCGAATGGGATGTCTCCCCGCTCTACTTCATCATAACCGAATCGACATTCCCCCCAAGCGAAGACCATCGCTCCCAGCAAGACAAAAACAAAAAAAAAGAAAAAGAAAAGAAAAGAAATGCCCCCCTCCTCCTTCCTCCGATCCTTAGCCTTTAACCCCCAGATCCCTCCTTTCTATTCTTTCTCTTTTACTTTCTACAGTTCCCTTGTTATTTCTAACATTAGCATTCCTTTCTTGCATAGTAATCACCCTTTCGTCTTTATACATTTTTTATTTTTATATTTATATTTATACATCTATATCTTTTGGTATTTTCCTGACTATTTCCAAGCTGCATTTTTGTTTTTGTTATTTGTGCAGTCTCTATATACTCGTGGTTCACTGATCTCCTCATAAATCCACCTGATAATATCTATCTTTCATATTCTTTTTTGCTTCTCATAAATCAAACTATGAATTATACGTTTCTTTCGATCTTTCAACTGCTATTATAGCTATTTATACCATACTTACTCCTTTACTTAAACCTAGAAAAAAAAAGCTCCCCCCCTCCATTTAAGATACATTCTTCCTTCATACAACCGACTAGATACAACAGCGTGCTCTATATATAGGCATATAATATTCCTACCCTGTATACTCGTAACTCCTCTTGTACCCTTTTTTTTACATTTTACTCAAACTTACATACATATACATATACATATATATATATATATATATATATATATATATATATATGTGCACAATTACACCTACACACGATAACGAAGACTAGATATATTTATACCTCGTTTCATATGCAAAGCATATCAAAGGCTTATCCAGAAATAATATTTATGAAATCTACGTCCACAATATTCATTCTATCCTGTCAGTAAACCAACCCATCACATCCACACTTTTTATTATAATTATCATAACAGATAAACAAGATCAACGCGCCATTTTCAAATAAAAGCACCGTCAACAACAATAACAACAATAAAAATCCCAAGAAAAACAACAATAACATATAATGCAATCAACTACTTATCACGACAATCTTAACAACGACATAAGCTGCTACTGCGATGATATGAACTGTCGAAAACAATGCCAAGATAGTCCAGAAAGTGCTAACTCGGTCTACCCGATACCTTTCTCGAACTACACCCATCCAAACGAATGGCAGCCTCGGTTTCTTGCTGCTGCATCACCTTATTCGCCATATACGCCCGAAGCCCATCTTTATGGATATCCGGTATATGAAGAAGGATCTGCACTCGAGTACGGGTCGGGTGATTGCGATAACATTTATGCTCCAGTGTGCGACTGCGATCAACACAACCTTCATTCTTCTAGAGAGTCTCTGTTCGGAGGTGCGAATGAATCAGAACTTCCTCACCGCCATCACCATGACCATCATGAACACCACCACCAGAATGTCTTCAGACCGGCTTTTTATGATCCATTTGAAATCAAGCATCGCAGACGGACATCACGCTCTCAGTTCAAGATGCTCGAAAAGACTTTCTCGGAGACTCCCAAACCCAATGGACCACTTCGTCGCTGGCTTGCTCAGCAACTCTCCATGACTCCTCGCGGTGTTCAGGTCTGGTTCCAGAACCGCCGTGCAAAGGCTAAGCTTCAGAAACAACAGCAGGACCGTCGACACCACCTGAGAAGTACTAGCCATGTGTCCAGAGAGCAAAGCAAAACAGAATCTCACCATGTGTTCTCACCACCCTATGCCGTGCCCCTTAAAAGGGAACACAGTGGAGCATCGCACTTGACTATTTCAGTATCTTCATCCATCAATGATCTCTCGCACTATTCGCCATCAAGAGGTTCTCCTGTCGGTGCCGAAGGTCAGGGCTATCTGCCCTCTCAATCGGCCTACACTCCACCCCAGAGCTCAATTGAAAGACCCTTGTCTCTGCAACCCTACAGTGACTGTGCGACAATCATTGGTGATGATGATGAAGAAGATGATGAGGAATACAGTGTGCACGGAAAGAATGGTGATGGTTTATTTGAGAATCAGCAACTATTGATGACCCCATTGACACCCTATCAGCCATCTTGCTATGTTGATGTCTTTAACACTCAACCACAGCAAGATTTGGTAGGAGGAGTAGTGTCTTTGTCGACAGTAATGGATCAGCCTTTGATACTATCAACATTGTCTGACTCCCAGAAACACAAACACCTTGATCAACCCCTGGACCTGTCAAGCTTTGAGTATCCTGTTCAGGATCAGGAATTGTTCGGGGAGCAGACTAACCCTTCAGATCCACTTGTCTACATCAACAGTCTTTTCAATGAGACCCATCTCGGTGAAACTGCCAAAGCCAATGAATACTACGGTGCGAATTCGATTGATAGCTGGATCCAGACCCTTCCAGCCCAAGCATCTTCTGGTAGTGATGTCCGTCCCGATAGTGTGTGGAATAGTCAATCAGGAGCAATGCCATTTCTCGACACATCGTTCCAGCCACAGCGCAGTTTTGATTCCTTGCCAGTCGAGAGACGGCATTCACATCCTGTCCACAGCAAGATTTTTAATGAAGAAGAGGTAAAGCTTAACAATTTCTTGACTTTCTTATGTCTTTTGATCTAATTTGTTGTTATTATTCTTAGACTCTACGTAGATTATCTGAGCCTATTGTTGACTGGATCAATCATCTTCAACCATACAATCCCGTGACAGGCGTCTCTAATGTCCTTTCCTAAATTAACAAACCAAAATTATCAACACAGTGATTCCACTTCTTTGCCCAAATCAACATTTTTATTTTATTTTTTATTTCATTTTTCCAATTATTTATTTATATTCTATATGTCTTTCCTATGCTAAACTAAAATACTTGCCTAAACACCCAAGATCATTCCTACTGTTTTATTTATTTATTTATTTATTTATTTTCTTCTGCTTATTTTCTTCCTCTTCATGATTTCTTGTTCATATTGTTCATATTGTTTAATTTTTTTTTTATATATTTTCTATGCACTATTATCATTTCAATCTACCCACAACATTTATCTCCCTTCAACCCAACCCAACCCAAACCCATATGCTCGATTGGCCAGTCTGTTCATATGTCAAAACCAAAACCACTTTTTTTTTCTTTACATTTTCTTTATATTTTTTTTATTGATAGCATTCTTACTATTACCATTACCATTATCTGATCTATACATTTAAAACTTTTCTTATTTTTTTAATAATAAAAAAACTCGCTCTCTCTCTCTACTCTTCCTCCTCCCCTTTCTCTTCTTCTTCTTTATATAACACTTTACTGCTTATTTCGTTGGTCGATTCAACAATAAATCAATAAATCAATAAATAAAATACTCCTTGCATTCTTGACACTTCGTCAATACCATCGGCCAATAGACTTGGCTCTAGATTGTACATATAAATATAAATATAAATATGTTTGTGTATGTGGATACTATTTCTGTTCTTAATCATTTTTCTTCTCCTTATTTTATTCTTTCCTTTTGTCCCTCTATCCCTCGAAATTTTCCCAAAGCAATCTAACCGCGTGTAAATTATTCACTAAACTTTCTCCTTTATTTTATTTTCTTTGTGATCTTGTGAAAATTAAGCTTAAAGGGATAGTTATTTACTTGTTCATTTCTGGTGTATTCACCCAATAATTAGATAATTAGATATTTTACCGCCAAGTTCATTTATTATATGAATATCCTTGCCGCCAAACTTTACAAACAAAAATAAATTTATAAGCGGTTTTGAAACACAAAGATCGATAAACCAAGTAAAATCCCAAAAAAAAATCAACAGCACAACAAACTAAACCTACTAATATTATCTTATTATCAACTTTTTTCATAGAAAAGAAATAAAACAGTTTCAATTTTATTTTGTGTAAAACAATATTGGTTTTTCATATCAACAAATTTCAAATATTTTTTTTCTTATTCTTCTGGTTCAATACCGTACAATTTTCATATGAAAAGAAGAAAGAAAGTATACAGAAAGATTCCAATGATGGCCTTTTTTTTCTTGTCCTCACTTATTGGCGTTTTTGTCAGCAGCACTTTGGGCTCTGCTCTTGAAGTCTTGGTTGATCCCAGTTCTGTCAGAATGAGATTGGATACGAGCTGCATCTTTTGGGGTCATTTGGGATTTGGCTCCTCCAGACTTATGGGTGCCTCCGGATTTTTGAGCCTGTTTATATACAAATACAAATAAATATGTTAGTGAGTGATAGAGTGAGGGCTGGAATGTAAAGTGATATTGTGATATAAAGTAATACAGTACGTGTGGATTGTTAGACATTTTAGTGATGAGAAAGAAAAGTGTTTGATGATCTTGAATGTCTTTTATATGTTTTTTTTTGTAACTTCTTTCAATTGAATACTTGATGATTTATTGATCTTTGTTTTAAAGGGAAAAAAATCATGCGTCTATCTTGATTTATCTGTATTGGTTTCTCTTCTTAGATCTGGCGTCTATAAGCAAAATATTATCTTTTATCTTTATTATAAGATCATGACACAATTAAATCAATAAACATATAGGTCTTGCTTTATATATAAAAAGCTATTAGAAATACAGGTCTGGAGGCGTAAAATGTTTTGGTGATGCATAAACAACCTTGTTAGGAAAAAATAGCGGCGCCATGGTGGGAAGGAAAGGATGCTGGTGGGTGTGGTTTGTATTGTGTGTGGTAGAGGTAGCTCTCATCATGGGTGGAGTGAATGTTGAATACGTTTGTTGTACTGGTTGCGTTTGTGGTGCTGTTTGTACTGTATTCCATACGTGTGTTGGCATTATTATCTGTGGTGGTGGTAATGGACGTTGTTTCTGTTGTGACTTTGACACCTTTTGAGCCTTGACAGAATCGACCTTTTTGACAATCTTCTCCCGGGTTGTTTCCTTTTTTACTGCTTCTTTTCTTTGCACCTTGGCAGTAACGGGATTTTGGCTGGAAACGGGATCCCTGGACTTTTTGGCACAAGATACACTGGACTGAGTCTTGTTCCGTTTGCTGGCCTGGGACTTGATTTTATTATCTGCTCGACGTTTGGCCACCTTTTGGAATACTAAAGGTTCGTCCTGAAAAAAATATAACAAAATATAAGCATATCCAGTGCCAGTTCCATCTTTCTTTCAATTTTTTTTGGGGGACTTCTTCTTCTTTTAATTATCTCTCACGCCCATATTTATTTATTTATTAATTAATTAATTGATTGATTGATTACTTGTTTGTTGGCTCTTTGGCTTTGATGACGTTCGAGTCTTTCTTGTTCGCTTTCGGTCAACTCCTTACGGTAATTACTGTAAGACACATTGTCTGTCAAACGCAAATCGTGAAATGAATCGATCGGATAATAATATAGATATGAATACAAATACAAATGTACCGAATAACATCATGATCATGAGTCCAGTGTAAGGGTAACCAATTCAACAACGCATCTTGTTAGTATTTGGTGTTACCTGGCAATGGATTGACTACAATCCCTGTCTCTCGCAACCTGTCCAAAAATAGTTCATCTTCTGGACCTACCAAGTTCAGGGCGATTCCTGATGTGCCTGTGATGGGATAGTTATAATGGTGTTTAATATACACACCTTTTTTTTTTTGCTTGATAAAAACGTATGAGTTTTGGGTTTATAAGCATGTATTGTTTACCAAAACGTCCTGTTCTTCCTACACGGTGAAGATAGGTTTCTATTTCCCACGGATAATCAATGTTGACCACCAGGTTGACCCGATCAATATCTATTCCACGTGCAATCTAAACAAGTATTTTTTATTTGAGTTTCTTCTTTTTTTTGGCACAAAATAGAAATTGGTCAAGTCGATCCTTGGACTTACCAAGTCGCTGCACACGAGAACCCGTAATTTGAAATCACGCATATTTTCCATGACAGAAATACGCTGCTCTTGAGATAAACTACTGCTAATGTGTCCTGACTTCCACCCCATTTCAGTCAACCAACCAGAAAGTTCAATAGCCCTTTTGAAATAAAGAGAGAGAGAGAGAGAGGTTACTTAACAAGAAACAAAACAAAAACAAAAACTACTTTGGGTCTTTGTATGTTTCTCACCTTGGAACACTGTTAACAAAAATCATGGCCTGGTAAAATGGGATTTTGCTGAGTACATCACCCACTGCCTCAAATTTGGCCTCATACGACCTAAGGATAGCTAATGCTTCGTTTTGGGATATTTCCTTGGGGATAATGACTTGTTTGTAATATTGTTGAACCTCTGAAAAAAAAATGTGTAAATATGAGTATCCGCTTTAAAAAACGAGTACTATATTTTAATTTTTATTTATTTATTTATTTATTTATTTTGCTTACCATCCAAAGTAGGCACAGTTTCGGTTAAGCGCACCTTTTGGGGAGACTTCATTAGAGTTCCAAGTGATTCGAGTAGGTTGTCTGTAAATGTGGCAGAGAATGCAATACATTGTTTTGTAGCAGGCAATTTACGAAATATGAAGCTTCAAAGATAATATAGATTATTGTTATCATTATTAGTATTTTTAAATAAAAAATGAATATGAATATGAATATGAAAATGAAAATGAAAATGAAAATGAAATTATCAGTCATTTATTCTGTGCTCTCTATAAAAGAAGAAAGTACCAGGTTAACTTACTTGATTTGGGGTTGAAATGCCTCGCTCATCAATTTGTCAGCTTCGTCAAGTACCATGAGTTTAATTGTCTTTGGGTTGAGTCGCTTAGAGTCCAACAAGGCCATTAACCTGCCTAAGCGTACACCGAACACAGAATATATTGAATTATATTTAATGTTAATATTAATATTAATATTAACATTAATATTAGCATCATCATTATAAATATCATTATAATTAATTTTAAATATATAGAAAAGGAAGAAAAATGAGGCAGAAAAAAATTTAGGCTTACCTGGTGTTCCTACAAGCACTTGGCTATTCTTTAGCTTTGTGTAATCTCCTTGAGTGGAAAGTCCACCGATGAGGGCTTCACACTGGAATCCTTCAATATATTTTCCTAGATTTCGCAATACATCTCGAATCTGGATGGCGATCTCGCGCGTCGGGGCTACGATAAGAGCCTGAAGGATAACTGATTTTAGATACGCAAACGCACATACGCATATATACACATACACACCCGTACACAAAATCATACCTACCCACTCACACCCACACCCACATAAAAGAAAGACTATATTCACTCATTTATTCAAAAAATAAAATAAAAGAAAAATTCAAAAGAAACTATTTGCTTTATTATTATCAGTATTAAAAGTATTATTTACTTGGGGTTGTGGTATCAGAGGATTGATAGACTCCAGTGCAATTACACCAAACACTACTGTCTTTCCTGTGCCTGACTTGGCTTGAGCCACCAAGTCTACTCCGAGGCGCCCCAAAGGAATAGCCTGAAGTTGAATAGGCGAGGGTCGTGCATAACCCGAATGTTCTAGTCCGCGAAGAAGTTGTTCATTCTGAATAAGAGTGCTAAAGTCAATGTCTTGATCGACAAATACATCTCGAGATCTCTCCATTGCTGTGAAATCAATACTAAATAATAAATTTTCCTAATTACAGAATATATTTTTATATATCTTTATATATCTTTTCTATATATATATATAATAAATATATTTATAGAAAAGACTGTCTCTTGGCTTCTACAAAATAAAAGGAGTCCACACTCAGCCACTGAGAGTAGGTTTCTGGCTGTTTTGGCTTGCATTTTTGTGACGCCGATTTCCTTTTTAGGAAGAAATAAAAAGTCAAAAAAAAGGGGGAGAAAAAAAGAGAGAGAGAGAGAAAGCGGCAAGTTAAATATTTTTTTTTATATATTTTTTAAGAAAAAATAATAATAATAATATACACCACATACACACACATCAACAATGGGAAGGTACAAAATACAGAATGGATAATTGCAGCCATGGATTCCAAAAAAGTATCAAGTATACTTAAACAACGACATTGTACACTAGACTTCGACGATCGCGCACTCATCACAGCATTCGTGACAATTATCGCAAATATCGTACTCGTAATTACACTCGAGATCTTGATCAGATCCACGATGACATTAAGCCTGAAAATGCTGACAAGTTGAAGAATCAGGAAGAGGATCCTGACAAGCCAGGATTAGGACAGAACTATTGTATCGAGTGCGCGTAAGTAAAACAGACAGAAGAATAAGGGAAAAGAGAGAGAAAAGAAGAAGAGTGGTAGTAGATCTACTACAACTACTATTCTTTTTGTATTCTATATATGATTTGGGATAATATTGAATTTGATAAAAGGTTGTTTTTATCTCTACTATTATCATTGATTTAATCCCATTGTTATTATTATTATTGGTTCTAGTCGTCATTTTGTTACTTCCGATGCATTAACGGTTCACCTCAAGGGCAAGCTTCACAAGCGACGAGTAAAGAAGGTCCAGGAAGAACCTTATACTCAAGCAGAGGTAAGAGCAATAAATAGATATATGTGTATGCATATAATTTATTAGCTGTTGGTTTTTACTAAACAATTATACTAATGACCTTTTACTACTATTTCAAAAAAAAATCAAGGCCAATGCTGCTGCAGGAATGAGTGGGACAGACAATGGCAAGAGAGGTGGTCGTTCTTTGACTGATTCAAAGGTGGAAGATGTAAAAATGGACGATGTTAAGATGGAACTATAGAGAGTTGAAATATATATATATATTATATATTAAAAAGCGAGTGTGTGTGAAAAAGTGATTAATGTGTATATATATTTTTATATATATATATTTGTATATGTTATTTTTTTTTTGTAAGAAATGAAATGAAATGAAATAAAATAAAATAAAAATAGAGAAAATATTATAGAAGTGTGTTTGTATGTCTGTGCTTACATCTGTGCGTGCGTGTGTCTCAAAGTGTGTCTCCAAGTGTGTCTCCAAGTGTGTCTCTTTCTGTCGATATGTTTCCCTGTTTGTGTGTAACTAGGGATAGTGTAGTCAAAATGTTAAGCCCGAGTTCCGAAGCGATCTTGAACGTGGTGGTGTACCCACGAGATTCTGTCTTTTCAAATGAGAATGTGATTGGCTGGTGCCTTGCAACACATGTATAGATTATAAGCCATTCAGCTTTCACTTGTCACTCTTCCTTGTTTAGAGTATCTGCTTCCCTCTTTCCCTCTCTCTTTCCCTCTCTCTTTCTTTTACTCTTTTCTACTACTACTACTTATTATTATTCTTCTTCTTCTTCTTTCATTTATTTTCTTCTCTTTGTATTCTTATTATCTTGATTTCCTTTTATCCTTTTCACGACAACCATTTCTTGTCTGCCTCATTTAGCTTCCTTTTTTTACATTGTTTTCTATTGAGGCAGTCTTATCTGTTAGGATTGCTCATGACAAATGCATTGTGTGATTTAGCATCTCATTCCCCAACCACCTCTACCTCATCAGACAAACCAAGTAGACTCAAGCGTTTCTCGCGCTGGACACAGTCTATTTCTCTACTCAATAAGCTCAGACGACCAAAACCCAAGCCAGATATCCGACGTCAGAGTAGCACCCAGGTCAGACAGGTCGATGCCGAGTTGCCGAGACGATTGTCGTACAGTAGCAAAAGTAAGCCGCATCCTCCCCCTCCTGAAGATGACGACCAGACCCTGGAACAGCCGACTATAGATAGACTGTATGAATCACCTACAAAGGTGCTTCCAACGCTGTCATCACTATCGCCTCCACCACGGCACACGATGTCAAGGAAGAATCGTATCCAGAGTATGCAGCTCGGCGACCTAGCAACCGTCCATGTGGCTGTGCCTATCCAACGTCCGCGCACCATGGCCAGCCGACCTTGTGTACTCAGACTGTCCCTAGACGTGGAACAGCACTCCACACTCTCTCACGCATCAACCTTGTCCAATGATAGCGAGGACAGGTCAAGTACATACACCAGCCAAAGCGTCTCTAGACCTGGACTTGGCAGCAACCGCAGGTCGGATCCAATGACGCCCTTTCGTAGCGGAACTCTCGGTAGCATCAGACAATCCGATCTCAGCAATCATAACGACTTTTTCGTCAATAGAGCGAGCAGCCGTCTTTCGCTTATCGAACGCCGCAGACGCCGCTCTCCTCAGACGGTTCCCGATGATGGCCGGCTCTTGCTGGCCCTCAGCGATCACTCTTCTGTGACTGATGTGGCCTGGCAAGAGAGAGGACTGATCTCATTCGACCGAGATGTTTCTCGACAGGAAGCCATGCTTGCTCTGGAAGGAAGACGGACATCCGATACCACCATTTCATCATTTGGACGCGACAAACCATCCTACGACAATGACTTTTCAATCAATGACACAAGTCTCCGCCGTAGATCTACACTAGACGAGCAGGAAGTCGTACGAAGACACCTGCTCGAAGACACCAGCCTTCATATCATTCCCGAAAATACCAACACACCCCCATCGTCAGCAAACCTCAAGGCGCGCACTCCATCGCTCATCTACTTTCCTTCTTCACCGAGTTCTATTGGGTCCATTGAGCACGACAATCACGATTGAACCGAGTACTTACTCTCTTTATTTTACACATACAAAAAAAATTAGCACATACACACATACATATAAATCCCAAACACAACCCCCCTTCCAACCCTCAGATACAAAGTCAAAGTCAAATTCAAATATACGCTTCTTCTTTTTTTTTCTTCTTTCTCTTTATACCCTCTCATTCATGGCTGTCTGGCACTGTCACTTCTCTTACATTTCTTATTCCCCTTCTTTTATTTCACTTTCTTCTTTTTTCTGGTCTTGCTGGCACGACAGAGTTTTTATTTCTTTCTTTCTATACACATTCTACATTTCTTTTCTTCTTCTTCTAATAAACCAAAATCACTTGCACGAATTCAAAGAATTGACTTTATATTTTATTTATGATTTATGATTTAAGATTTAAGATTTATGAATGTGAAAATAGTAATAGTAATAGTATTGTTATTATTATTATTATGGGGTTTCTATCTATAAAGCAAACATAATGTGCGTGTTTTTTTTTCTAATCTATTTTGTCCCACCTCGTTCAAGGTATTCTTGTTTATATGTCTTGAAACTCTCCACAATTTCCTCAGGCGTTTTGTCTCTGGCGTAACAGTCTACAAACTCACCCTGAGGATCCATCAAATAAAAGAAGATTGAATGATCGACCAGATAATCATCCTCTTCATCTGGAATTGATATATAGACTCTATACGACTTGGCCACCCTTTTGATCGTGTCGATGTCTCCGGTCAATCCCACCATGGCTGGATGAAAATCTTTGACATACTCTCTGACAATCGCAGGTGTGTCTCGTCGAGGATCACAGGTAATAAAAACCGGTACGACAGGCAAGTCTTCCTTTTTGCTTCCGGGAATCTTTTCTTCTGATGCTGTGGTGTAGATATGGGTATAGGTATAGGTATATTATAACACACACACACACACATATATATATATATATATATTCTATCTTGTATTTCTTACCTAGGATATCAACAACATCAGACATCTTGTCGAGTTCTTCGGGACAGATATCAGGACAATGCGTAAACCCAAAATAGATCAAGTGGAATTGGCCATGAAGATCAGTGTCCTTGAATGGCTTTTCGGTGGCAGCATTAATCAATGTGAATGGACCGCCAATGTTTGGTTTTCCAAAAGATCGATTGGCTTCATACTCCTTCTTTTTACCTGTTTGTTTTTGTGGGTGTGTTTTTGAAGGTGTCGGTTGAACAAAATATAAGCTGAATTTGATCTAATCTTTGTGTACGTGTAATTTATAGGTAGAATATATATAATATACATATAAATTTATATATTTATCTTACGTTCTTTTGTCACGCGTTCTTTTTCATTCTTGAAATACACTGCCAGACCCACGCCAGTAGCCACAAATAGCCCAGCTGCTTTCCAAGTGAATCTCTGCCCAGAAAACATTTATATTTATATTTATATTTATTTATTTATTTATTTATTTATTTATTTATTTATCAATGCAATGCAATTCAATGCAATGTAATCCAATCCAATCCAATTTAATATTATTTAATATATAAATATATATACATTTGTATAATGTAAAAATAATATTCTAACCTTTGGTTCGTGTGGGCTTTGGTTATTAGTAGCAGCAGTAGATAACCATCTAGGCTGAGCACAATTGTGCAAACCAAACATAGGGCGAACCTATAATGATTTTTAACACAAATTTATATATTTATTTATATACATATATATATATATATTGTGTGTGTGTGTGGGTACATATTAATAAAGAAAAAATAAAAAAAAAATAAAAAAAATTCAATACACAGATATATATATATTGGAATTATCTAAAAGAGACTTGCTCTGGTAGTTGGTCTCAGGAATCGACTCAACATTAGGTATAACAGTCGACGCAAGAAAAAGAAAGAAAGAAAGAAGGAAGCAAGAAACAAAAGAGAGAGAGAGAGAGACATGTCAAAAGAGTAGTCACATATATAATTTGAAGGCAGAGAGAGAGAGAGACAGCGAGAGAGGGAGAAAAAAGGGAGAGAGGTAGAAAGTTTTTGAAGATTAAAAAGAAAAGAGCAGGAAACTAGGCCACCAACGTCAGCAGCTGATTCAAAAAAAAATCAAAATAAATAGAAATAAAATAACATCAAAAAAATATACACAAATCCAAGGCATTTTAATCTCCACATCTCTTTCTCTCTTTCTATCTTTCTCTCACACACGTACACACATAAATTATATCTACATCAAAATGGCAGACGCAGGAAAACCCGAGAAGAAGGAAGGAGCTGCTGTGAATGAGCACATTAACCTCAAGGTGGTTGGAAGTGTAAGTTAAACCACAAAAGAGAATCAAACAGTAAATGTAATGTGACCAATGTTTAATCCATCCACTTCAATCAACAGGATAAGAGCGAAGTATTCTTCAAGATTAAGAGAGCCACTCCTTTGAAGAAATTGATGGACGCGTATCTTGATAGACAAGGAAAGGCCCCTGGCTCAGTAAGATTCTTGTATGATGGCAGCCGTGTCCTCCCAGAGAACACACCTGAACAGGTAATATCCAAACCTCCAATATTATTAGTGGTAGATTGAGTAGTCTACAAAGATAACCCACCTTGGGAATTATATGCTGATCTCTGTTTATATTATTTTCTGTGTGTGTGTGTGTGTATTTAGCTTGATATGGATGATGGTGATTGCATTGATGTTTGGGTTGAGCAGTTGGGTGGTTGTCTTTAAGTACAATAGGAAGACCACTATGTATTTATCACTCCCCAAACCAAACCAAATCAAACCAAAAAGGAATTAACTCTACAGACCTACACACTTAAACACACGTCCACACCCACATCTACAAACAACAACAACAACAAGAAGAAGAAGTAGTAGTAGAAGAAGAAGAAGAAGAAGAAGAAGAGGCTCTCTCTGTCTATCTGTCTGCCTGTCTTTTTTTTCATTTTTCTCTTTCTATCTATCACAAATTTATATATATTTATATTTATATTTATATTTATATTATATTTTATATATTACAATATTGAATACAAAGCGCTCGCACACACCACTCACTCACTCACTCACTCACTCACTACACACATATTTATACATTACACAAACAATATTCTACACCATTTCACACCATTTCACACTACACATTTTCAAATCATGTTTATGTTTCTCTTACTGATTCTGTATTTTCATTATCTTCAAGAGTAAAGAAAAAGAAAAATTGATACTAAAATTCCGTAATTAAATAACTCACTTTCTATATATATATTATATATAGGTGTGTGTGTGTGTGCTTCCACTGACTTGCTTTAATTTTAATTGGTGTATCTTTTCGTGTTTATTTCCACTGCATACAACTGAGATCTTGGGGCTTCAATATCCAATTATTTCCCTCTCTCTCTCTCTCTCTTTGTCTTTGTCTTTCACTATTACTATTACTATTACTATTACTATTACTATTTTGCTCCCTTTTCATTTGCTCTCTAACCGTGTCACCTTCCGTGAAAGGGATGTACTGAGATCCAAACTCTCTTTTTTTTCCCTTCTTCTTTCTTTCACCAAAATATTCATCCCATCTCTCCCCTTTTCTCATATTATTTTATATAGATCCTCAATTATTACCTTATTCGTGAACACATCCTTGACAAAAAAAAACAGAGTAATAAAAAAAATATACACAGAGAGACAAAGAAACAATCAACCAACTAACAAAAAAAAATTAACCTCTTCTTCTTCTTCTTTAACTTCTTTAACTTTTTTTAACTTCTTTAAAGAAAAGGAACAAGGTACTTTTTTTTATCTCCTTCTCCTTCTCCCTTTCTCTCTCTCTCTCTCTCTATATATATATATGTGTGTGTGTGTGTGTGTATTAATCTTTGTATTAATCTTTATCTTTTCTTTGTTAAACATAGTTCTTTGACTAAGCAAAGAAATAATATACATATATAAAATACCGACCGAGTTCAAGGCACCCAATAATAATAATAATAATAATAATAATAATAATAATAATAATAATAACAACAACAATAAACAACCAAAAAAAAAATCAAATCAAATCAAATACAAAATACAAAATATTTTGTTTTTTGTTTTGAAATATAAATGGCAGAACATTCAGATTCATATGCTCTGCCTACAAAAGACAAACCAAAGGACTCGACATTCCCAACCGCGTCCAATTCAAAACAAGAAGATCTCAAGCCCATCCTTTCGAGATTAGTCTCTGAAGAATGGTTGCCAGCAACTCACCGTCAAAGACCCCGACTGAGCTATCTGAGGTCAGCCTGGGGATCTCAGGACTTGCGGGCCATCAAGGCAAAACGACCACTTTCAATAGAACTACCTCGAATAGACGCCTGGCCTACCACAACTGAAGATCTCTACAGCGGCCTAGAACAAGAAATAAACTGTCTGACCACAATAGGCCTGTCTTTATCTGTCATCGGCCCTTTGGCTGTCCTCGGCATTATTAGGCTTGACAACTTTATTTTTCAAATAGCCATCACCGCCCTGTTGATATTGATGTGCATCTGGTGGCTCATCATGTCAATTCTCTGGATACGCTCCCCTGCCAGTCTAGAAATATACCTCAAGTGGGCTACCCATAGCTCCCTTCTTAGCACAGCAATAACCATCTCGGCAATAATCCCCTGGCCTACTATATTCCATGCAACAAATACCTCTCTCTCAACAATAAAATCAGCATCTCTATCATCTCTATCATCAGCATTATCCTCCTCATCACCATCATCCTTGTTATCTTTATCATCATATCTATCATCTGCATCAATATCCTGGCTGCCGTGGTTGTGGACCCTGCCGCTCTACAAATTGGCCCCTGTGTTCACAGCTATGGCCGGGTCCACTTTTCTCTATCTTGCCATGCGCTTTGACTGGATCTCAAGTCAAACCGCCGCACGTCTCCGAATCCACTTGGAACAGGAACACGATCGTCTGCAGACCGTCGTATGCGATGCAGTCGAGGAGGAACTCTGCACCCGCCAGACATTCCTCTCTACAGTCGGTCAGGAGATCCAGGACGCCGCCTTGATGATCATCACGACCCTCGAGCAATTCTCACCAGCCAGTATTCTTTCAAACACCTATGAGCTATTGAGCGCATGCTCAATTGCAGTCCCGATCGCCAGTATATCGGCCATCAATACATCTGTCAAACAAGTCTGTCACGTTAGCTCCCACCTCGAACTTGTCGCCCGTCTCCTAAGAGAAGGCTCGACATCCTCAGCAGATGACAGTATCCAGAGTCTTGTCAGGCAGGAGTTTGATATCGGCGACATGGTGCAGAATGTTGGGGATGCCCTGGCAGGCATGGCGTCCAAGCTGGATGTCAAATTGGTGATCTATCATGCAGACAATGGCCTCCACCACACCCACGTGGTTGGCGATGAAGGTGCAATGCGCCATGCTCTCTTGGATGTAAGTCTTGCTTTTCATTTAAGAATTTATTTATTTAATTTTGTGTTTATTATACTTTATTAATATCCTTATCATTATCATTACAAGAGAACGTTACATTACATTACATTCCTTCTAAATAAATAAAGAATCTTGCTTTTATTCACTAAATTTTGTTATTAAAAAAAACAATTCACAGCTCCTTCACAATATCCTCGAGGGGTGTACCCCGGGCGCATGCATCGAACTCGGACTCAATATCACAACAACAGACACAGATCAATTCAAGATTGCTTTCGAGATCACTCACACGACCTCACCTGCAATTCCAGATGGCCTCACCACAGCTTGTTTACCAAACGCAAATTTGACTGCCCGTTTATTGCATTATATTGGGGCTAGTCTCTCTGTGGACGACATCAGCCAGAACAAAACACGTTTTGATGTCGTTCTTGAGATGGAAGCCGGGCACGAGGACCACAGCCACAAACCCCTGTTCCTTAGAAATGCATTCTCGGCCTCGCAGAAACACTACTCGGCAATCAAGTTCTCAAATGAACCTACGCTCAAGGAACTCTGTCGGTTTATCGAGAATCTGCGTGGCCTCAAAATCGTCTTGCACGCATCTGAGCAAAGCGTTTTCTCAAAACATCTGACAAGCTGTCTCGCAAGCTGGAACACAGACATCAGTCATGTTCCTATTGACTATTCCACCGAAGGAACCGAAGATGAATGGAGTCTGTCTGGAGTGTCTGGGGACGATATAACCCCTGGATCAGAAATCAGTCAGCGCTCGACAACAGCACCCACAACATCATTCTCGGGTACTGGTTATCTAGATTCGAATATTCACACGCCTCCATTACAACCCCAACCCCAACAACAACAACAGCAGCAGCAGCAGCAACAGCAACAGCAACAGCAACAATCATTATTATCAGCATCGGCATTATCAGCATCATCATCAGCATTACCAACATCATCATCAGCAGCAGCATTATCATCACCATCATTATCATCACTGCCGCCACAAGCACGTCCTACGCCACCAATCCCTACACCTGCAATCGAAGAAGAACATCTGCACTCCCTTCCGCCTGCATTTATCCTAATTGACGACGACATCCTCACCTTGGAACGCAAGCTGCACGATTTCCGTACCCAGCCTCCTGCATCGGCAAACACACTTCAGAATCACCAAAACATCCGCCGCCACAAACGCTCCAAGTCAAGCACGTATCACAATCCCAACCATCATAACCACCACCATTACCATCCTTCCCAGAACTTCTTCCATCAAGGCACGACTGCCATCATCCACTTTACGTCGCTGACAAACTACAAACGAGTCCGGGACTCTGTACAGTTCTTTTCGTCGTCCACACAGCAATTGCCGTTCTCCATGCCTCGGGTGGTCGTTGTGCCCAAACCGGCCGGACCACGACGCTTCCTGACGGCTCTGCACACAGCGTGGAACAACTCGGTAGTCGAGCCCCACTTTTTACCGATTGCCACCTCTCCTTCGAGCCCATGTCCGCCGACATTTGGAATGGTTGCGATGCAGAACAGCAATAACACCGGCGGCGGGTCTTCGCCCGTGACCAATCTCTATGATCCCGAACGCACTGGGCAGTTGAGGTCGTCTCCTGGAGAATCGAGTATCCGACGACGGCCGGGAAGTGGTCTATTCAGCCCTCCGCACATGGCAAGCGATTCTGGCGCACATGAGTCGAATTACTTTTTTGATTCTGGAGCCGTAGCTTCCAATAATATGAACATCAACGGTGCTGGGATGTCTGGTATTACTTCAAATGTGCCGCTGGGTGTACCTCTGGGATCACCTGTGCTGGGTGCCACACTATTGGGCTCTGTGCGCAACCTCGGCCCCACCCGACGTAGATCACACGCGGAACTGAACCCTGGTGGCGGTTCTAATCCTTCTGGATCTGGAAACACCAATAGCAACAATTGTGGTGTAGCACCTTCAGATTACCTGACAAGTGGTGGTGCGCCCACCCTTGCTGGGTTAGTCCATGGACTTGGACACACTCCATTTGGGCAGGGATCATCGCCTGTGAGTAGTCCACTCAAAGTTCAGTACAAAAACCCTGCCACAAGCAACAACAGCAACAATAACAGCAATATCAGTAGTGGTAGTAACAATAACACCAATACTAAAGACAATATCAATTGTTTGGAAAAACAACAACAACAGCAACAGCAGCAACAAATTATTGGAGTTAACTCTAAATCGGATGAGCAGTCAAAACTTAATCCCAGTATGATTATTAATCCTAACAACTTGCAATCGCCAGCTCTTCCGAACTCACAGCAACCTCAGCAAGACCAGACTACATCGCCGTCCTTGGTGTGTGACGGACAACATCTTGTGACATCTCTACCGCCAAACGAGGCCGTAAATTCGACCGCCAAAAAACCAAAACCAAACAACATTAAACTCAATAAGAAGCGGCGTAAAGGGAAGAATACGGCGTTTGCGAGCGTTGTGAATCCACCTATCAATGTGTTGATTGTTGAAGGTATTGCTCAAACTCAAATACATTAGTGTGTGTGTGTGTTGTTTTAATATAACAAATGTCTAAATATTATTCTCTAGATAACATTATCAATCAGGCTATTCTGTCTGCTTGGATGAAGAAACACAAAATCAAGTTCTCTGTTGCCAGCAATGGACAAGAGGCAGTCGAAAAGTGGAAACAAGGTGGATTCCACTTGGTGCTGGTAAGCCTTTTTTTTTTTTTTTTTTTAAATAGTCGAAATAAACATCTTAATAACATTTAATGATAGATGGATATTCAACTGCCTGTAATGGACGGTATCCAGGCAACAAAGATGATTCGGTCGATTGAAAAAGAGCAAAAGATTGGTGTTCTTCCAATGTCATCATCATTCCTTCGCCAACAACAACTTGGACAATCTACTAGTGGAACCACCGCTACAGCTACTACTGCTACTGCTACTATAAGCACTAGCCCTACCAAAAATATCAGTGGTAGTAACGGTGACCTCAAGATAAACAACGATAGCAATATCAGCAACAGTGGTACATATCTGGACATCAATGAGGAGGCTGAGGAGGAGGGTCTGGCACCGTTTGATATTACCAAAAAGGGCGAGGAACTTCCGCCTTCGACGTTTAGATCACCTGTGATTATTGTGGCTTTGACGGCATCATCACTCGAATCCGATCGACACGCAGCTCTTGCAGCAGGATGCAATGACTTTTTGACCAAGCCGGTGAGCCTGGAGTGGTTGGAGAAGAAGATTGTGGAGTGGGGATGTATGCAAGCGCTGATTGATTTCGAGGGCTGGCGACAATGGAAGCAATCTTCGACGACAGATGCAACAGTGCACAAACTTCAGATTACACCAAAGAAAGTAGGAGGAGGAACTGCCGGAGGTGGGGGCTCTACTGCGGACGATGCGAATTTGAATGCAAAGATTCAACAAAAAAAGGATGAAGATGAGAGACGACGGATTGCTGAGCTAAGTCGAGCAGCTCTGATGTCTGGGAAAGGTGTGCTGCTTCCCGGGGCCGTGGGACTGAGCAAGGCCCGCAGGTTCTCGACTCTGGACCGAGGCAGTGCTGGTGGTGGTGGAGGAGGAGGAGGTTCTCTGAATGGACATGGACCAAGGCGAAGTCATCCAGCCATAACAAAGGGTGGGTCAGATTCCAATCTCTTGGCTGGGATGCAGCAAAGTCGAAGTGTAGAGGGCTGGCAGCTACGTGACACGATTGATCGCAAAGTGATTATGAGTACAGTGGAAGAGTAAAATAATAATGATAATAATTAATGATAACCATAATAAAAATGTAAATATACCCATTACACACATACATAAAATCAATATCTTTATATATACAAAAAGAAAGGGTAAATGGATGAAGCATAAGAAAAAGGTGTTTATTTGATTTTGATTTAAATCTGTCGAAGATTACGGCCAAGGTTTCTTATAAGCTCATAAGATGGTAATATATATCTTTATTTATTTACTGCTGTATAAAATAGCCTGTGCTTTCTCAAGAAACCTGAGATGGAAAAGGCTTGAGATCAATGAAGCCAACTCTGCAATGCCTTGCTGGTTTTGTTGGGTACATTTCCAAAGCTTTAAAAGGGTTGGGCAAAGAAGTAATATATAAAGATAGGGCTATAGTGGAGAGGGATTGCTTATTGTAATCCAACATATATTTTCTCTATGCAAACTAGTTTCTGTTTTTTATTTTTGTGGATAAATTCATTCCTTTACAGCTTAAAGAAACCCTACATTTTCTTTAAATATATATATATATATATTCAATTATGCACCTCTTTATGAAACTTGTTATTGTTGTTGTTTATTTAATCTAGCAGCTAGGACGTAGGACACTTTTAAGATGCAAGGGACGTTCAAGTCATATATTTATATTCTCTACGCCCATGTTACTAGCTAGTACAAATTATAATCTTTAATGAAGACGTAGTAAAAAGGGAGTAAACTATCTCAAGAGGATGTAATACGGACTCCAATAGTTGGGATGAGTTAATCACTAATCAAACTTACTTTCGGTCCTAAAAAAAGGGCATTCTCGAATATTATTGGTTAAAAGAATATTTTAACCTTTAAATTTACACTTCTTATTTGCTTAAATAGCTGAAACTAATCACTAAACCGAAACTCTATTGGCTTAGAAGAATGTTGCCAGGTTGCAACTTATTGATGATTGTTGCCAGGCCGGTGATTTAAATCCTGCGATTTCTTATAATAACGTTAAATTTAGGCGTTTTTTGTTTTGGGGGGGTTTTTTTTGGCGTTTTACAGCCAAATAAATCAATAAATCAAATAAATAAAAGTAAGTTTAAAAAGAAGGAGAGGTCTAGATCTTGGCTCCTTACATTGTTGTTGTTATTATTATACGTAAAGAAAAGAGAAAATAGAAACAATAAAGCGCGTATATAATAGAATAAGATAAGATAATCACAAGTTTTTATCTTTTTTTTTTTTTTTTGTTTATCTGCTATTTTGCTATTTTGCTTGCTTGCTTGTTTTATATCTATTTAGTGTATTTTATTTTGAAACAAATGTATAAAATAATATAATAGCATTTCTGCAATCTGTGCCTTGTATATAAAACATACAGTACTATATATATAATGAAAATATAATATAGATGCATTATAGTGTATTGTACTGTTTATGGAGAGTGTTTCCAAAATTTTTATGTTCTAAATTTGGTATTGACCACCTTTTTTTTTTTATTATTCTACTTAATTTTATAGGCCAAAAATGAATAGATTTATATCTAATTGACAAAAGAGAAAAAAAAATTATAATAATGAAATAACAGTGAGAGAATTTTCTCTTTGAATTTCATTTGTCTTATGGATTTATTAGTTTCTGTAACACACTGCAAACACAGAGCGCAAATAAATAAATATATTTGTACTTTTTAAGTGTGATTATATGATTATATGATGATGATGATGATGATAAAAGTGATTTTGATTGGATAAAATTGCTTCTTGTTATTTGGTTATGTAGCCAAATCACGTGTAATAAGGTCTCATATACATTTATATTATTTATGAAAACAACACGCGTGAGAATTTAGTTTTATTTTTGTACTTTTGCCCAGTAAGATTAAACGGGTTACATATATATGCGTGTGTGTGTGTATAGTGTGCTCCTGTCACATCTGAAATAAGAAAATAAGATACAGCGAGACATTGGGATTTATAATACATAAATATTCAATCTCCGCACAATATATATATATATTTTGTCTGTGTTTGTGTTTTATATTTTGATTTTGATTGGATGAAAATGATGAGGGGAAAAAAAAAAGGTAAGGAATGGAAGGGAATGGAATAGAATGAGTGAGTGATTGATTGATTGATTGATTGGAAAAGAAAAGGGGGGAACCGGCTAAAAAAACCCACACACAAAAACAAAAGAGAGAGAGAGAGATCCCGACTAGGCGGATTTTTCTTGTTTTTTAAAAAATACAAAAAAAAAAAGAAGATAAGCTTTGAATTGCTGTTTCTCTTTTTCTTTCCTTTTTAGGACACATATAAATATTATACTCTTCTTATTTCACATTTTGACTCCGATTTTTTTTTATTGTTTTTGATCATTGGCTCTAGAGATTATTGAACACAAGCTAGCACAACTAGCATTAGCACTACCATTAGCACCAAAGATTGATTTTAATCTAGTTCAAAAAATAAATAAAAAAAACTAAGCCTCTTAAATGAAAAAAAAGGATATATACATTAGTAATATTATTACTATAGCAGTAGTAATAATAATTGTACCTTCCTTAATAGTAGACAAACCAATTTATTTATTTTTTGGCACTTGAGAACAACTACAAAATAAATAAATAATGCGATCGACAAATAAAATAAAAAGCCAAAGACTGGTCAAAACAGGCTCCACGTGTCTCAAAACGAATTTCGTTGTTCTTTTTTTTTTTTTTTTTTTACAACTACTTTCCTTATATCTTTCCTTTTATGGCAAGTGTCACTTTTTATACATATACATATATACATTTTTTTATATATGTGGGTGTAATGTACAAATGTACAGTAATTTTAAACGTAATAAAAAGTGTGCTGATTAATAATAAACTCAGTCAGTCACGTGTATTGTGTACACAGTTGCTTTGGTTTGATCTTTAGTCCAATGAACCCTCTCTTTCTTTTTTGTTTGAAGAAGAGCAAAAAAAGAAAGATGACCGACCAATTAATTATGCATAAAACTCATTATTTTAATTTTAAAAGGATTTCAAATGTTAAACGAAAAAAAAAAAAAAAAAAAAAAAAAAAAACACACAAAGGAGTAGCAATAAATTATCCAGATGTGTTTATCATATAGAAAGAGAGATTATTTGACAGAATCTTTGACTGGTTTGGGGTTGGTCAGTTGAATAAGAACAAATTGCTTTTTTTTCTTCTATTTAAATGATTTTTTGAGAATACGAGGTCTCTATATAAAATCTGTATTATAAAGAAAACTTCTTTTTAATCTTTCTATCTTTCTATCTTTACAAATGAGCAAACAAACAAAAAAAGACAAATAGCTCACCTTTTTTTTTTAAAGTAAAACATATACATACAATTAACCAATCAGATTCGTCCAGAGCTTAAAAATAAAAATTATTATTGTCTGTGTGTTGTGCCTATAAAAAATATATATATTTGTATTATAATTTATTAGTGAAACAATGGATTTTCATCGAATGAGTCAACAACAACAACCAAAAAAAGAAAAGGAAAAAGAGATTTTCCACCTCATGCTAAAATTATTTTTTTATTTTTATGTATACATTTATAGAAATTAAAGGAAATGATTGGTCTCTTGTTACGCCGAAGCTATAAATCAACAATATCCATATATAGCCTATTTATCTATCTCAATATATAAATAAATAAATAAATAAATATACGTGTGTGTATTGCATCTGCTTCTTGCCTGACTGTCACACCCTGTTTAATTTTTTCTTTCCTTTTTACTCTTCCCTCCTACCCGCATTCTCCGATTCCGGAGAAATTGAAACCCAACTCTATTTGCACCGCACCGCACCGCACCACACCACACCACATCACATCACATCACATAATTGCCACCAGACCTTGATAATCTCCATTATAAAAAATTATAGCACATAATCCGCCTGATGAAATACAAAAGCCCGAAAGAAATATACAGTCTTTTGACTTGACTAAACTCAACCTAGATACAATCCAATCCAACCAACCAACCAACCAACAAGCCGATATACCGATGGACCGATTTATATATATATATATATTTATATTCTCCCAAACCCACCAAATAATATTTAAACATCATAATAATAATAAAATAAGATTCTCACTTCACTTGACTCCCCCCCAAAAAAAAATCAAAAACTAAACCCCTCTTCTCTCTCTATCTTTTTTTTTTTTTTTTTTTTGCCCCTGCCTAAAGCAATCTCTTATTTTATTCTCAGTAGCTAAACCCCTAAAAAAAATAATATTATTATTTATTTTTCTTGTGTAATAGATTTACATACTAATTATTATAATACAGCAATAAAGTACAATAAAAAGAATATATATAAGCAATTTAAATCCCGTCTCTCAATTGAGACAATACTATATAAGCCGGAGTCTTCTTCTTTTTCATTTTTTTTTTCTTAATTATTTTTCTGTATATATATTTTATATATAAAAAGCCAATCTTTCAACTTCTTTAAATTTTTTATAACTCTTTTTACTGCTCTATTCTATTTTACTCTATAAAAATAATAATAAATAACAAAAATGATGATGACTGAATCAACTACCTCTACCACAACTACTACAACTACAACTACTACTACTACTATTATAACTGCTGATACTGATGCTGATGCTGCCATTTCTACTGCCACTTATGCTGGTGCTGATGGTGCCTTAACTTCTGGCTCTGCATCGGCCAATAATATCGCCCATACCAATATTAATGCTGTCACTCCTTCAAACACAGCCACAATTTCAACTACAACTACAACTAAAAATCCACCTGTCTCTGAACCTGAACCTGAACATGCAGCCACAATTGTCGCAGCCACACCCACTGATATAATTGTGGATGATGCCGAACTATTGGCTATTCTTGGATTGCCCTTTTTCTCAGAAGAAGATCTGACGTCACTTGCTGTTCTCGACTGGGACGACATGCCCGAATTATCCGAAGAAGAAGACGATGACTGCGCCAGTCTTGGCAGCTCTGGTCTTGCCCCAACCACCACCACCACCACCAACAAGCGCAAACGCCAAGACAACAACAATCACGACGACGACGATCTGTTTGCCCAATTAGACTTTATCGAGGTCCCATTCCCTACCAAGAAGCAATGTTTTGTCGACGATGATGATCTTAGTCTCGAGAAAGTTCATACACAAATCATTGACGAAGAAGATATCCGACTTGCATTGGATCTCATTTCCTCTTGAATTAACTTCACTATCTGTCATTTGATCCCTTTTTTTCTCTTTCTTTGGATACCCCCTCTTTTTTTTTTTTTTTTTTTTTTTAAAACAAGTCATGTCTTTTGTGCTTCCAATTCTTTATATATAATTTGTGCATTTCACAATTGTTTATTATCATTCATTGTACATACATACATACATACATACATACATACATACACTTCTTTAAATATATATATATTATAATTTTTGTACAAACAAGTAAATACAAATTTTTAATTATTTTTATCAAAAAATAAAATAAAATAAAAAATCTTTATTACACATGTATCACGCATTAAAATATCTTTTCATTATTTTGAATTGGTTGGTCTTTTGGCATCAATGGCATCCATGTCAGGCACTCCCAATTCAACCTTATTATTTAAATTAATAAGTAAAATCTAAAAAATATTTATTTATTTATTTATTTTAATACCTTTTTCTCGGGAGTGATTCCGATATCATCCTTTATGGGTTGTTGCTGGCATTGATAGAAGCCACATTGCTACACCAAAAAAAAAAAAAACAAAAGATTATTTATTACTATCCCTAAAATAATCATCATTTTTTTTTGTTTTGTTTTGTTTGGCAAAGGTGTACAGCTATAAAAATAAAGAAATGTGTTTACCTGGGACCATTTTGAACCACAGGACCAACAGAACCGAAATCCACACAAGAGACAGTCAACCTTATTACAGCCTTCGTCACGGTGAATCATGACAGAACAATTAGGGCATGGTTGACTATATACATTTGATAAGAATTAGAATATCATTTCAAATAATAGTGAATCTCTTACGTGTGTTCCAATTTCCATTTTACAATCAACGACTCATCAGATTCATTGTCAATTGTCAACCGATGCTTGAGATGCTCCAGGCAACTAAGATCTGGGTGACTAAACTCACCGCATTGAAGACACACTTGTTTTTGACAAGTAGTACTACAATAACAATAACAAAAAAATAAATAAATAAATAAATAAATATCTAAAAATTACTCACCAGGTCTCAATCGGAAAATTGGCAACATGGACAAATTGTAGTAGTTTCCATGCCTCTGGCAAGGTTTCTAGTGCAACCAATTGCTTGGATATCGCTGAACACAACTTGTATTTGTCGCACTCTCCAGCCTGCTTCTTCAATAGTGGTACCATTTGTCCATAAAGTTCTTGAACCTGCCCCACTCTAGATGTCCGTCGACTCAGCCGTGCCTTTTCAAACATCGACTGTAATTCGATCACCTGCTTTTGTTTATCATTCTCTTCTCTGTCTTCTTTATCTTTTTCTTGTAGTCGGTTTTGGTTATGATGTCCAGACTTTTGATGTAGCAATGATAGGTCATGACTGATCAACTCTAACCGACTAATCAAAAACAAATAAGTAAAATGTATTGAAAAATTAATTAATAAATTAATAATAAAAAATATATTTACCGTTCGTGAGATATCCGCTCAGAACGGGGTCCATGACATGGAGTAATGACAGTTTCGCAGTCGAGGCAGTGGCGAGAAAATGCTCGATAGGGTTGGTTGTACCGATCATACCGCTCCACAATGTCACTAGAGACATACCGACTCCACTCAGATTGTGCAATTGTTTCTTTACAAACTAAAAAATAAATAAATAAATAGAAAGATAATTTAGTTTAGTAAAGTTAAATCAACCAACCAACCAACCAACCAATTAATACTTTTCTTCTGTTTCTTTACCTGGGCATCGAATACGTGTAACACCCAATCCCCAGGATGTATTTACAATTTCTTCTACATAACTTTTTTTTTTTTTTTTTTTTTGTAATAAATCTGTCAATAAATTTCTTTTTAAAGAATATAATATTATATATTTACCGAGCAAAACACTCTTTGCAGAATTGGTCGCGGCAATTCTCAAGGCAGAGAGCATATGTATGATCAAGACAGATTGAACATCTCTGTAGCCAGAAATACATATTGTTCATTCCATCATTGTTGGTATTCGTATTCGTATTGGTATTGCTAGTGATGCTGGTATTTGTATTGGTTCGACTGATAGTATCCGGTCGTCGGGGTTGACGTCTTGAGTTACCAACACCAGCACCAGCACCATTATTGTTATTATTGTTATTATTGTTGGTACTTGTGCCATGTCGTTGTGGGTTTGGATGATGTCGAGACACAAGTCCATGTGCCCAGCCGACCACAAATGACAGGGACCGCAGAAAGATTGCTGGCATGAGAAGAGTTGGGTAAAAGACATAGAAGAAAGGAATGCAATAACAGAACAGTAGATTTGCAATGTTGAATTTAGAAAGCAGGTTGCGAAGTTGATCTGTTGTCAGGTCAGGAAACATCCATTTCAAAGGTCGAGATAGCCAACGAACAGGCCAAGAATATTTCTGTCGCTGTTGTTGCTGTTGCTGTGATGATAAAGTCTCCATATTGTGTGGTGTAGATATGTAGATATTATATATACTATATTATATATATATATATATATGTATGTATGTATGTGCTTTTGTGAATAAAGGAGATAAATACAAATACAAAATAAAATAAAATAAAAAAGCTTTAGAAATTGCTTGGCTTTTTTTTTTTTTTTTTTTTTTTTTTTACTCTCACAACTTCTCTCACGCCAATCGCTCTACCTTGTCTGTCTTTGTCTCTGACCTTTCCCCTTTCCTTTCCCTTTCTTTCCCAGCCAGCCAACCAACCAACCAACCAACCAACCAACCAAATCTTCCTTCCCCTCTTTTACAGAAACTTTTCGTCTTTTTTTTATTTATTTCTCAGGCACTGTCTATTCATTTGATTTGATTTGATTTGAATATAATTTTTTTTTATTGACGTTGACGTTGACATAAACAGTAACAGTAACAGTAATATTAGTATTGATGTTTATGTTTATGTTGATTGTGATGTTTATTCAGATACGTCGTGTCTACGTCATTGTGACTAGACGTACTATTTGTGCACTCTGTATACTCCTTGTGGCAAAAATATTTATTTAGGCACTGAAAGAAAGAAATAGAATAGTATTCAATTTTTTTTGATTAATATAATAGATTAATAGATTGATTGGCTTTATTACTATTATTTTTTGCCTGTCTGTCTGTCCCTTTCAGTATCAATTAAATATTACCCTTTTTTTTTTCTATTGTTAAATATAAGACAAATAAAGGCTTGATTTATTTTACTTTGCTTGACCACCCCAAAAATAGAACTTTTTCTCTCTCTCGTTTTAATTCATCTTGCAATCGTTAGGTTAAATAATATATGAATACAAGGTTCACATACACACATCTTGGCATTCAAGAGAAGAATTAGATGTATCTTTTTTTTTTTTTTTTTTTCTTTTTGTTAATGTAAAAATTACTATCAACTGATCGATATACATATTTATTTATTTATTTATTGATACAAAATAAAGTGCTCGGTATTTAAATGTATTTTGATCTCCAGTTCAATAATTATATACACCGACATATTTTTTGCGCAAAGTTGAACAGGAATATTGATACCATATCAAAAAGTATGACATAATGTATCGCAAAATTTAAAAACCCAAAACGCATTCGGAGTATATATAATAAGACGTTGAGTTTGATATTATCGAAATACCGACAATATATGTTTTGCTTTTTTGTATTCTGTTTAATTAACAATTTATTTATTTATATAGTTTTGATAACCGAGAACGGCCATGTTCCGAGCATAGATAGTAATAGTAATATTAATATTAATTACAGCTTTGTAGGTAGACATCTACAGACAGACAGACAAACACAGTCACTCATGTATATAGAAATAGATAAAGGTTGTATAAATATAGAATTGAACCCTTTTTTTTTGTTTATTTGTTTGTTGTATTTTGTCAATAAGCTATCTACACCCACTTAATATATGCATGTATGTAACATATAAATGTAAATATGCATGTACATATGCATTATATTATATCATATCATGCTGTATTGTGTTGTGTTGTGTGAATGTATAAATATAGATAGATAGATATCTATTGTTTGTTGCGTATATGAATGTGTAGGTAAAAGAGAGAAATAGACAGGTATTTTACCTAAAATACACCAGCATTTTGTTAAATGATTTTTTTTTTTTAAAAATTTCTTGTGGTGTTTTGCTCATTTGCTTGCTTGTTCGTTTGTGATTGTTTGAACTTCATTGATCTTTAATATGACTTTTAATTTGAATCTAATTTTTTGATTTGGTTTGGATTTTTTGATGATGATGATGAATATTATTATTACTATTATTATTGTTATTTTTGAGACTTTATACAGAAGAAAGAAAATATAAGAAAAAAAAAAAGAGAGAGGAAAAAGCAAGGGAATAAAAATAAGTAAAGAAAGGAAAAAACGGTTTTGTGGTTGTTGGTTTTGGAGGATAAAAAATAAAATAAAAGTGAGAATGTACACACACATGTATCTTTTCTTTTTTCTTTTTCTTCAAAAGAAAAGATACATATAATAATATAGTATATAAATAAAAAGGAAAATATAATATGATGATAAGAAGAAGAAAATCCTTAGTAGAAACTAGTCATGGCCATTGAAGGAGGTACTGTATAGGTTGATTGGAATGGATAGGGTGTTGTCTGAAGGAGTGAATGTTGATGATGCCGGCTTTGATTTTGATGATGATGTTGTTGTTGTTGTTGTTGTACTTGCTGTACTTGCTGTACTTGTTGTTGTTTAATGGCTTCTTCAGATGCTTTTCTATTTGCCTCGCGTTCTTTCTTTTGACGACGCCATTCCTTTCGCATCTCTTTGAACTCGGTCGGATGTCGTTTATTACCCTAACAATGAGGTCAGTAATCCAAAAAGAGAAATACTTTATTCTTTTTACATCATTATTAATAGTAATAATAACAGAAATTATCTATCTGACTATATGTCTTATTCATAAATATGAACCAAAGCAAAAATGGCCCTTAATTATATTTATATTTATGTAATGTAATGTAATGTAATGTAATGTAAAAGAAGAAGAAAATAAAAAGAGTCCCTTACATGTTTCTGCATGCTCACATGCGCATTCAAATGGTTGAGGGTACCATAGGACTTTGTACAGGCTGGCCAGTTGCAGTGGTATAGACGTTCGATCTCATCATATCTTCTGCGCGGACGTTTCTTTTGATTTGTTCCGGGAATAGCGACAAATGAATAAACCTTGTCAGAAGATGTACTAGACTCGGATGGTTGGCGAACATGCTGATGATGATTATTATTATTATTATTATTATTATTGTATTGATAGTTTGTTACAACAGATGGAGTTGTATTAGGATTGGTATCATTGCTATCAGTGGTTGTATTGATCATAGTAACATGGTCAGCAACGGGTGAAGATGCAGAGAGGGGAAACATGGGAGGATCAAGAGAGAGAGGGGCCGCAAAACCATCCATCAGTCCTATAGACGGAGTCGGGACAAAAAGGTCTGGTTCGGTCGGTGCCTTGGCCAAGGTATTCATGGCAACCGTGGCAGGAACATACTCACTAAAGTACATTGGATGGGTTGCATATGGCTGTGCTTGCATCATAACTGCCGTTGCCACAGCCTGCCGTTGTTGTTGTTGTTGTTGTTGCTGCTGCTGCTTTTGCTTTTGCTTTTGTTGTTTGGTAGAACATGTCATTGGGTTTGAAGCATTCTTGGTTCGGTGTTCAGTGGGTTCTGTCAATAGTTGAGAAAGAGGTGGCAGGGATGGAAGCTCGAGTTGCTGCAGGTACGATGCGGCTGGTGGATGATTTGGTCTACGTGGTGGCTGGGATGATTCTTGACCAGGTTGGCACTCAAGAGAGAAGTAAGAGTCGCTTTGAGACATTCAGAGTTGAAAGGGGAAAGAAGAAAATTAAAAAAATAAAAAATTAAAATAAAATTAAAATTAAATTGATGTTAATTTATTTATTAAACAGAAAACACAAAAATCTAAAGATAAAAATATATATAGAAAGGAAGAAAGGAAAAGAAGAAAGGAAAGGAAAGAAAAGGAAAGAAAAGAAAAGGCATTCAATATTCAAATGGTCTTTCCCACTCTGTAGTTCAATATCACTATACAAAATTAACAACTTTCTTTTATTTTATATATAAAATACATACACTGCCTGATGTACGACATGGCAGAAAGGAAACCCAAAGTTTAGCGGAGTATACATTATGCGATCTGGGAATGACGTCTATTCGCTACTGGGAACTTCCTTTTAGGCTTAGGCCCCCCCCCCCCCCTTTTTTTTTTTTTTTTTTTGTCCCTCCTCCCCTTCCCCTTCTCACTCTCTCTTTGTTTTCTCCTCTCTTTTATCCCCTCCATGTCTGAATATTTATTTTTTATTTTTTTATTTCTTTTGAGTCCCCCCTTTTTATATTTTAAAATAATAATAATGATAATGATGATGATAATGATAAAGATAAAGATTATATAAAATAATATAATATATATAAAAAAGGGACTGTCACAAAACTGATATTTAAAATTGACTTGGATTTTATATATATATATAATGATATTAATGATTCAGAAACAAAATAACTTTAGTTTTATAGTATAAACCAGCTTATTTAATATATATATATAAAATAAAAAGTCTTGGTTCCAAAGTCAGTTTCCCTTACTCTGCGGTCAAACTGTCGTACATCATCAGAGAGATCATCATTTTAGTTTCAATAAGTTTCAAAACTAGTCTAGTCTAGTCTAGTACATAAAATAAAATAAAATAAAATAACATCCTACACTGCCCACCCATCTTCTGTACACCAGCCCCACAAACATTGTATCTATTGTAGTAATTGGATACAAGTAATTACCAGCAGATTCAATACGCACATAGCATGATTTGTATATCAATACTGTTGTTATTCTGTACGTCCTATCAATTCAAATTAAAGAAGTTGATCTCAATTGAGTGTGGAATCCAAAGCAAATAATAATAATAATAATAATAATAATAATTACCTTTTTGTCCACACAATGGGATTTGTTCAAATAATCTCAACTGTAGTCAGGATCATCCATTAAACCTTTTTATTTTTATTTTTTTTGCTTCCTTTGTCCTTTGAAAATGCAACATTCTTTTTGTCTTTTTGTCAACCCACCCCTTCCTTTTATTCCTATTTTCCTATTCCTATCCTCAGCCCCATATTATATATATATGTAGAATAATAATCACACATGCACAAACAATATATGTGTATTTGTGACGACAACGTGTGATGACGACAAGAGTATAAATACATGTTACAAACACAAACACACATGCACACACACACGCACGCACGTACGCACGTACGCACAAATATAGAATCTAGAATACAGAATATATCGATACATACAGACAAACATATGATATACACATGCCTAAAGATATGCTTGTAAGAAGCCATATACTTTAATGAGCGTCTAAACAAGTCATAGAAAAGATTAACATATTAATATACATTCATCAATCTATCATTTTCGTACACACATGGAAAGAGATAGAAAAGAGAGAAATGGTATACTAAATTGCTTGGCATGGCTCAATTGCGCTTTGGCCCGCTCATCTAAAATAAAATAAAAATAAAAGCACGCCGTTGTACCATCTCGACCGTGTTACCAAGACATGTTGCTCGGCTTGAATATGCTGGGATGATCGCCAGTCAGTGTCAGTGCCCGCGTCCCACCCGCTTCTTCCCCTCCCCTCCTCTCAACTACTACTACCACGCTGATAATTGGCATCTATTTCTATATATATATATATTTATGTTAATAGTAGAGTTACTAAAAGTTACCATCATTCACACCATTCGAAATCAACAGTAGTAGAAATATATACATACTAGTCAATTGTCTTTTCTTCTTTCTTTTTTGTTTCCTTTTCTTTCTCGGTAAACAGTAGCCAGCCATAAAGATACCTAAAGATCTGTTTATCTGCATATCTGATCAACTGAATGGCTAACTAACAGACAAACTAGTTCTTGCCGTGCTTTATATTCACTCTCTTTAGTATTAAATATTAACAGTGGTAATGCTAATGCTAATGCTAATGGAGTTTTGGTCCAGGCCTCAAAGACTCTTTTGTGGACTGTGACTGGGTCTGTAGTAAAAGATTCTTGTTTTTCTTAAGTGTAACAATAGCCTTTCTGTTCCATCATGGATCAATCACTTTATTAGAAAGACCTATTCTAAAGGCTCCAGGGAAATATTTAATAACAATAAGAATGCTGGCTAGAAAGTGTAAGATGAGAAAAAAACTTTACGCGAAGTTTGTGTCTTGGTCTATAGGGTTAAGTCCAGAAGAGTAAATAGGAAGATGCACAGATTTATGGCCTCGATACTCAAAATATATTTCCTTGAGCTTTATTATGTGTATGAATCGAAGCGTTATCTATGACTATATAATGTCCTTCTTCAACGAAAGGTCATATTTTATCAAAGTACTCACTATGGGTTGCAATCGTCTTGACGCATTTATCTCTAATTCTGTAATCATGTATGTGTGTATCAAATGATACTTGCTACCAATAGGACTAATTGAAATATAAAATAATTTAGGATTCAGGATTGATATTAGCAGTAGCAGCAACAATATAGAAAAGAGCTGATTGATGGGTATATCAGTATGGCCCGAATTTTGGTGTACAAAAGGAAATGAAGATAGAGACAGAATTTATATATATATATATATATATATATATTTAATTTATTTATTTAAAATAATGATCCTTTTTGCCTTCAAGTTTGCCTGTGATTTTTGTGTACCTCTATAGACCATTTACTTTAGGGTTGTTCCGATCAATATCCCCACACCTAAACCGAAAACCAAAAAGACAGACAGACAGACAGACAGACAGACAGACAGGCAATCGAGGATTTAGGCGGAAGGAACGGAGGAGATCTATCCGAACCCTCCCCTCTATCCCTTCTAATTTTTTTTCCTTTGTCTCCTTTGATAGTTATGCTCACAAATAAGAAAAGGGATCCCTTTTACGTTTTGGTAGTACAGTTCTTTAGTCTATATGGACAATTTTGTCGCTGTTGTTATAGAACAAATTTGTTTGTTTGTATGTTTGTATTTATGGATTTATTACTCCCAGACTATAAAATGGATCAAGTCCGATTGCCGCCTTCCCCCTCCCCCGATTCTTCAAGCTTCCTTTTCTTGTTGGTCAGTGTTATCTTATAGTGTGAATATATACAGCTATATGAAAGAGTAGAATTATTAAAAGGGTATTTCTGTCAATATATAAGCCTTTTGTCTATTCTATTGTTTTTGGTTTTGCCAAGAAAGTTATATAAATATCCTTAATTAACATACTACATGTTTATATAAAAATAATTTGAGATTTTTGAGTGATGGTTATATTAGACATTTTTCTGTTTTTGGGTCTTTTACTGCTAATTTACTCCAAAATAAGGCAAAATAAAATGTTGACTGCAGTACAAGCACAGAAACAAACATACAAATTGTACACAAACATACGCAAATGTACACAAGCGTACACAAGCACACAAAATATGGTCAAATCAAGGTGTCCAATAGAATCTTCAAACGTTAAAGACATGCTTCTTCTTTACCATTCACCATTCACCATTTACCATTCACTATTATAGTTATGATCATGGATATACTTTGAATTTATATATATATATATATATATATATATATATATATATACTTATTATTATTACTATCATTTTTTTTTAAACCTACGATTCATTTGATTTTTTTTTATATCAAACCTGTTCTTAATTATTAACCCAAAAAAGGAGAATTAATCGTGATTGGCAGGCAGTACAGAAAACCCTCTCTCTTTCTCTTTGTATATATATATATATTGATTTTGGACCATGATTTTGGACCATGATTTCGGCGTTTGTGAAATAAAAATAAAAAATAAAATAAAATTCCCGGGTACTGAAGAAGTAAAGGCACAAAGTAAAAGGAAGAAATACAGTAGCACTTTTAATTATACTTCTTGCTCGCAGCTATTTAATTGAATTCATTAAAGACAATACAGTAGATGTAGAAAGAGCAGTCAATGTTGGTAATAGTAACATGCGTAATATCAGTAATAACAGTAATAAGTAGTATTTTTTTTATATAAAGAAAAAAAAAAAAAAAGTCTATTTCATGATCCAATAACTATCTTTATTTGACTAACAAAATTGATTAAATAAATAGAAAGTCCTCGCGCCATCTATTAACAACAACGAGCTCCGAATTAAAGACACCCGAAACAAATAAATAATAATAGCACCAGCAAAAGTAAAAGCAAAAGCAAATGAGTAGGAATTGAAATTGGAATTAGATTTAAGAATTGTATCTTGAAGTAAGTGAGTCTTGCACGCGGTTCTGGACTAGTGAAAAAAAAAAAAAACTTTTCAAGAAATGAATAAATACCCTTGTTCATTTCCATCTCTCTTGGACCTTAACCCCCTTTTCTATCTTACTCACTCTTTTTTTTTGCCAAGTCTTATTCCTATTTTCGCGCCGGACGCATTAGACTTCCCCTCTTACTGTTCCTTTCAAAACAATCGTTATTCTTTCTTTTGAGATAACAATAATACTTCTCTATCCCTTTCAACTCCTTTTTATTTTGCAACTGTCAATTTCTTGTGCTGTGCACTATATTCTCAACCCCTCCCCTCCCTCTCTTTATCACTCAAAAGATGCGTTTCTCCTACCTTGCCATTCTCCTGATTTCACTCGCCTTTGTCCTCGCCGATGCTGCTGCTGTTGAAAATGTAGAAAAGATTTCCCGTGCCCAGAAAACGATCATTCAGAAAAGATCCCAAACATACTCTGGAAAAGCAACCTGGTTTATTCCCTCAAAAGAAGGTGGTTCTGCAGGCGCCTGTGGTCCTAATGAAGCAGACGATGCACCCATTGTTGCCTTGGTGTGTAATATATATAAAAAGTGATTCATGTTATTGGTCAATTAATTGCTTATTTGAAAAAAAATAAAAAATAAATCTGTAGAACCATCCTCAATATGGATCCATGTCAGCAAAGAGCAGCTGGTGCGGCAAAAAGATCCTGATCACCAATGGCAAAAAATCTGTTACAGCCACAATTAACGATGCCTGCCCTGAATGTGCCCATGGTGACCTTGACCTTACACCTGTCCTGTTTGAGAAGCTCGGAGATCTCAACACTGGTATCCTCCAAATCAAGTGGCATCTCCTCTAAAATCATATAGATAATTCATCCTTGTTGTATCATCAAAATATCTTTACATATAAGAAACTCATTCATCAGCACCCATTAAAAATTATAACAAAAAAAAACTACATATATACATATTTATACTATATTGCACATGTCATCTAATTATTTCACCATTCTACGATATCTATATTAATAATCATTAAGTATATGTGTGACACAGACATACCAACATACACAGTTTAGTATCGTTTCTTTATAGATAATATCATTATATAAATACTCTATTTTTGGCTCAAATAAGAAGAAGAGCAAATGAAGATATTCTACTACAGCACAAAAATAATAATATTACTCATAGTCAGTGAATTGAAATGATAGTTAATCCAAGACCTTTAAATATTTTACTATTTGGTTCTCTTGAATGTAAGGGTTGGTTTGATTTTTCTTTTTATTTTATTTTTTTATCCCCCTTTGAATTGGTATAGCATATATTTATCTTGATCTCATTAGAATACCTTTATGTACAAATCAAATAATCCAAAAAAAGAAAGAGTTATTCTACCCAGGACACAAACATTGAGTAATCTATCCATTAGAACCAACACTAGTAGTTTATTGATCTGACGAAACGAAATGAATCAAACTCAAGATTTGGTCACAATATTCACAACGTGCTTGTGCAGATCCTGCAATTTTCTATTGCATTCAACAAGGATCATACAAAAGAAGAAGTTATAAAGATATACTTTATCCTTATCCTTAATTTCTTTTTCTTTTTTTTACTGTTTATTCTTATTCTTATGTGTATTTGTCCAATTTTATTTTACTTTTAATCATTTAGATCTGTTGTTCAAATTTGCCCATATTTTCTACCACAAAAACCATCTACTATGTACATATATTAGAGCTACAAATTTTACCATACTATCCTTTGCTAGGCAAATAATAGAATCATAATACATAGTAATAAGCCCATTGATTTTCTGAATACTTTTTACATTTATATATATATATATATGCTTTGGCCATTGACCCCTTCTACAGAACCCCCTTTTCTTTATTTCTATGGTGCCCCACCCCTTGCTTGGTTTATTGGTCTTGACATAGGTTAATAGACAAAGTAGACTGGATAGAACGTGAAAGGGCATAGGATTCTTCAAAACAGTTTTCTTTTATGTTATATATACTCTACTCTATATCCAAACTCTTTCTTTTTCCTCTCTCTCTCTCTCTTTTTTATTATATTTTCTATAGGTATTCCTATTCTTCCACATCTCTCTTTCTCTCTCTCTCTCTCTCTCTCTCACACACATACACATTTTAGGACTACTATGCCAAAAATACTCAGTGTCCTGTCAGCCATATTAATGGCACTATTCTTCACAGCAGTTCTAGCCAGTCGACCAGTAGCAAACAAAATCCACAGACCATCATCAGAAATCTCTAAACGTCGTCTACCTCGTCTGGAAAGTCGTGGCGAAGGCGGATCATATGAAGGCTATGCTACATTCTTTCATCCTGCAACAGAAGGCGGTTCGACTGGTGTGTAGTTTGAGATAAAATTAAGCATTTATTTACCAATCGTACTCACTCATTTACTCATTCATTCACTATAAACTACATACTACATACTACATACTACATATCACACCCACACCCATTCACACGCACGTACGTACAAAATGATCACAATTATAAATAAATCGACAAAAGGTGCATGCGGACCACAGGAAGATGACAATAGTCAGATAGTCGCACTGGTACGTTAATTCTTAATTGTTGACTCTTTCTTTTTTTTTTTTTTTTTTTTTTTTTTTTTTTTGGATCGTCGATCATTGTGGCTTACAGATCGTTTTATGTTTATATCTTCTGTGCTTTTGTTTGCATTTTAGAACCTTGACCAGTTTGGATATGATGGACCTGCTAGTGACTGGTGCTTTAAAGAAGTCCTGATAAAGTCTGGAGATCGCTCAACAGTGGCTACAATTCAAGATGCCTGCCCAGGTTGCAGATATCGTAAGTTTCTTTTTATATATATATATAAAAAAGGCAGAAGAAAAGAACATCCTGCATATCCAAAATTATCATTATGCCCGATGTTCCTGATTCCTTCTTTTCACCTCTTTCTATTCTTTTCGGTTCTTTCCTTTTCTTACTGATGCGCTTGTCTGTTCGTTTATCTTTGTGACATGACTTGTTTATAACTCTTCTGTTGCCTCTATTTCTCTTTTCTAGACTCACTTGATTTGACACCATCGGTCTTTCTTGAATTATCAAATTTAAACATTGGTATTATCCCAATCGAATGGTGTATTCTAGGCGAAGGAGATTGTTCAACAGATTAGGATCCACATATTCAACCCCAAAAGCCCTTAAAAAATTGTATGTGTTTGTGAGCGTATATATATATATATATATATATCTTTATATATCTTTATATATTTGTGAGTTTGCGTTTGTGTGTCCATGTGTACTCTTTGTGTCCAGGAGAAAGAAATACTTTATTTGATGTGCAGTGTGTGTATAGGTTTTCTTTCTTTTTATATAATTTATATTTAATTTAATAATAGTTTAAAAAGAAATTAGGCTGGATAACAAGAGATATGTTACCATCTAATCTATAACTATCTTTTAACGGACATCAATCACAAACTTCCAATTGAGCGTAAAGACTAATAAGATCGTACACCCACATAAATATTTAAATAAATAATTAGTATTACAAGCTAAACCATGTTTCTTCCTCTTCTTCTTTTTATTTGACCCTTGGCTACACAGGCGTTTTTTTTTTTTTCCTTTTTCTTGTGTTTTTGGACAGAGATACCCAAGATAATATCTATCAATATCAAAGTCCTTCTTCTTCTGAAGCTTTTTGATGGGTTGGTCAACCTAAATCAAACAACAATATATACATCCTTTTATCTATTTATGAAAAGATCCTTGGTTATTTCATTAGATTTTCTGTACAATAATATCACATATATAAATAAATAAATACAGGGCAGGGAAGGACAGGAAAACCTCCTGGATGAAAATCATCTTTTCCCCTCCTCTTCCCCTTCCTCACCTTTACCAACTCCTTTGTGTGTGTACATATATATATATACACATATATATATATGTACAATTTTTTTTACAGAGGGGAGATCTGTCTATATATCTACAATACACCAGATAGAAAGTCTAATGAGAGTAAATGATTTTTCTATATATTAAAATGTAATAAAAATAAAATAAAAACTAGCTAAGAATACCTAGATATATAAAAGTTCCTGGGATTGGGCTTAGATAACTTTACATCCCAATCGTATTAACCAATCAAGAAGAATTAATCTTAACAGAATTCTCACTAAAGCTTGACAATATTATAGATCTAATAAAAGAATCAAAAGAAATAGATCCTGCAAGTACCCTGCCGTTTATTCTACTGCTTCTTTATCTTCCCTTCTTTCTTTTTAACAAGATGCCCGTAAGCTTTTGAGTATAGTTGACGGTACCAATAGAATAGCCTTTCTTTTACTCTATTTCTTTATATTTCTCTTCAGGGTTATTGATTCCTTCAAGTATTTCTTTTTATAACTCTAGCATGCATGTATATGTATATATAAAAAAAACCAAAAAAAAAGCTTACATTATACTACAGCATATCAAAGCTCCTGCACCGACAAATATATGCCCTTGTTCGACTACATAGATATAATCCCATATAAGTTTCTATATCTGATGATTATAGATTAGAACTTAGATTTGTGTGTAATGTAGAGCTTGAACTCTTTATTATTCCTATTTTCATCAATGTTATGTAATGTAATGTAATGTAATGTAATGTAAAGTAACATCTATTTTATTTTTAAACTAGTCGTTAAATGTCATATTAACTCTGTAGATCAAGACCGGTTATGGTCACAAATAACAGCATAGTTACAACCATTAGGAATAACAAAGCTCTCAATTGATACTACCTTTATATATATATTGGATATACACAAACATAGGCACACAAAAGAAACAGAAGAAAAAGCTAAAGAGTAATATTTGAATATATATATGTAAGCCTTTGATCAAAGTTATTGGAATATCAAAGCTAATTTATTATTCTTATCAGTGTACTGTTTGATATCCAAGCTATTTCTTAACGATCTTTCTAGTGTTTACTAAGCTACACAGCACCAAACCACATAGATGTGTGCATGTGTGCATGTGCATGCATGTGTGTGGGTACCTATGTACCTATGTACCTATGTACCTATGTATCTATGGTCGTATATATGCTGCAGAAATAAAAAGAAGCTTATCTTTGGATATTTTAGAAATCCAGGCACAATGATAAATGAGATTGTAAATGATGAATGTTAAATATCAGAGAATATTATTATTAATAAAGTAGTAATATTAATTTTGATTAAAAATTAATAAATAAATAAATAAATTAAAGAGTTCAGTAATTACTACTACTACTCTTACTACTCTTACTACTATTTCTTACTGCTTCACTATTAAATACCACATATAATTTTTTTTTAATTCAATAAACTGGCTTATCATAATTCCTTTGCCAGATTTCCTTTATTGTGTGTATGCATTGTGCGTATTCGATTTACTCCTTATCCAATATGAAAAAAAAAAATAACCTTGTAAAACATTCACATTCCGCCCAAGAAATTTAACCCCGTAATACAAACTCTGTTTTTTTTAACGCGCCTATATAAATACACTAATTATTGCGACAAAGTCGTATTTATTTAATACTCAAATGAAATACATGCATCTTTCTTTCTATGCACATTTCACACCTGTTTAGATAGATATATATATATATATTTGGGTAAAGATACACTCTATAGCCAAAATAGAACGATAGTTGATTATTATGTAAATTAAAATAAAAGCTCTAACAAGAGTAATAGATACATATATGTATATATATATATAAAAGGTCTTTAAAAATGTAAAGCAATTAATAGATCGCACAAGATAGTCTATTAGATAAACAAATAAATGACAATGCTAAGCGGGTTTAAGCTAGAAATGTGGGATTCACCCTTTCTTCTCCTTTAATTACGGTTCACGTAACCTATTTCTACGTGTGGGCATTTACTTATTTTAAAAGTATGTGCGCGTGTATGCGAGTGCTTGACTACTGTCATTTATTAAATGTTATTTTGTAAAGATCAATTAATAGGATGTGCTGTGATGCGATGTGCTGTGATGCGAAGTGCTGGGATATACCATGATATAAAACAATAAAATAAGATACAATACAATACGACATGCTATTACATTACATGATGTGATATGATATGATACATATATAAATGTATTATTATATATATAAAATGATAAAATGTAGCAAAATAATAATACAAAGACTACCTGTAAATATGTGTATAAATGTAACAAAGAAAAAGAAATAAAAGAGAAGCAATTACAAAAACAAAAAAAAATAGTTTTTTTTGAGGGAGATTTTTTTTTTACATAGGTGTCTTGAAGCTATCCTATGTACATGAGATTTTATGACATGTTGGGCTTTCTCTTATTCCTTCTATTTTCTTTTCTTTTCTTTTCTTTTCTTTTATATAAACTGACTGGCTGGTCCTTACGGTCTGGATTAGCTCAGAATAGGAAGAAACTGGATATATAAAGATATATATATAGAAATAAGATAGTTGTTAAGCTTGTGGTTTAAATCATAATGGACTTCATTTACAAAAAAAAAAAACAAAAAAAAAACAGATCTTACATTGCCAACGATTACGCTTGGAAGGTCAAAAATATCGCGTTTGATTGTAAAACAGAATGTGCATGGTACAGGTTTCTGAGTTGGTGTCTTCAGTATACACGAGTATATACACGCCTTGTCAGTATTATCAAAAGCGTGAGTCGAGAACTTTTCCCAATACTCAACAGCCGACTGATTATCCATTAACTGTTAGAACAAAACATATTAGATCCAATAGCAGCAGTTTTCGTATGTTGTAAAAATAAATATGCATATTTATGTACAAATGCATGTACATACATACATATAAATAAATGTTACCTCGTAAATATATGTCTTTTTATCAAGCAAGATATCTTTTGACCATTGAGTGAGAAGTGAGAATTCCTTTCCGACTAAGCAAATCTCGCCTGTCCGTCTCCAGACAATGGTAGGTGTACCTGAAAAGCTGATTAGCTTTTCATACTCCTTTTGTGATTTGTATAATTTATTATTATTATTATTATTATTATTATTATTATTATTAAAATAATAATGAGCAAAAAAAAATAGATATTTTGAGTACACAAATGTTAAATTGACTATCGTGAATGTTGTTCTTACTCACCAAAAGTGTTCTTTGAATGCATTTTTCCATAAACACCAAGTCTTCTTCTGTTAGGTTCATTATTAACGCAAGAAAGGACGGTCTAAACATTGCAAGTGAGCGACTAATACGCATCAAGTCTTCGCGCGCCATTCTATAGTACAATAAGTGAACATGTCAGTATCCACCCAACACACATATCTAAAGGAAACCTACTTTTCTTTGACATATGCAATAAGGTAGTGGAAGCCTTCCGCGTAATTAAATGGACGTCGTACACTGCTGTATACTGCTTCTGGGGTATCACCACTGTTTCCTTTCCTCCGCCCGCTTGTGACCGAGGAAGTGGAGCTATCCCTTTTTGTTTTGAGGGGTCTGGAGACAGAAGGGCTTTGCTGCCCACTATTGACGGTGTTAACGGGCGAAGCAGTGGTCATTCTAGATGGGTTTCCCAGCAGACTCGAATGGGCAAAAGATATAGGCGTGGGTGGTGTTGCAAAGGGAAAATAGGTAAGTTGGGTAGGATTGGGGTCAAAGATTGTGGACGATCTGTTTTGCTCATCATTAGGGCTTGGCTGGAAGGGTGTTAACGGGTGGTTGACCGAGGATGTGGTGGGTGAGGGTAAAGGCGTGGTGTGTCCCATTAGCGCGCCATCTAATGGTGTCTGTAGCATATTCCCAATAAAGCCATATTCTAACCCTGCTGTCTCGGATCCAAACTCGATGTCGGCCAGGGAGAAATTGAATAACTGTGAGGCATCGATAAAATGAGAGTCTATCCAATAGTAGTAGTAGTAGTAGTAGTAGTAGTAGTAGTAGTAATGATGATGATGATGATGATATTGGTAACGGCAATTGGAATAATTGGGATAATTATAATAAAAATCAATCAATCAATACAAAATATAGACGAATTGTAAAGATTATTCTCTTCTTTGTTTCTTTACCAATTGACTGTAACGCTTCAGTAACTGCATTTGGGAATGGATAATTGGATAGGGTAGCTAGAATACCTCTTGTTGCTTAGAATTAGTTTGCAAGCACTTTTCAAGACTTACATTCTTTTGTGTCCTGAGTGTATTTTGGCTTTTTTTTTAATAAATCAGTGCATGTATTGGCAAGATCTCGCTTAATACACCGTTTGCAGGGACGAGCTACAAACATATTTTGGTGCGTGTTCGTATAAGAGAAAAATAGGAGAATATTATAGAATAAGAATATGATTAAATATGCTCTTACAACCGTCGCAACTGAGTTGTGCCTAAAGAGTGAGATAGTAAAAGAAGAAGAAAAGAAAGAAAGAGTTTATTATAATTATTATAATTTTTTTTTATTAATATATATATATATAAGAAACAAAGAGAAAGAGAGAGAGAGAGCGACAAGAGAAAAAAAAAGACGCTTTGGTTAGATGAGTTGGATCGCATGTGAATCACTAGCTAAAATGGCTTACTTTTTGGCAATGGAAACAGCAATTCTGTTCAGCAAGTTTCTTTCGCTTTGAAGTTGTGTCTGAAGCGTCATAGGCTAAGAAGTTGCTAAAATTGATGTCTTGGACTCCGGTGGTTGATGCTACACTATTCGACATGAGAGATTTGCAAAGGAGAATAAAAAGGAAGAGGAAGAGGAAGAGGAGGAAGGAAGAAGTATTTGTAACAGTAAAATATAAATCAAAATCAAAATACAAAGGTGAGTATGGTGACGGGTAAAAAAAAAATAGTAAAAAAGAAAAAAAGAAAAAAAAAAGAAAAAAAAAGACGTTATCAGTAGAGAGTTTGGTATATTTATAATGGATTTAATCTAGAAGAAAGTGAGCTAGGGAAATAGAATACAAGCAATGATTAACGAGTACTAGTACGAGTACTAGTGGTAAATGTGAATCTACATATTTAACCATGTGTGTGTTTATGTGTGTTTTTGTGTGTGTGTGTGTGAAAAGTGGAGAAGCGTCGTGGTTACCGTGCAGAACACATGACCACCCCACTTGTATTACCATGGTTTCTAATTTTTATTTTATTTACTATTGATGATATTCTTAGTACCTTCTTTCCCCACTTTTCCTATCTAATTTATTTCCTTCTTCTTCTTCTACTTTTTTCTGCCTATGCTTCTGTTCCTTCTTCTTATTCTTTTTTTTTTTTTTGCCCTTTTTTAATCTTAAATATCATTGGCCTAAATCTTGTACCTTGATAATCTTTAGCGCGCTTTAACCGACAAAACTCCGTTGCTATGCAAAAGAAAATTAATAAAATATTAAAATATATTCAGTGAAAGAACTAAAGCTAAAATACAGATGGCCAGATCAACACAACTCAATTCAACCTTTGACAGTCACGATTATACAATAAGCTTTGGGCTCACAGATTTGCAGTAAAGAAAGAAAGGAAGAAGAAAAATTTAAAAAGAAAAAAAAAGGACACTCCTCTTTTTTATATTATATATATATATATATATATATATATATATATTCTTTAATGTCAAAGGGTTAGTTGCCTCATTCATTCAAACAAGTCATTCGCGAACCAGCTAAAAACCAAACCAAAAACCAAAAAAATAAAACAACAACAAAAACAAACAGATACAGGTGCTAACCCTGAATTGGCTGACGGCTCATGGCAAAACAGAGCCAGAGGATTCGCTGCCGGAATGGCATCTGGAATCACAAAGCTGGCTGTTGGGCACCCCTTTGGTAAAATGATAGATAGAATAAGAAGACCGATGCGCTTAGTACCAAATACTCTGGTGAGCTTGCGTGTTGTCCGCCATACTAAACACAGTTTGTTATTTCTTAAAGACACGGTGAAAATTCGCTTACAGACATCAGGTCCAGACGGCCGGTTTAAAGGGCCTCTAGACTGTCTCAAAAAAACGATTAGTAAAGAAGGCCCAAAAGCACTTTACAAGGGTGCCACACCACCACTGGTAGGCTGGATGTTTATGGACAGCATTATGTAAGAAGCAGCAGTGCAGACAAAACAAACCAAAAAAAAAAATTGGTCTGCATAATTATTTAATTATTTGTATTGCCTCAAACATACAGGCTAGGTACACTTCATAATGCACGCGTAACTATGCAGTCATGGAATGGAGACAAACCCTTGAGTCTCTTCCAACACGGTCTGGCTGGTCTTGCCGGTGGTCTGACTGTATCATTTGTGGCCACACCTGTTGAGCAGATTAAGGCCCGCCTTCAGGTGCAGTATGATTCCAACACCAAGGTTTACAAAGGACCTGTGGATTGTATCCGTCAACTGGTCCGCAACAACGGTCCAACCGCACTTTGGACAGGATTGGGACCAACGATGCTATTCCGTAGTTGGTTCTTTCTTTTCTGGAGTTCTTATGAGGCAAGTTTGAGAAACATCCCGGCAATCTTTCTGTCAGTTCATAGACACACAAATATGTAGATAAATCATTTTGTGTGTACTAAAGATGACTCACACGCACATAATTGGGTATAAATTAATTCTGTAGGTCTTTTCGCGTGAGCTGAGAAAGACTAGTCTATCGGATGGTGGAGTTTCTTTTGTGGCTGGTGGTTTGAGTGCCACTGTGTTCTGGATAGGCGCATTTCCAAGTGGTAAATACAATAACAATAATAGTAAATGTTTCAGTCATAAAATAAACCTTTTTATTGAATGCAGACGTAATCAAGAATCGCTACATGACCCAACCTGATGTTACCCCGCGTCAATTCCCAACTCCAATGTCAGTTGCACGACACGTCTATCAAACGCAGGGTCTCAGGGGTTTCTACCGTGGTTTCCTCCCTTCCTTTTTGCGTGCATTCCCAACAAATGCTGCTGCAGTTTTCATGTTTGAATCAGTCATGTCAGTCCTCAGCACAACCGAATTAGATTAACAAAAAAAAAGTTTAGCACTATAATATTAATTAAAATATTACAAAAAGATAATCATTACTTAATTATTCTTATATTAAAAATAATATTAACTATGAGTTGATTAGTCAATCGAAAGAAAAGATACATAGACTATAGAAATATGGACACGGAAGTCATACACATAGCATATACACATATATTACACATTAAAGAGTCTTATATCTTTTTGCTTATTGCCCTTGATAATTTCCCTTTCAATTCTAAACTATTTCTTATAAATGGAATGTGTACCCTCATGAAGGAAATATGCTTTTATTGATCTTTTCAAGTAAAAAAAAAATACATAATCTTTAAAGAGTGCGGGAAACCTGCCAGACACGGATAAGGTTATCAGTGTAACCAGAGAAGAGGGTAGAGCCATCGGCAGACCAGGCGACGGAGAGACACTCGGGGTCGCGGGTCTTTCTCTTGCCAACATGGGGGAAGTCAGGGCGGAGCTCATCAACAGGAGACTTGGATTCGAGATCCCAGATCTTGATGCAGGAGGCGGTGGCAGCGCACAACCAGTAACGGTTGGGGGAGAAAGTCAAAGCGTTGACAACATCTCCAGCCTCAAGAGAGTAGAGGTGCTTGGACTCGTTAAGATCCCAGAGCATGACAACACCATCCTTGCCAGCGGAAGCGCAGAGGGAACCATCGGGGGAGACGGTGACGGTGTTAACGTAACCCTTGTGGCCGATGAAGTTGGTTCTCAACTTGAACTTGGTGAGATCCCAGACCTTGACGATCTTATCCCAACCACCGGAGACGATGACGGGGTTGGCAGGGTTGGGAGAGAAGCGGACGCAGGAGACCCACTCGGAGTGACCATCCTGGGTGATGTTGTACTTGCACTCACCGAGGGTGTTCCAGAGCTTGATGGTCTTGTCACGGGAGCCGGAGACGATCTGACGGTTGTCGGCAGAGAAAGAGACCGAGAGAACATCGTTGGTGTGGCCAACGAAACGACGGGTGGTGGTGCCGGTGTTCAAGTCCCAGAGACGGAGAGTCTTATCCCAGGAAGCAGACAAGGCAAACTGACCATCGGAAGAGATGGCAATGTCCTCAACGAAGTGGGAGTGACCGAGGAGAGACTTACGGGGGATACCGTAGTTCAACTCATCTCTGGTAAGGTGCCAGACGATGATGGACTTGTCTAAAAAAAATCAAGCACAAAAGCATAAGTCCGAGAATTCCCCTTTAATTTTACTCTTTGCCCTGATCCTTAAATATGTATATATATATGTATATGTATATGTATATCCATTTGTGATTAAAGCACATATACACATATACACACACTCACATAGCTATGTATTCTTAATAATATTTAAATTGACCAATGAAATGAAAACTTACCGCGAGAAGCAGACAAGACCATATCGGGTGCCTCGGAGGTGGTGGCAATGGCAGTAACTATACACAAAGTAGAAATAGGTTACATTCTACTCTTCTTCTTGTGGGACGGTGCGTGCGTAATATGTATATAGGCGAGCGTAAAAACAAAGGGACTGTACTCCTTTATTTTTATTTTTCTATTCGACTTGGTATTTACCCCAGTTGCCGTGACCTAAAAATAAAGATAATTATTATAAGTATAATGTTCATCCATTCATCCATTCATCCATCAATCGATCCATCGAATTCAAGAAAACAAAAACGCACCTTCGAGTGTGCCGCGCAGGGTAAGAGTTTCCATGATTCGCGAGATGAAAAAGAAGGATTGCTCTGCACGCAAAGGGAAGCGTCAAAGAAATCAATCCATCCCTCCAGTTGCGGAGCGATCCATCAATGCAAGTCCCATGTTCCGGGATATTCCCGGACCGGACAAATTTTAAGCTTCTTCGAACACATTATGTCCCTTTCCCTCTCGCACTCTCTCCCCCCCTCCCTTCTCTCAATGTGACTGGAACCCAAAAAAAATCAGCAGCTCTTAGTTTGGTTTAAAGTGGTTTAACTTTTTTATTATTATTATTCTTGTTCTGCAACAAAGAACAATCACTACATTCATGCTACGATTACCTGCAGCTCTTCCAAAGAGTGCTCAGCAAGTTAAGCGGACTATAAGACCACTTGGTCTTCTGGTCAAAAGAGCCTCTTTCCACACAGAACCTAAACCAGACGTAGTACCTGCTGTCGACACAAGTCCAAGGTCTCCTAGCACCTTTAAAGACATGCTTGGAATCAACAAGCCGAATCCAGATCTCGAAACAACGTTTTACCAGCGAGAGTTACCCGCCAATCTTGTTCGTCTTGCTTCTCCTGAAGGAAAACAGCTTTTTAGAGATGCCATGGAAAACGGACAGGCAGAAGGCTTCTTTCCTTTAAGCGGAAATTATACCACTCAATCAGAGCCATCATATTGTGGACCAAGTTCATGCAAGTCTTTTTTTTTCTGTGTGTTAAAACATCTACAAAGGAAGCGCCGTCGATTTAATTCGTATATTTTGTGTATGTCTATATAGTGGCCATGGTGTTAAATGCATTAGAAGTAGACCCTAAGCGCCGTTGGAAAGGTGTTTGGAGATGGTATTCAGGTAAAAAGAAAAATGAAAAATATAGGAAAATGAAAACATGCTAATTGTCAACCACTCATAGACGAACTTCTGGACTGTTGTGCGACCCAAGAAGATATGAAGAAGAATGGTATCACGTTCAACGAGTTTGCATGTCTGGCAAAGTGCCATTGTGACGTGGTAGTTAAACGTGCTTCGGAAATCACTCTGGAGGAGTTCAAACAAGATGTAGAGAGTGTTACTTCACGCTCTGACCAATTTATGGTAATCTCTTTCTGCAGAAAGACCCTTGGTCAAACAGGTGATGGCCATTTTTCACCTATCGCAGCCTATAACTCAGAAGAAGAGATGGTACTTGTGTTGGACACTGCACGGTTCAAGTATCCCAGTTTCTGGTGTCCTCTTGAGACCTTGTACGAATCGATGAAGCCAATTGATAAGGAAACCGGGCGTCCTCGTGGATATTTCTTGCTGAGTTACGATTTTGATAACCCACCCATCAGTCTCTGCAAGGGTAATCGTAATAAAGACCAGAACAAAGTATTACCGAACAAAGAAAATAATACCAAAGACACCAACAACACCAACACCAACGATAACAACAACAGCAATAAAAAAGAAACCAAAGATCAATATACAATGACCGAAGAATCTATTCAACCCGCTAAACTCAACTGGTCCACCCTGGCTCAGAGCTTTTGCAAGCGTATCCCTGAGAACATGTGGTTGGAGAAACCTCGAACGCTTGAGCATGTAGTTCAATTGGTTATGCGTAATGTTCCTCCCGAGTACACTGCTATGCTTGTTAATCAGTCCAGGGCCTCTAACTCTCAGTCACCTGAGAAAGCAGAAGAATACATAGACTGTCTTATGAAGGATACCTCACACTCTCCTCTTTACCCCACAGTTTTCCATTCGCTATATCCTGAAAAGAAGTATAGTCCAGATGAACCAGCAGATACAAAGGCTGTATTTGCTACTTTGTTTGTGCTTGGATCACCTCGAATGCTCTACACATCCTTACCACGTGACCTCCAAGAGAGACTTGAACAATGTCGCAATGATGATTCGATGTCTAGTGTTGTGAAGCGTGAGGTTGACAGAATTTCGGTTGAGGTCAGCGAACTTACAAAGACATTTTGTACTTGTGGTCCTGGCTGGGCAGACCAAACTTCAGATTCAAAACCATGTTAATGAGATCAAGAAAAAGAAAACAATTATTCCCCTCCCCTCTTCTCCCCTTCCCTTCCTTTATTATTATTTCCTTCCAAACCACACCACACCAGGATATAGAATTTTGGATTTTTTTGAAGTTTTTATTTATTTATATTTAAATATTTTATTATCACATAAACATTTTACTTTACTTTACCAATAATAAAATTCTTTTGTTAAATATAATATGGGCATAGAATGGTAGATTGTTATAGAATGCAATATACTAAGCATTCTTTTTGATTAGTTGTACTATGTATATTATTTTATTTGGCTGGGTACTACTAGTAATAATATACACATACATACATACATACATATATATACAACTCACCCAAAAAAAAACTCTATCTCAGTAAACCCATCAGATTTCATATAAATATCAAGCACAATTTGGTTATTTCAATCTAGTATTCAATTTCTAATGTTTTAGAAAGAATAATATTATTTGGATATATGTTCTTTATACTTTGTTATATTTTATAATGAATAAATATACGTGAATAAGCAAGGAGGTCAATATCAAGCTCGGCTTTGAGGCAGGAGACAAAAAGATAAACGGAGGAAATGAGAGTGCCAGATTGGAATGGTCTATCGTCGAAGGCAGTAGCCCAGTGCTGGCGCCAGATTGCGAAAGAAATGCATTGTAGTATATGTACAGCTGACAAAACTATCTTATCGGCAAAAGCTCTGATGTAAAGCAATTGATATATTAATTAATAGTAGCAAACCGTCAATGATTCTTCAAGAATAATAATAGCTGTTTAGCTACCTAAAACTAACCTTCTTGTTGATTTTCTATCAGAATATTCGCTAAAAAAATCCAATTTAATGCGATTTGATATTTATGCAGTACAATATAACAATTGAAAATACTACAGCTGGAGGATAATATGGCTTATATCCTTGCAGTTAGAAATTATGCTGCTTTCTTGGGTACTTTTATTCACTTACTGAGTGTATATTTTAACCAATTATTTTGTTGTACAAGCGATGCAATGCTCATCAAGTCTCATAGAGCTTCTGGTTTTGACCGGGTAATTTTTCCAAAATTAGAGAACGCGCATTATTGCAGTTCGTTTTATGACATATTTCAAATTTAAAGTAGTTATCCTTGCTCATATTTTTCTCTGTTCAATACTTTAATAGCTATAATGCATAATAAGGTACTCTTGGTATCAAATAAGGTATTAAACTCAATCAAATGTTTGACGCTTACACTGCCTGTGCTTATAATAAGTCTTGAATCAATTGTCTTTTTGTATATTATATTTACAGCTAATACATATACAGTTAATACATGTAATACCTAAGAATCAAGCCTTTCTTCTTCATATCAATTATAATATTCTTCTTCTTCTTAGGAGCCAGCATTTTCTTGATATAAATTGCATGTTTAAGTATTATAATATGCTGATATTGATATCAATGTTATATTATATTATAGATCAAAATAAATAAAAATATTTCAAGCAAGCACTCTAAGAATTGGCAATTATTCCAAAGTCAGGTTAAGTAACAATTTCCATGAGTCTGTCGTACAGATAACTATTCTCTTACATTGATATTGGTTGATTGTTCCCATTGGAGTTTCCCAACCGTCATTTGTATACACTTTTCTAAAATTGTCTACAAAATCTTCACATTGCCTCAGTTTCAAGGAAAGGTACCGGAAAGGTACCAATAAATCCTCTGTACTTTATCTGTACTTAGAAATACACAATATATCTATGTACCTGTATTCAATAAATCAAATAGTTTACACTAAAAAAACCTTTGTTCAAAATAACCCAGATACTGTAAATCTGTAGGTTGGAAGTCTCATTAATCCAAATATGGAGTGAGAAATAAACCTGTGCTATTCTGACAAAATTTGCCTATCTGGATTATCTTACCGTCAATGCATAATAAATAAAAAGCTTCTTCAGAATATGCAGTCCAAAAGTAAGCGTTACATTAATACATTTGGCAATTGTAAAGAAATGAGAAAGATGTAAATAATAAAGCTCGAGGTATTCTCTGAATAGAAAGCTATACTGTATACACCCAATTGACAAGTATATACTGTAAAATGATCTTATATATATATATAAACGCTTGATTTAATCAAATTATGTTAGGCATCATATATATGATCTGTATTTAAGGTGCGCTGTAGATCTCTGGTTCAAGGCTCTCTTGAATAAAGCAAATATCAAATCTCGTGACCTTCGCCTAGAGGTCTATGCAATGGAGATAAACGAACATGGGCGTGCGCGTTAAATGCTATTTGCTAAGATGGTCTTTGTCGTTTTTATTTTTATTTTTATTTTTACCAGAGTCTATGTTCACGTGATGAGGCATATTTCCCATTCGAATATACCAAGCGATCAAACAAAATATGGCTGTAATTTTTCCATTTTTGGAATTTTATGTTGGTACAAACAATGATACAGTAAAAGAAAAAGAACCCTAATTTTATGATCTTTAATCGAAATAAAACAATCAGGACGAATAAGAGTCGGTGGTGTAGCATGCGCGATTTACGCTTGTGTTTGAAGATATCCAGCTGGTATGATATTACTCGTTTCGTTGCTAGGCATGGGGTTGTCACCAAAAATAAAATAAAAAATAGTACCCAGTCGAAGATGGCTGTCAAAGCCTACTCATTGGGTACAATAGCTTTGTACAATACTCTAGTACATTCAGGCTTTTTTTGTTGCGTATAAATGTTCTTAGATCCGTGCAGATCAGTTTAAATCTATCCTTCTTTTCTACTTCCTTGGGCAAGCAATGATAAACGAAAAGCAAGAGATCACATTCGATGAGAGTGAGCTGATAATCGAAGGAGAAAAACATCTAGTTTACTCTACTGAAGATGCCAACAAGATCCAGTTCGCAAAGATCATTAAACCTGAGCGTACCAAGACTATCCAAACAGTTGATACTTATCAGAGGCGACCCTCTGTAAGTGCCCCAAAAAGGCCAGCACAAAAACCACAGAAGAACATAGACATTGTAAGTAAACATCTCTTTGTAAGCGCCTTTTCTTTAGAATATTCATTGATCTCTGTTTTCTTCTTCTTCTTATATAGACAGAGCATCTACTATCATCAGAAGAATGTGCTATCAAATACCAAACAAGTATTGATACCATAAAGCCCGGAGATTCTCATGGCCTAACAAGTACCCAGGCTGCAAATGTCCTGGCGGCAACAGGGCAAAATATTCTTTCTCCTCCAAAGAAGAGACATCCTATTCTTAAATATCTTGACTGTGTTCGCAAGTTATTCAATCTGTTGCTCATCCTTGCTGGTGTACTGGATTATATCCTTTTGGGAATCGATTTCAAGGCAAACTTCCAAAACGTAAGTTTTAAAATTTATTGGATCAAATGTATTTAATTAACTTAGTTTTTTTTTCTTGCTCATTATAGACTTACCTTGGTGCAATATTGATCGGTGTTGCTCTCCTCAACGCCTTTATCGAGTTTTATCAAGAGCAAAAATCAGCTGCTCTTCTAGAATCCTTCTTAAACATGATCCCTGCAAAATGTATGGTAGTGCGCGATCACAGAATTCAGCAACTCGATGCCATAAATCTTGTCATTGGCGATGTTGTGTTCATCCGCATGGGAGACAAGGTTCCGGCCGATCTCTTTATCTTTGCTGGTTCCGAACTCAAAGTCGATAACTCCTCCTTGACAGGCGAATCTGATCCCCAAGAACGTGGCCCAATAAATACCCAACAGAGTCTTTTTGAGGCGGAGAACATTGTCTTTAACGGCACCTTGGCTGTCGCTGGTGAAGCATATGGCATTGTTGTTCGTACAGGTGACAATACTGTTCTTGGACAGATTGCTGGTCTAACTGCCGGAGAAGACAAGATTCCATCTCCCCTCTCTCAAGAAATCGATCAGTTTGTCAAGATTATTGCTACCATTGCCTTCTCAACAGCCATCATATTTTTTGGTATTGGGTTTCCAGTCAACCACAACAATGTATCGCTCACTCTGAACTTTGCTATTTCCGTATTCGTGGCCTGGGTTCCCGAGGGTTTACCTGCAACTGTAACCATCTTATTGACTATTGCCGCTAAACGTATGGCTTCCCGAAATGTTCTCGTCAAAGACCTTCAGGGCGTAGAAACCTTGGGAGCAATCACACTTCTCGCTACCGACAAGACCGGTACACTTACACGCAATCAAATGACAGTGACTTATGTCTGGTCGTGTATGGAAATGCACAACACTCTCGAACGAAACACATTGGTTGCTCCTGTACCAGAACTGGCTGGTCTGAATGAAATTATGCACATATCTACTCTTAATAGTCGTGCCAAATTTGATCGCACCGATGTACCCGTGCATATGCGCCAGATCTTGGGTGACGCTACCGAAACTGGTCTTGTCAGATTTGCAGGAGAACACCTAGGACCTGCATTTGACTCACTTGGAGACAAGTGTCCTACTGTATTTGAGATTCCATTTAACTCTGATAACAAGTGGGCCATGACTATTCACAACAAACCTCATTCCAATGGCCATTTAACACTTTACGTCAAGGGCGCGCCCGAGCGCGTCTTGAATCTCTGCAACACTATTCTAACTAGCCGTGGAACCGTCCCTCTCGAAAGCGGACATATTGAGGCTTTCCAAGAAACTTACCTTCATATGGCTGGTCAAGGTCACCGTGTGCTAGCCTTTGCCCAATTACTGCTTCCTAGAGAAACCTATCCTGCTGATTTTCAGTTTAGTAAAGCCGAAAAGAACTATCCTATGTCTGGCCTAACTTTTGTCGGACTTGTCTCACTTGAGGATCCTCCTAAACATGGTGTACGCGAGGCCATTGGAAAATGTCGTCGCGCAGGAATCAAGGTCATGATGGTTACAGGCGACCACCCCTTGACAGCTGAAGCAATCGGAAGAAAGATCAACATGCTTTTGGGTGATACTCGCGAGTCATTGTCCAAGCGTACCAGACGCCCCATTAGTGATATCGCAGAAGACGAGTTTTCAGGTGTTGTCGTTCACGGTGACTCTATTGACTCGCTCACTGATGATGCTTGGGATGCTATCTTTGCCAAAGAAGAAATTATCTTTGCTCGAACTTCACCTAAACATAAGCTTGAAATCGTCAAACGAGCTCAGTCTATGCGCCACATTGTTGGAGTTACAGGTGATGGTGTCAATGATGCGCCGGCCCTCAAAAAGGCTGATCTCGGTATTGCTATGAACATCTCCGGCTCAGATGTATCCAAGGATGCAGCCGCCATGATCTTGTTAGACGATAATTTTGCTTCTATTGTGCATGGCATTGAGGAAGGCCGTTTGATTTTTGCCAACCTGAAGAAGTCAGTTATGTACACAATTACCCATTCGATGCCCGAAGTGATCCCCAATCTGCTCTATATTGTCGTTCCTCTTCCTTTGCCTCTGAGTGCAATCCTTATCCTAGTGATAGATCTCGGGTTCGAGCTGTGTGCAGCTTTAACATTTGCATGGGATAAACCAGAGACTGAAAGCGGTCTGATGATGATGTCTCCTCGAAAGCCCGTTACTCCTTCTTCTATTGATCGTTATCGTCGCCAGCTATTGAGAGAGGAAACTTACATTAAATATGACCCTGTTACTGGCGAAGAGCTTAAGCCTGGATGGTTCCGCAGAATATACAATAGCGTGGTTCCTTTCTTTACACGTGCCTACTGGTCCGAAAAGCTTATCAAGACAGACGATGATGTTCTCGTGGACCTTCCTCTTCTTTCCTGGGCATACCTTGAAGTTGGAATCATTGAAGTTATTGGTGCCCTGACCTGTTATTTTGTGGTGCTGTGGTATAACGGCATAACTCCCTCTGATGCAGTTGAGCTCCAACGTGGAGCATCTAGTCCGACAAATTACTTTCAAAACGGTCCTATTTATGCTACTCCGTTCCAGGCCTCAGATGGATCCATTCTTGATGCCGAAGCCCAGCACCGTGCACTTGGCCAAGCTCAGTCGATGGTTTACTGGAGTATCATGATGATGCAGATGTTTAACATGTTTGCCTGCAAGACTCGCTACACTCTCCCTATCGGTCGCTACATGTTCTCTAACAAAGTTACTTTCCTTGGTATCTTTGCTGGCGCTGGGTTGGCTACTTTGATCGTTTACTGCCCTCCTTTCAATATTCCATTTGGAACAGAATACCACACCCTCCCTCTTTGGTGGTTGATTCCATTCGGGTTTGGCTTCTTGATTATCGGATATGCTTGTGTCAGAATGACAATATTGGCTAAAATGAATCCGATGCAATGGAATCCGGAAATCGATGGTCTTAGAATGCACCCTACTATTCGTACCATGGCTACTTCTCACAGTCGACACTCACGAGGACACTATATGGCATAGAGCCCTGTTTATATTATACATTTTTTTATTCCCCCATAAAAACATACTTATATTCTGTAGTAACAGTTATGTATTAACATCTCATTTATCATGTATCAAATAATAATACAATATCTCTTTTTAAATAAAATAAAGCAAACCATTATAAAAGAACGTGATTTTGCATTGCGAATCCTCCATAATTATTGTACAGCACGCATATTTTATATTATTTATCAAGATATTAAGAGATGTTTATTATTAATTGCGTCTAGCAAATTCAATGTAATTTATATACATGATTGATGCACCAAAGAAAAAAAGGGGCAAAACTTCATTTCATTGCTATTGTGTGCTTTTTTTTTACTTGCGATTAGAAGGTCTCTTCTTAATCTTGGGGGACTGACGAGGACTGTTCTTGAGATGGTGCTCAGGAATCCAGGATTGATCCAAAACCATTTGACCCTTGTCATCACGATGAGCAGGACGTTCAACAGGGACATCATCCTTCTTGACCTAAGAAATGCACACGAATAGTTATAATCTTGGTTTCTTTCTCTTTGCTTCTACTTGTTATTTGTGGAACCCAATATTACCTTAACCTTCTTGCCACCAAAGTATGCCTCACGAACAATGTAAGCGACGCCAGCAGCGCCAGCAGCCAGAACAGCATACAAGAACAAACTAATTACGTCGTTTGTTTCATCAATTAGCCGAGCTATTAAAGTCTCACGCGTATATATTATTACTTACAGCTGGGGATCAAACCAGGAAGATTCGGGCTCAGACACAGTGATGTTACCGCTGTAGCCAACTACACGAATAACCTTGTCCTATAAACACACATACACGCACATACACAAATATTTGTAAGGGATCGACGTGACGTATTAATAAATACTTTATCACTTACACCAGCCTGCAGATCAACAAAAACTTCAAGACCGAGCTCTCCAGGAGTGTACTCAGAGTAGAATGTGTAAGGAACGTTAGCTCTGGTCTGAGCAGGGATAGTCAATTCATAACGGAGGGCGGTCAACTAAACACGAAAGCATAATGTTAAGTACACCAAAATATAAAACACCATTACTATTTATAAATAAAAAGAAGACTTACGTTGCGGATGATCTTGGTGTGGTCCTCAGCCAGGGTGATTCTTCCAGAGACAGAAACAACAGAGTAAGCCTCGTTCTCCTTGTTGTTGAGATCCAAGACAACCTTGTTGCGTTGACCATTGACGATCACTAACGTCCTTATTAGACACGATACAATCTGTGTAAACACTCTTAATAATATACATACATCCGAATGGGTTATCAGGAAATTCAGCAGTAATTTCAAGGTTGGCTGACGCGGGAACACTTTCCTGTGCGAATACTAATAGGTCATCTCTTGATCAGCATCCTTCTTACACGTGTCATCTACTTTTTGCGTTGTACTTACCGAAGGTTGTGGCAAGAAGAGCCAGGCAAAGTGCCCAGAAAGATGTAAGTTTGGCCATCACAAAAAACAGAGAGAAAAAAGAGAGAGGGAAGTGCACAAGAGTTGAATAAAGACAGAGATTATGAAGTAAAAGTCTGAGTCTGATTCGAAACGGATAAGCTGCGTTTTCGTGATGCGATTGGATCCTCTCAAATCGACCCTGTCACACACAAAAATATAAAACCTTCCAAGGCAATCCACTCGTAAATCGGACCCTTTTCAATTGTGTGTGACTGTAAGATCTCGAACCCAAGAAGCCAGTTTATAATGGCGTTACCTAGTCTTAAGATCAAGCTGATCTCTCTAGGATATGACAGCATTACCAATCTTAAATCCGAAGATATTATACAGCTTACACAGGGTGTGTGTCTGTGTGTTGCCTGTTCGATCCATACACTTTTGCGATTAGAATCTCATTTACCCATAAACAATTAGATGGATTATTAACAGAAGAAGAGGTCATGTGTCTGCTGCAGGCAGTTCATGGAGGTATGCCTTTTGTCTCCTATGATTCGCTCGTTGTTATATTTGTGGTTATCTTAAAGTCAAGTCAAAATAAAATATTTGCTTGTAGTACCCCCATCTACGCAAACCGCAGCAGCTCGTATTTTATCAGATACAAGTCGTAGAGGAATTAGCTTTGGTAGCTATAAATTAAACAGCCTGTTTGATCAGACTAAAGGGCTACCTCTATGTAAAGTCACAGAAGCCTGTGGAGAGTCTGGCTCAGGAAAGACACAGTTGAGGTCAATAAAAAAAAGATACCAACTTATTTCAATCTATATATTTGTCCATATTTACTGATATTGCATATACCTTAAACAGTATGCAATTAGCCGTCAACGTTCAATTACCTCTTCATGAAGGTGGTCTAGAGGGTGAATGCATTTATATTGGTAGGTTACCACGCCTAATAAAGGTTATAGGCAACTTTCGTTTAATTAAACTTTCTTATGGTGGTAGACACAGAAGGTAGTTTTATTCCGTCGAGAATAAAAGCCATGGTATCTGAAAAGAAAGTCTTTCAAGATGAGGGCACCAAAGAAGCATTGAAAAGAATTCATGTATTCAGAGTATTGGATCACATAGAACTCGTAGCATTAGTGGTTCAACTTCCTACCATTCTCGAACATTACACCAAAGTAAAGCACATTACTATATTCGTAATTAAGTCAGGTTTTGTTAAGCTTACCCGAATTATCCACAATATAATAGGTCAAGTTAATCATAGTGGATAGTATTGCCTTTCATTTTCGACTTAACGTACGGGATTCAAAAACACGCTCAAATTTGTTGGAGTATATTGGGAATTCCCTAGCTCAATTAGCAAATCGGCTCGAACTTGCTGTAAGAAATCTACCTTTTAATACTAGTATATAAATATGCGTTATTTTACTGGCATAGGTTTTTCTGACAAACCATGTAACCACCGGAGATGGCTCATCTGGTCTTATACCTGCCTTAGGTTAGGGTTTTATAATATAAGGTGTTGTTAGAAATAAACTTAACTGAGTATATATTAGGCAAAGGATTAAGCCGCTGGTGCTCTCATCGATTTTTTGTATTTAGAAAGCATCAATTCTGGTAGGTTATTTATGGATGTTTCTTGCATTATTTAACACGCTTATTAAGGTATGCGCTTATGTTCAAATCTCCAAATCAGACAAAAGAGCAAACAGAACGATTTTATATTTCTGTAAGTAAGCCTCCGTGATTAATATTATTATAATTTCTAAAATATATGAAGGGTACATAGTACTCAGGGATCACTGATCTAAAGGATGAAACAGAAAACGATATAAATCTATCGGAAAATTATGGTGAAGCCACTTCAAATTACTTTAAGAGTGCTACGGATTCTGCTGAGAATTATACGATGCATAACTACACAGAAGGAGAAAACATTTTCGAGGTTGACTGCTTGAATACCATAGGGCCTCCAGATAATGAACTAGACTATGCTTCTGATGACTCACAATCGAGGGAAAAAGATTTCAGTGAAGACAGTAGCGTTCAAAACGAAAGTGATTCGAAGATTTTATTATCAGGTGTATTATCTACCAGAAATATACCAGATTCATTCAGTACAGAAGATGAGGATGAGGATGAATATACACAGCAAATAATACACGATTCAGAAGAAAGTATGTCCGATAGTTACAGCCCCATAGAATATATGGATGATCCAGTTGGAGACCAACCATCTTTCAAAAAAAGATATATCGAGGATCAAAATACCCGTCCAAAAAGAAGAAGAGTTATCCCAAATTCCCAGGAGGATGAGAGTGAATACAGCGTTATGTTAAGTGTTACGAATGCCATGAATGATACATCATTATACGAAGGAATGCAAGATATTTTGGGCGTAAGAGAACGAAGACATAGAAAGGTGATCCCCAACTCACAACCAGATATTGAGCCAGGTGATACGGAGGACCAAGGGTTGTATGAATCTAGGATAAGAGGTGCATTTCTCAAGAAATTCATTGATGATGACCAATCCATATAAAATGAATGTAGTTGGAGATTTCTATTTAATGAAATTTCAAAATAAATAAAATATCTCCAAAAAATTAGATATTGATAGAATATTTCTATAAAATAATCTAAAGATTTTGAGGCGTACAACATAATTCTATGATACGCTATCCAATATAAATGTATATTTATAAGAGATAGAGAAGTGTATTGGTATATGAATAAAATATTACATCCACAAGAGAGCGAATATGCATTATTATTGATAAAAGTAAGATAAAAAAGACAAGCCTTATGGAGAACCTCCTCTAAAATCGCCTTTAAGAATACTTTTCTTTTAAAACTAATCCGACTCATTCTTCTTCCTATAGTTATGTACAAATATAATACAAGTGAAGCACACAAATGAATTGAAAAGTGAATAATAGGTACTGTAAGAGTGCTGTTTATTTAAGAAAGAATATGATAGTTGTATATATCCCTGATTTAATATATTCTTCATACATAGCTTTACTTACAGAAAGACATAGAAGAAGTTATAGAAACACTGCTTTCATTTATATTAAGTAGATTTATATAGAAGGTTAATACGAGTTTGTCAGCATTCTTTTTGGCCGATGAAAACGGCATATTAGCTGATATGTAGAGGTCACTCAAATCATATAGTTCTTAGCAGACGTACACACATATATAAAGTAATTTTCCTTTTAAAGCACATGAATAAAAAGGTTTGAAAGTTAGGTTCAAAGCTATATCCGCATAGTAACAATCCTGTCAATCACATTTTCAGTTTGGTTTTATTATTCTTACACTTGACCAAAAGACACATGATTTCACCGTTCTTGAACCCATTGAAATTGATCCTTTACAGTATATGTAAAGTATATTTTCTGTAATGTATTTTGAATCTTTGTAATAGCTTATTACTTTGTAAAATATTGCATTTTGTTTTTCTTATCATTTATTGTGTATATGTATATTAACAATATATATATTATACGAATGTTTATACACTATATAAAATCAGAAGTAAAAGGATATTTGTCGGCAAACAGCTGCGAAAATAAGAATAGGAAGGAATCGGGGTGGTTAGTTTTGGCAAATGGAAAGAAGCTCATTGATATCATTTGTCAAAAACTCGTGGATATCTTTTGTATTCAGAAATATAGAATTATTAACTGATGGGCTCGGAGAACTCAGTTCCGAGACAGTAGGTGATTCCATGGTAGATTCAGTATCAATATCCTGAAGATGATGAGAAACACATGTACAGCTTTTAATGACCTCACACAAACATCCATTGAGTGGGTTTGGTACTATAGAGCACGAAAATTATAAGAAAGATGAATGACTATACTTTTAATCTAAAGTATAATCATGCTAGCAATATTCTTTACCTTGAGCAATCGCACAATTACACTTTACATGAGTTTTGTGTGTCAATCGTAGATCCCGGCAATGTGAGCATTGACTAATTTGTCTACCAGGCTTAGTTATAGGTACAAGTTTACGATCATGATGCTGGCATCGTTTTACACGATGACCTCTTATACAACTCATACTAATGTTTACAGATGATGAGTGACAGGTTATTGATGTAATAATAGTCTACAAACTCACCATGCAGATTTTACACCATCCTTGTCAATAGCCATGTTATAAGATGAATTGTAAAAACGAGAATGACTGGAATAGTAGGCACAACAGTCATGGCACGTTTCTTACTGTTTCTTTCAACTGATATATATATATATATATATATAATCACACACAAAATAGCTGGACTACCAAGAAAAGATATAGATAATTCTTTCAAAAATATATCGAATATATTAATATATATATATATAATAGTAATATAAGAAAATAAAACAGAACAAGGATGATTATGATAAATGTAAATTAAATATTGTATACAAATATATACTTGATACAAGGTGGATATTTTAAAAGGTTCACTTTAAAGAAACAAAAAGTATAATATAAACATATATAAATGTCTATACTGCAGTATTCTCTGATTGGTCATCTCTTGATCTTCCTTTTGATGTTCCAATGTTACTAAAGAAGGCTCTTGTTATTTGAGCCAGGCTTCTTTGTCCATCATCTTCCGGAACCATTGGCTCCCCGTTGTTTCCTGGTTTCAGGTTCATCATCTGTTCAGGCAATCCGGCTGCTATGGCTGCATGTGCTTGTAGTTCATAATGGAGAACAATCATTTGCTTTTGTGTGTAAGACCATAAACAGAGTGCCCAGTAGATCTATTATTCAATTTATAAATATCCCCATTATTATTTATTTATGTTTTGTAATAGAGTTTTTTTTTGCCAACTTACATAACATAGTACTATCATCACATAAATAGATATACCAAATTTTAGCTCGTCTTGCCATAACTTGTTGCAGTTGTAAAGGTCTGATCCAACAACATTGGGTAGATATGTTGCTGTAAAATTGTCGCCGTTACTGTAGTCGACAGTGATCGTGTCGTCAAGAATCTCTCTTGATCTTGAAACACACCAGCTACTAAACTGAGGCCATTGTACACCAAAGAGAATGATGTTGACAAAGAGATCAATGATGAACAGTATATTTATCATCCATATAAAGCGATGAGATTGGCGCAACACTGCTGGTTTGTTCTATTGGATCATATTAATGGACTATATGAGCACATTTTAATTGACTGATTATTACCACAAACAAGCTAAATAAGCCTATTAAAGAAGCAAAGGCAAATATCAGACAGATAATAGCCTGTATGAGTAACGCAGTGTGGTTTAAATAAGAAAACAGAGCTAAAAGTAAAGAAGTTGATAAGTACATATTACCACTTTTTGTTGGGATACAATTACTTACGGCTTCTGTATTGAAATGAAAGGACAGAAAAGTATAGGTTTATTCCCTAACGACTTGGTGTTAATGTTTCACTCTTTATATATATACGTGTGTGTGTGTGTTTTGGATAAACCTACGAGCCAGAATACGCATGCCAATCCACTTCCACCTCGAAGGGACATACACCCACAGAATTTGCGAGTGTAAGCATGCTTGGCATGTATCATTCGAGGCTGGTTATGTATTTCGGGTTGAGCCCACTGATTGTACATGTTATTTATTTTGAGTGAATGAATAAATAAAAGATCAAAAGTATTAAAAAAATAATCAACAGACTTGAAACAAGAAGAAGCAAAAATAAAATAAAAAATAAAGCTTAATACAGGATACTTTACTTTTGCTACTTGCTTTTAGCTAAATGTGTTACCAAAACACCTTTCCAGATCGGGCTTCCCGGAATAGTTTCCTGTATTTACTCGCTTTCACACAATAACACAGGTAAATACGGAAATAAATAAAGGTATATATAAAGAGTGTTGATAGTATGTCTTAATTTAATATATTTTACTATGAAATTGGAAAATAATAATAATAATCCTAAACTATCAATTATGTACATACATACATACATATTCTACATACTGTCTAATATTTCAGAAGAGGCATAATATATGTTGGTTCTTGGCTCCCATTCTCTTTGCACAGCTCTTTTACTTTATTTATCAAAGCATCTCCTTTGATTTCAGATATCTCCTGTGCATGGATACCTCCCAATATCATCACAACATCAAGTTCAGCTTCCTTTGCGCCCAGTACATCGGTTGCTACATTATCACCAATGCAAAGGACCCTACCAGGTTCAGATGATTTTTCTTTGGCCACGTTCTCCAATAAGAACCGATAGATACTCTCGTACGGCTTTCCAAAGTAGAGCACCTCTCCACCCATTTCTTTATACATCTCAGCTATGTACCCAGGACAACAGATCAATCGGTGGCTTCCATCTTCATGAAATCCGTTGGGTGCCCATATGTCAGGATTTGCACATAAGATTGGAAGAGATCGGCTTAAGCACTTTTCTAAAAAAGGTCCATAGTGTTCCCGGATGCTTTTTTCGTCAAAGTAATTCAAATCCTGGTGTTCTTGTAAAGGTGAGACCTTTCCCAATAACACGAACTCCATGGCATCCCAATCATCAGTTGGTTTTATGGTGGGGAATAAAGGACCATAAATTGGTTCTTGCCATGAAGGCAAACCGATCAAATAAAATTCTCCTGTCTTTAGATACTTTTGTACGAATTCAACTGGCCCAAGACGCTCACCCGGGTTGTTTCCTTTTACTATCGTAGCAATACACGATTCGGGCTGGTTTGATTGAGCTGATTTGAGATATTGCGCACAATCCGTGAGAAACAATTTGGTGATTTGACCGCTTGACAAGATTGATTCATAAGAATCAGGCCTAATGTCAAATTTTCTTTGCAAGTCTACACTAAGGACATTGCCTAGACGCGTAGAGTTGGATAATAATATAGTTTTTATGCCGTCGCGGGAAAGTCCCTCGAGTGTCTCTTTTGCATAATAATAGGGTTGAATGCCGTCATGGAGAACACCAAAAATGTCAATTGCTAGTACACTATAATTGTGTACCGGGATGTCTGCCAAAGTTTGGATGAGTTGCATTTTATATATATAGTAATAATAATAAAATCAAATCAAATCAAAAAACAAAGTTCTAGATTTGGCTAATAAACCCAGTACACCTTGTGTGCTTTTCTGGTGACGCAAGAAAGGATTTCTTGCATTTGAATGTGGAGATAAAAGAAAATGTTTTTAAAGTGTTTGCTATTCATCTTTATGTGCCAGATATAAACGCATATCTATCAATTAAAGAGTTAGATATAAAATATATTATTTATCAAACGGCCGATAAAGACTGTGATATTTTTTAAGCAACCTCATTACATAAAATATTCAAATTCGAGTAGAAGGGAGATAACCAAGTAGTCTTGAAACGGTCACCAAAAAAAGCATAATTTATACCAGATTATATCATAAATGAAAGAATGTATATTGATATCATGAATTAAAAGAGCAATGATAAAAGAATCAATTAAAAGTAATAATGCCATACTCATGCATTGATAACTGTTGTAGCGAGTACAAACAAATAGGCATTAGCTACATACTACTAGGTATATCCATCAGTAATACACACACAAATATATATATATATATACAAACAAGCCCTCGAAGTCTAAAGCACTACATATATATCCATTCATGCAACAGCATTATTCATTTTGTTTCCATTTCGATTGAAAGCACTTCATTTGATCACTACCCTCATTGTATATCCCTTTCACTTATTGCTCAAAGTTAAAAAAAAAGCTAATTAAAGATGAGTCAACTGCAAAATAGCCGTCTACGTTTCCGCTTTTATTGGTTCGAAATAGAGTAACAGTTAAGAGCAAATTTACTAAAAAGTAGACAAAAAAAAAGGTACGTGAGTTATTTTTTGCCTTTGAATAATTATAAATAGTAATAAGTATTTACCTGCTCCATGGCGTTCTTCTTGGAGGCGCTGTTCTTGCGATCGAGGATGGCCTGACGGCTCTTGTCAATCTTAAGGTTGGTAACAACAACCTTGGAGGGGTGGATACCAATGGGGACAGTGGCACCGTTGACCTTCTCACGAGTGACACGGTCAATGTGGATAACCCACTTCTTGCGGTAGACCTGGACAATCTTGCCTTCGCGACCCTTGTAGGTACCACGGACAACCATGACCTCGTCATCCTTGCGAACGGGGATGGAGCGAGCCTAAAAAAATTATGACAAAACCGCTTTAGCAAGAGAATGAAAAGCCAAAAAGTAATGCTGATTGAAACTTTCTTTTTCGGGAATGGACTTTATTGTGTCCGTATATATAAAGTTTTTTTTTATTGATGCGCTGTAAACTTACGCTGTGCTTCTCTCTCAATTCCTTGGACAAAGGAGCGCTCATGATCTTACGGCGAATGCTCGAGGGGGCAGTGAAATGAGCCTTTCTGCTCTTGCTGCGATCGGAGCTAACATCTAATACAAGACACACACACACGCACACACAAAACGATTGATTATTAGAGGGTTGTTTTTATTATTTCTCGATAAGTTTCTGTATATCATCCATCTACTGTAGTTCTGTATCCATATCTTCCGATGATGCTTCCCGCCACTATCTATTCTTTACTCACCAGCACTGAACTTCATGGTGGATACGTGTGCACGGAAAGGAGGAGCTATGGTGTGCCGCGTTTCCCGGCACTAAAGGTTCCTCCTCCCTTCCTGCCTGCTTCCCCTCCTCCCCGCACCGGGGGTGTTTCGGACAATAAAATATGCCGGACTTGCTTTTGCCCTGGACCGAACAAACCCTTTTTTTGTATCTCCCACAAAGACCTTTTGTAGGAATAGAGAGAGAAACGGAGACTGCTCTGTGCTTCTTTCTTTTTTTGGACAAGAAAAAAGAATAAGTGTATTTGAACTGTCGAGTTCCTTTAGATCTTCTCAATTAGATATAATAATAGTGCTCTATTTTAGATTGCTTTGCTTTGTACTGGATTTCTCAGCGTTGTAGTTGTCTTTTTATTATGCTAAAAATATTGAAAGAGAAATAAAATCGAATGTTCATAATCTATGTTATAATCACAAATACTAATGGTCGTGTTTAGGACCATTCTTCTTGGTGTAAGTCTTGACTTGACTTTCTGTAACCTTGTACCAAACATAAAATAGCACAGCCATGACTGAATGGATACCACAGGCTACCCAACCCACCAAGTCAGTCAATGAACCATTCTTGCGCGACTGGAAGGAAAGGAAAGCAAGTAAACCATGAAAGGCGAGAAAACTAGCGCCTAAAAAATGTCAACAATAGTATATATGAGTATCGAGAGAAACATTCGGCTCATAATATTACAGACGAAACAATGAAACAAAAAATGAAACGATAAATTACCTATTGCTCGCTTACAAGGAAGTACGTCAGGCATTCCATTGCACAATATACCGCCTGTTCCAAGAGCTAGAATACCAGCGCCAAAAGCGCGCATTATGAATTCACCCTGACCTTCGGCCAAGTTTACGTAAGAAGCAAACAATTGAGGGAAAAAGAAGACAGTAAAGCCAAGAAGACCTTCGAAAACACCATGCTGAATAATAATTAGCCATTGAAATGATCTTTGGTTGTAATCTTACAATGGCAAATACGTTCTTCAGAATAGACATGACGAACTGTTGTATGTTAAAGAAAAACAAGGGGTTAATAGAACACGCCGAAAGAATAGCAGAAGTTGGGGTAATGGGTAAACGCTGTCACAGGCTGGATCTACTGCAAATCGCATAAAAAATAAATAGAATAAGTTGTTATTTCTTTGTCATTACAATAAAAGGCGACTTTTAATACCTTTACGATATTCTGGTGTACCAGAATATTCCAGAGAAGTTTTAAACATATATTTAGCAAATCATGTGCATTCAAGCTGGCGACAGTTTAATAGCTAAGAAAGCTTAACATGTATTAAAATTTTAATTGTCATCATACATAACCAAGGATAATAATATCTATAAAATGTGTATTCAACATGAATAGAGATCATTAGAAAATATAAGATAAAAAGTCAAAAGACGTCGATAGGAAGATGCATTTATATACATTGTAAAAACATAAGGTATGCTATAATATTTAGTCTATTGCCAGTTCACATTTATAGGTTGGGCTATCAGTATATACAGATCATAATGTATTGAGCCTATTTTACTTTACTTTACGTTATCCAATATACCTAGAAAGTTTTGGGCTAAAAGTTGCTTGCTTACACGAGGGATTGAAAAAGAGAACAAGATAGAGTGAATATTACTGTTAAAATACATCCCTAGGCACGTATTCTTTTCTCTTGGCGATTGTTGGGGAAATGGGAATTACATACGGGCTACAAATGTAGTATTACTATATTTTGTCAACTATTAAAGGATATTAATACGGTGGGCATGGTGGTTGGTGGTCGCTATCTTGCAGAGAGAGAACGAAGTGGCGCGAGGATATTGGAGTGGATGTAGAGTGGAAGGAGAGTAGTTGACAGCAAAAACCTTATCTGAGGAAATTTAGTAAAGCAAAATAAAGCAACATTTTTACCTAGTTAAATTAAAAAAAAAAAAACTTTGTCATTTTCCCGTTTTTTGGCAACTGATTCTTATCCCTACGCCCCTAGTCATAAATATTATTTGATGCATCCTAAGTAAACACTGTGGTAATTATATCGCCACTATCAAGCCAAAGAACCGGTACAAGAAATCTGAGCTCAGTCACTTCTTCTAAACTACGTTTTTGTGCAATATAAGTATTTGACTCTAGCTCTAAAATAACAAAATATCTGCAGGCACATGAACAGTTAATAAGGTATAGCTATATTCAGACTTGAATGGTTACTTATATTCGTATAACATTGATTATTATTATTATATAATATTATTTTGCTAACCAAAAGAAAGTTGCGAAAAGTGATATTACAGGTAAATAATATATATATATATATTTGATTGATTGATTGATTGATTGATTGGTAAAAAGACATTCGAAAGTTAAAATAGCTTATATATCAGGTTAGTAGTTTACTTCTCTACCAGCAGTCGCTTCACATAGCATCTCCAAGAACTGTTCACGATTTATGAGATTTGTGGTGCTTTGTATAATCGCGCTTGGGAAAGGAAGATTGTTGGACAGTAGGGAGCTTTGAGCAACCACATTATTTTTCTTTTCCTCTTCCTCTTCCTCTTCCTCATCGTCACTGTCGTCCAGTCCATAGGAACATCCAGAGGAGGCAGACCTCCTTTGATATTCATTCAATCGAAGCATTCCTAACTTCTCCTCCATATCTTTGAGTTCACTGTCCTTTCTTGCAATATCGGTGTTGATGTCACACACAGTGCGTCGTATAGCGTAGAGGGGGGTTGCTAGTGTAGTTTGGCTAAAATACACATAAATCAGTGATTCATACTAAAATGAGATGTCTTATTTTTTTTTACTTACGTTCTAGAGTGCTTGGCCTTTTCCTTGATTTTGTAAACCTTGAACTCTAATTGCTTTAAGATTGCTTCAACAGATTCACACCGGGATGAAGACTCTGCCCACTTAGCGCGAGTATCACTATCCAGATGTCTTTCCCTCAATTTCTCTTGGAGATTGGGATCTTTCTTCTCAAGCGAGTATTTCTTGTATGTTTCCTCTTTTGTTTTCACTTATAGGTATACATACATGTATTTATATTAGAAACAAAAGCTACTTTCACACTAACAATATCTTTCAATTAATACTTACATGCCATAAGATCTTCGAATGCACCATCACAAGATTCCCTAAGCTTTTGAACTTCATCACTTATTCTTTTGTTTTTCTCACTCAGGGATTTAATGGAATCGCCCAAACTTTCAATATCCTCAAGCGACCATTCTTCGATTGGATCGCTAATAAGACAAGGTGATGACTGGGATCTCATTTCACTCTTAATAGTTTCCGAAAGCTGGTCATTTTGATTGGCCATCTAAAAGACATTATATATTAAAGATCTTTCTTTTTCTTTCTCATTTATAGGCCGTGTTCCTTACCTCCTCAAAACTATCGAGAACCTCAAAGTAAACCTGCTCAAATATTTTGCCCATACCCTAAAAGTAAAAAGAGTATTAGTACATAAATTTGTACTGCATTCCCATAAATTTATCAATAATTACATCTTCTGCTGTAGACTTTCGCGGAGTTGGCGCCGGCTTTGGTTTGGTAGTACTTTTTGGTGATGCTGATGTTTGTTTGGTGGCTTTTGGAGGGCTCACGGAAGAAGTACTTGCAGCAGCAGGACTGGGATTTTGCGGAGAGGGAGGGTTAACAAGCGCAGACTTTGATAGAGGAGAGTTTACAGGCTTAGGAGAACTGAAAGAGAAGCCACTCTTTACTTCTGGTGTAGCAACAGGAGCGGCAGGTTTGGAAGATCCAAATGAAAACCCACTCTTAACTTCTGGAGCAGCAGCAGGAGTAGCAGGTTTGGGAGATCCAAATGAAAACCCACTCTTAATTTCTGGAGCAGCAGCAGGAGTAGAAGGTTTGGGAGATGCAAAGGAAAATCCGGCCTTAACTTCTGGAGTAGCAGCAGGAGCAGCAGGTTTAGGAGATGCAAACGAAAATCCAGCCTTTACTTCTGGAGCAGCAGCAGGAGCAGCAGGTTTAGGAGATGCAAACGAAAATCCAGCCTTTACTTCTGGAGCAGCAGCAGGAGTAGCGGGTTTGGGAGATGCAAACGAAAATCCACTCTTCACTTCTGGTGTAGCAACAGGGACGGTAAGTTTGGACGATCCAAATGAGAACCCACTCTTCACTTCTGGTGCTGCATCAGGGGTAGTAGATAAAGAGGAAGGTTTAGGTGAGGGTGTAGTTTTTTTTTCTTGTTCATTTACTATAGGTGTCTCGGGTTTTGCACCAAAGTGAGTAGAAGAAGATTTGTCGGTTTTTTGTACAGGCTTAGGAGACTCTTTGGGGGCACCAAAAGCAGAAACTTTGGGTGCTCCGCCGAATGATGGGATTGGGACAGTTGAGGGAGTGTTGAATGAATTTCCAGATGAGCTAGAGCCGAAGCCGAAGCCAACGTCCGAAGTCTTCTTATCCTTTCCTAATCCACCAAATCCACCGGGGTTGGCCTGCCCAAATGTGGAGGTCTGCCCAAATGTGGAGGCCTGCCCAAATGTGGAGGCCTGCCCAAATGTGGAGGCCTGCCCAAATGTGGAGGCCTGCCCAAATGTGGAAGTCTGTCCAAGTGCAGATGCTTGTCCAAAGGCAGCAGGTTTGCTGGGGGTATTTGCCAAAGGTGATTTTGTTGGTTCTTCTTTGGCTTTTGGTGCCTCGCTATTGCTATCTGGCTTGGGACTATTGGTTGTGATTGAAGCTAGAGACTGACTAGGTGCTGCCGTTGTGGAAGTTGACTTTCCAAAGCCAACAGCGGTGGTACTTCCAAAGGCAGGTACGCTGGGTGTTCCAAAGCCAGAAGATCCAAATCCACCCGCATTTTGACCCATACGGCCAGGTGTAGGAGCGCTCGGGACACTTGCAGTACCTGCAAGACTACGAAACAAAGGCACTTTGGCGTCTGATGTTGTAGCATTGCTATCTTTAGGCAAGAAACTAGAGAACGATCCACCTGTCTGCTGCTGTTGAAGTGCTGCGCCAAAGGCACCCGTAGATGTGACTGTGCTTCCAGTGCTTCCACCACCTGACAAGAGGTTGGCAAAGGAAGAATTGGATTTTGGTGCTCCAAACCCACCAAAACCACCTGTCATAGGAGTGGAGGATCCAAATTTAGCTGGCTGGCTTGTCTGGCCAAAGGCGGGTGTTGAACTATTAGCGCCATTTCCAGACAAAAGATTTCCAAAGGAGTTTGATGTTTGTTGAGTTTGGGAAGATCCTCCAAATGCTGGTACGGGTGTAGCATTTTGTGTTGTATTTTTAGATACAGATGTAGCGGAAGGGTTGTTGATATCTTTCAATTCCACCATGCCTCCAAAAGGTTCTCCTTTTCTAGCAAGTTCTTTGTTGTAGCAGTAATAAGCCAAAATATGGCCTTCGTCATTAATGAAATAAACAACTGGCATTGGATCGACTCCTTTATCACTTTCGCTAGGATCAAATGGTGGAAGAAGTTCAGATGCAGAAAAATCTAAAGCGACGCCCAATGGGAATGTGTCTGTGCTGTCTTCTTCCGAGAGGGGCATATTGGCCTGGAAATTTTCTTCTAATGTCCATGTGGCCCACTCTCCTTCTTCATCTTGACCAACGACGGATATCTCTCCTGTTGCAGTGTTTGCGAGAATAATAGCGTGCTTGACATCTTTTCCGAGATCACGTATAATTTCCATATAAAAGTGTCCACCACGCCCATCATTCGAAAACACGGGAGTTACTTCTGCAAGTTGAGTATATACTGGGCTTCCAATCTTTGGTCGTCTTTCGATAATGTAAGCATCGTTTACATGTTCATCGTCATTTGATGCACGCGGGCGAGTATAGATTGCGAGGAAGATATGGGTCTCAACCCACAATATATCCTGGACTAGAATTTTTATAAGGATTTTTGTTGATGTGATTTCTTTGGCGAGAGTCTGAATTTCTTACCGTATCTATCCTCAATTTCATCACCCATTCCAGCTCTCATTTCATTAGGAATAGGAAGGGAATCCTTCTTGTTTCCTTGAGTATCATAATGGACAATTGAGCCCTGGTGTGTTCCGCACACAATCTGCTTTCCCTTTGGGGACCAGCAAATTGCGGTAATATCTTCTTCAGGAATGATCGTAGTTGTGTCTCCTGTTTCCATACTGATAATCCTACAACTATCCCCTTCAAAACGAATGGCAGCAAGATCAGGGAGATCTTCTGGGTTGGGACGTAAGTCAAGGATGTTTTGTTCAAATTGATAGTGTTTGATTGGTTGAACATTCTCGCCCTGATAAAGTTTCGTGATTAATAGTCAAGTTTATTCTATCGAGTTGGCATAAACAAATAATAGAATTCTCACCAAAGTATTAATATCTTTCATGCTGTAAATAAACAAATGACCATTTGCAACAGCTACTACGACGTTAAGTTCATCGGCTGTGAGGCGCAATTGGTGAACAGGTCCCTCGTTTACTTTGACAACAGTCTTATTGTCCAAAGCCCCGATATTTCCTTTGCCAGTAGTTTTCAATCCGTCGCGTATGGATTTTGTTTGTCCAAAGATAAAACCTGAAATGCATGTATGCATGTATGTATGTATCAATAATATGATATTAGAGTGATAAGTTTGCTACCTTCAATAGATCCAGCTACAAAATAGCCATATTTGCTAGAGCATGCTAATAGAGAGACATCAGAGGGGTAGTTTTCGATGTCAAACTGGGCATCCTGTAGTGAAATCTTGGCATCGGGAACTATACTGTTGAATCGAAAGAACTGCGGCAGATTGAGTTTATGTATTTTTGCGATGCAGTTTATTCTAATGGGTAATTGCTACCTCCACATCCTTTCCAGCTGGAATTGGTGCCTCGTTGGTATCTGATAGTATTGAAAATGGATTCATGATCAAACGTGTATCTACTATACGCGGTTGCCGGTGTCAAAATGGGAAGTGAACCATTGCTTTAAGCAAAAACGACGTCACCCGAAAGACAGTCCAATTTTCACTTTGGATCAGGAGTGCCTTTTATCATTTATGCATTGTTTTCAACTATCCACTGATCATGCCAAATTAGGCTTTCCAACGCGTAAGAGCCGCACCAGAATTTCCTGTGGGTACTATCAAAGGTTTTAAGATGATGCAATACTTCTTGTTTGTCAATACTGTGTCTCCAATATAATGAGATTACCCTCTCTTTTTGCTTTGGTCACTCGAGTTTTAAGGAGTCTGACAGTGTGAGGAGAGCAATTCTCCTAAATCCTAACAATGAGCATATATTCGACAGTTGTGTTGCTCAAAAAATATGGATTTTTTTTTAAAAAAAAAGAGTGGGGATATATATCATATAATATAAAGTGATACGATCAGCATTAAAGTAAAATCCATTTAGAAGACTCCAAATAAGATAATTAAGTAGACAGATTCTTTTATCATATCACTGCATAAGGATAAAAGGGTAGCCTATATACTGGGTCTGTTAAAGCCTGGTGCAATTTAATACAGCCCACACATCTGACATATAACATTCTAAAGACACTTGAAAAACTGCCTGAAAACCAATTTCTCTTCGTCTAAATTTCGCTCTCTTTTTGTCCACAAAAGGTAAGCAGATTTTCTACATTTACATTCTGATTCATATAAAACATTTCCTGAATTGTCCTAATCTCTAGTAAAGACACTGTAATAAAAATATGGCTGAACAGTTCACGAAAAACTTATGATATTGGATATGGAATTAAACGAAAGGGATGTCTATTAAAAAATAGGGGCAGAAAACAAAACAAAGCAAAGCAAAATCTAATGAGGTGAATTGTTGTCGGAAGTCCTCGTTGCAGAACTACGGGATACTACACTAGAGGTGTTTTTCGCTACAACGCTGTTAAGCAAGGGAAACTCTTCAAAAGCGAAGTTCCAGTAAGCGCGGCATATCATGTATACAGTGACAGCTACCAGTACAGCTAGCAGATCAGACTTATCAGATTGCTTGCTGCCTTCACATTACATTCCGGTGCATGACAAGATAGCATTATACTCCAAAAACAATCTTTAGATGAACAGAAGTAACAGTAAATCCAAGTTTATTAAATAACAGCCCTATTACTTATGGGAGACTTTATTATTTACTATGAAATTAAATTAATTAGTGCACTTAATGTTATATACATAGAGAGAGTTCTTTTTAAGTACAACAAAAAATTAGCTCATCTTCAAGATTGTTAAGACATTGCTTTATCGCTGCCTATAGCAATACTTGTAATCATCTTACCACAAATCCATGCAATAATCTGACACCTACTTTTGGCTCAAGCAGCTGTAACGCTGATACACCTGTCGCTTCCATAACTGATATAAATGATTATGAATATAGTCTAGCATTTACTACCAGTACTAGTACTAATGATAATTTATCGGTGACAAGCACAAAAAATACTGATGACTGGAATGAAGAAATTAAGAAATCAAATTAAAAGAAAATTACAGGAAATTGAGATATTACCCGAGAAATTTGAGAATACTAGAAGACTTGTAATGTTTCGCTTATTGTTAAGTTGAATACATTTTTTGTTTGTTATTAAACTTAAATTACAAAAATAAACTGCTCCATCTAATGCGCTCTCTTAATATTATTAATAATATGATTATATGTATGGTAAAGCACTAAACAGTATTGAAGAGGCATGTTATGACTCTTCTCGATTATCACAGCTGTAAGCATCTGACACCAGCATTTTACGCTCAAATAGTTTGATATTTAAGTTTAGTATATTGCTTCTAATTTTAAATATGTAATGAGCAGGCTTTCCATTGAATAAATATCTACTAATTTAACTACAATTAACAGAAACGTTACTAGAGCCAAAACACTGTATGCTTATATTAATTAAGGCACGGTTAAGTGATATGAATTAAATCAAACAGCACATTTTCCTCTTATTATGGTTTATTCATTTTTTGACCGACAATTTGTTTTTGCATTAACCGATATTCTCAACTTTCTGTGATTGACGGTATCCACCAGCTGGGCTGTATAATCAAGGTCAAAGTATAAGATAAGAGAAATAAAGTCTTTTAGACTCAGTTAATAACCATCTCCAATCTGGAGGATATCCTTCTTTCCCCCTTTCGGGCCGAATATAATAAACATGCTCCTTTACCCTTAATCATCAAAATGCACTTTGTGGTACTGGAAATAAGTATCACAAAAATTTATCCCTTAGTGTCAATAATACGTCATAATACTCTTGTTTCTACTGTATGGAAGCTTGGCTGTAGATTTTGTGTTAGCATTAAGATAATTAAACTTTTTTTCTGAGATTCCCAGGGATTGATAATAAGGTTCTATGTTGTTGTTGCTGTTGGAAATGCGGTTCAAATCACCCACAATAGACTGTTGGTGGTAGACACAGTAGACTTACCTTACATTAGATGACAATTCTGGTGTTGCATACAAATGTTGAATGCTAGTAATAAAACAAAGTAAACAGATCTACTCAATAAAACGATGGAATCTTTGTACTTCCAACCCTAGGTTACATTACTCGGAATATTAATGTGTGCGTGGCTGAGGTTTGAAACGAGCTCCGTTCCTTGGTCTGGAACCCACTCTCTGGTAGCATAACCCTAAAATAAAGCCTTAAATATATTGTATCACAGCATAAAATAATCACCACATTTGCAGCCTTTTTACATCTTGCCCTTCAATATGACGCTCATATTACAAGACATGATAATAATAATACAGTAGGCGCTCATATCGTTGCGGTTGACCATAGATTTCTCTTTTTTTGCTGTTTATTGTAATGTATGACAGTATATTACAAACCTGTTACTTGTGTTGGTCTTGCACTGAAATGTGTTGCCTTTTCTTTTGAGGAGAGAATGGAGATGTTTTATATAGATGGAGATGAAAACCGATCGACCAAAACTAGGTGAACACCTACTAATTATTCTCTGGGTACAACTTTTAGAGGCACATGACTGCTATATACCTTGTTGACTTGCGGCTTTATTTTATTGTTTTCAACAAAGTCTTTTTTGTGGAATAGAGTCGCATTTGTATTATCCTTTTGTATTTCAAAACTAAGGTGTTATTGTGTAATGGACGCTCCTTCCTTCCACCTTATTACCTTTTTAAAAGTAAACCCTATTGCCTTCAAAACAGTCAGTTATCCATTTGGTTTGTATTTCATTTTATATTTTCTCCAACTTCAACTGGTGAACGAGGCAAACCAAACCAATACTTCAGTTAGATAAAAAAAAGCCAATTTACCCGCTACTGTATATCATTATTGTTTATCTTTGGTGGATAATCAGTCCAACATTTTGCAATTATTCAAAGGAAATTCAACAGTTGTATGTCTACACCACAGTTAAAGTAGTTTCCCATTATTCAAAAATTACTCTTGAAAGTTTTGGATATTTATGACTATAAAGTACAGTCTTTATTTATATGGTCATTCGATGCAGTAGTAGTTCAATGTTTGGAATTGAGGCTGCTATATACAACAAAATTTAAAGCAAAATTTACAAGTATAAATGCAATCGGGATATTACTTTTATTCCCAAAACTGAGAGGTCATTTTGGATTGGCTGAATAGTACCTATTTTTCAAATATTGGTGGGGACCATACAAGATATCTTGGGTTTTAATGGTGGGAAAGTGAGCCAGATGATTACAAATATTCTGTTTATTCTCTGGTCTGGATGTAGAGACGTTAAAGAAAAACGTATACAGACTAGGCTATAACAAAAGCAATGGGGATCATATTGTGATGTAAGGTTTAGGTTGACTGAAAAACGAAGCAGTAGACCGTGTGGTTAATGGTACTTTAAAGAATATATACACAATACATTAAGTATGATTAATAGGGAAGTGCGAGAAAATAGGATTGTCGGTTTCTCATCAGTGACAAAAGTTGGAGTGGTATGTGCATAACCGAGTAGGAAACAGTTGGCACTTTATGTAGCTAACCAGCCAAGCGATTACCATATTAATGCGTATAAGAGCATATTTATATCAAGACATATTTGTAGATATGTGATTAAGTAATCAGACCGATAACTAATACACAATACTGAATAGATATTATCTCAGAGATTTGATTCTATAATACTGCAAATAATAATGGTTTTATTGCTGTTAAATGATTTTAGCTTTATATCCGAAACAGTAAATGTTTTATAAGCAGTACATATGGTTTGTAGTGTGATCAGAAAGAAGAGTGGCGAAATAAAGGAGTAAGAAAAAACAACTGCTCTCCTGAACTTATCTTTCGTGTATCCCATGCTCTGTACTTGTGAAACTGATGCTTATTTCAAATCAGTTTTCATTGTCAAGGGATTGTGCTTGCTCAACAAAATAAATTTGACCTCAGAACAACAGCAATGTCACTTATACTTCTTGTGAATTATAAAACTTTGGTTTTCAGCAGTTGGATAGAATTTCTGTATTACAGTATTTCTGGCTGAATTTCGAACGTTTTCTTTCTCTTTTTGGATGGTAATCTTTTAAAATTTATAAAGAAGATTTCAATTTCAATTTTTATTATTATTATTTGAAAAATAATATTCATTTATGTATTCATTTTGGACAAGTCAATAATATCAAGCTGAGACAAGCATTCAAGTATAAACATTCATACTGAATCAATCTGAAAAGAAGATATCTGCTTTATACATGAGTAAATTAGCTCTTTTTTATATATGTATTACTATGTATTTAGATATTCAATAAATATAAGGTATATGGGTTCTACTAGTAATGTCTTCCAAAAAAAAAAGAGTTACTTCTTCTATACTGGATGTTTTATTAGAGAGAGAAGGTGTAATAATATGCTATAATCCATGATAATACAAAAGCAGGTATGTATTAATTACAAACCAAATTTACATTACCTTTGCTCCCAAACTACACATAAACATCCAACATTTACTCTCGATATATAATGTATTGTTTCAATCTCAAGTGAAACCACTGTACTCGTCTATTTTACAAACTAGCAAATTATAACCCTGATTGTCACCAACTCATACCACTTGGATCAAAGCACATATTTAATTATTTTTGAAACAAAAAGTGAATTTTATTATATCGTAATAGAATAAAAAAAATGCAAAGACTGGAAAGAATCATCTTATGGATGATGGACCGAGTACCGTAAAATGGATTGATGAGGTTTTTTTAAGCAGACTTGCCAGCAACAAAGGTCTTGACAACCTTTCCAAAGTTCTCACCCTGGGTCTGAGCAATTTCCTTCTCCTTCTGGGAAACCTGGCGAGAGCCATCACCGTTGGCAACGGTGCCAGAGCCATAAGGAGAACCACCAATGACCTCGGAGGTGTCAAACAGGTGGGGGCTGGCGAAACCAAGAGGAACGTAGATCATACCGTGATGGGCAAAGTAGGTGATGGTGGTGAATGCAGTGGTCTCCTGTCCACCAGACTGAGCAGCAGTGGAGAAGAAGGTACCGGCGAACTTGCCGGCAAGAGCACCAGTGGACCAGAGCTTACCAGTAGAGTCAAGGAAGGCCTTGACCTGGGCGGGCATGGTACCGAAACGAGTACCGAAACCAAAGATGATACCATCGGCCTCAGTGAGCTTCTCAGTGGTGATAATGGGGACATTGGGCTTAGGGGGGGCGTGCATCTTGGTGAGGATCTCGTCACTCAAGGTCTCGGGAACTGTTTAATGAAAATATAAGAATCGCAAAGTACGTGTATGAAAACAAAACCTTGGGATGAATTACTTACCCTGGAAGATCTCGGCCTGGATGCCAGAGGCAAGCAAACCCTTCTGGACCTCCAAAGCGAGGGTGTAGATGTGGTGGTAGAGAGTGTAGATAACGATGTGAATCTTGGCAACCATGTTGTGTTTTTTGTTATTTGAGAGTTTGAGTGGAGATAGAGTTTTTTGAAAAGGTGGTCCTGAATGCTTTTATAGATCCCAAGAAAGCCTGACAACTCCGCGTAATTTTTCAGCTCTTTGTCATGGTGAGGATATCCTGTATTACGCTACCACCTGGACTGTCTTTCTTACACATCAATGACAAATGTCGGAACTTAAACCAAAGACAAAAAGGAAGGGCAATCAAAAAAAAATATTGTGCAATTCTATCTTTCACATTATGCCCGTCGTTTACATTATCTTCTACTCACTCTATGGCCACGTTTACACTTTATCAGAAAGTGTGAAGCAAGGTCTTGAGTCTCAGGGTATTACTGTCAAGGTGTTCCAGGTAAAGATATACATACAGATATACATATACATATACATATACATATACATATAGATATTGATTGGGACTTTGTTCACAAAAAGGTTCCTGAGACATTGTCTGAAGACATTCTCGAGAAGATGCATGCTCCCCCAAAGCGGGATATCCCTGTAATTACAGTTGAAGAGCTCTCCAAGGCTGATGGCTTTTTGTTTGGTAAGTCCGAGGCAATCAGAGTAAATATTCTTTTCTTGCTGACAATCTGTGAATTTACCTTTAGGTATTCCAACTCGCTTTGGTACCATGCCCGCCCAGATCAAAGCCTTCCTTGACTCTACTGGCCAATTGTGGGCTACTGGTGCCCTTGCCGGAAAGTTTGTTGGTACCTTCTTCTCTACTGCTGCCCAGTCTGGTGGACAGGAGACCACTGCATTCACCACCATCACATACTTTGCCCATCACGGTATGAACTATGTACCTCTCGGTTTTGCCAATGCCAACATGTTTGATACCACTGAGGTCATTGGTGGTTCTCCTTATGGTTCTGGTACTGTTGCAAATGGAGATGGATCTCGTCAGGTTTCTCAGAAGGAAAAGGATATTGCTTCAACTCAGGGTGAGAATTTTGGAAAGATTATTCAGACTTTCCATAAAGGAAGTAAGATTCTCAATGGAGAGGCTTCCGAGCCTGCGGATAAGGTTCAGACTATTGCTACCGAGACTCTTTCTGTCGAGCCTCCTGTCGTCACCGAGGAAAAGCCCAAACCTGCCCAGGAAAGCTCCCGATCTGTTGCAATTCCTGCCGATTCTGATTCCCCAAAGAAATCCAGCAAATGCTTCTGCATGTAAACCATGCGATTCCCATCCCTTTTATCTTTTCTTTAAAGAAGAGATAACTATAATTATTACTGCAAAAATCACCTATTTACTTATTTTTATACTACTATCTTATTCAATACCATTTACCATTTATATTATACTACACATTTACTTTGCATTTGATCCGTTTAATCAATAAATTACGTGTCCTGCACTCATAAACTCCTTTTAATAACGCCTATCATGATTTCAGATCGCGTAATCTTTATTTTATTTGTATTTCCATAATTGTATTTTAGAAGAACCAACGTGTCAAATATTGTTATTTTTTTATTTTTTTTTCAAAAAAAAAATCGGAGATATGAAAAGTTATTCAAACCCTTACGTTTTTCTCCAATTGATTCAATCTTTGTTTGTACCATAAATGACAGATCAACCAATCTTCATTGCAGTCCATGTTGGAGCAGGCAAGAGATCTACAACCTGAAACGCAAGCTTATTGTACATTTAGGTCATTTGTCACGACGAAATGAGGCGCGTTATCGATCGGCATGTGGAAGGTAAATGAGATCTATGTTTGGATGCAATGACTCTTGATGACTTTTTGTGTATTACTACACTCAAAGGTCGTGCGAGGAGGCTATAAAGGTGTTGAAAAAAGGTGGTAGTGCAATAGACGCTATCGCCGTTGCGATTTCAGTGTTGGAGGTACCAGCTTCATTTGGTACACACACACGTGTGTACACACTTTATTTAATAATAATAATAGCAATATTTTACTAGGATGACCCTATTACTAACGCAGGTAAGATATTACAAGAAATTGCAGCTTATTATTAAGTAATAATTTTCTATCTTGAAAAGTTGATGGTTATTACGAATATACACATATACATATATACATATTGTATTTTATTGTCACCACTTATTAATTATTATTATTACCTTTAAAAACAAATGCTCTTTATAATTATAATGATAATAATAATAATAATAATAATAATAAAGGGTATGGATCAAATCTGACATTTGATGGAAAGGTTGAATGCGATGCTAGTTTGATGAGTGGTAAAGGTGGAGACTTTGGGGCAGTTGGTGCTGTGGCTGGCTTAAAGAACCCTATAATGGTTGCAAAGCAAATGGTGACTGAAAGCATCAATGGTCTCTTACCATGTGGCCGTGTTCCTCCCATGTAATTTTCTTTCTTCTAGAATTGAAAGTAAAAATACTTTCTCTGTCTCTGTTTCTCTATATATCTCTAGCTCTCTAACTTGCTAATATATCACAGGCTCTTGACTGGACAAGGGGCATTAGATTGGGCTAAAGAACATGGCATAAAAGCGGTTTATGAAAGTTCACTCTTGACGGGTAAAATATAAAACGATCATTTTGTATTGAATTTTGTTAAAGACCTATTATTCTGCATATCCTTTAAAGAGGAATCCATGAATACCTATATTAGACATATGAATATACTTGCTTCAGAGCCGAGTAGTCCGCCAGACTATGGTCATGATACTGTGGGTGCAGTTTGTATCGATATATGCGGGAATATTGCTTCAGGAGTGAGCAGTGGGGGGATATCCTTGAAATCTCCGGGACGTGTGGGAGAGGTAAGAGTTTGATTACCTATATGGACATATTGGAGTGGTTGAACATTTAATCCACCTCTTCCGATTAGGCCGCGATATATGGAAGTGGATGTTGGGCAGAAAATCCGACAGAAACAAAACCAGGAATAGCATGTAGTACTTCTGGCACTGGAGAACAGATAATGCGGACTCAATTTACAAGTAAATGTGCTAATCGAATTGCAAGGCAACTAGACATGCAATCTGCCATGTCAGATTCGATGAAAAAGGACTTTCTAGGTAAAAAAAAAAGTAAGTCATGATTTGTCATTGATGACTTATATTGTGTTATCTAGATTCGCCTTTTCTTCGTATGTACGATGAGAAATCGGTTGGTATTATAGCCCTAAGAGCAGAAAAATCTACGAACACAAGTAATTATTAAAAAAAAAAATCAAATGAATCAGATGTTGATGAGTCTAATTACTTTAGGAATTGAATTTTGGTACGCTCACATCACTGAGAGTATGGTAAGCCGGGCTTTGATAAATAATGCATTATATTGATTTTTTTCTTTAGGGTATTGGTTACATGTCTGGAACATCCAAGAAACCAAAGGTATATTTCTTCGCAAAATTAACTTTCTGGCTTACTCCACATGTTGTCTTTAGACATTTGTTTCTAGAAAAACCGCCACAGACACTATGGTTTCTTCCGGATTACTCATCACTTGATGCTCAGAATCTGCTTATTTAATACAAGCCCACCAGCTATTATTCTCCTCATTTTGTTAATCAATCTTAAACGACCAAAATAGGGACCTTTATTGTTTAGCGTAGTACATTTGCTCTTTGTGGCTCAAACTAAATAGTCGCAGTCTCTTTTAAAGAACAGAAGATGCCAAAACCAAAATATATAATAAAAATAATTCAGTTACTTAAGTAAAATGCGAAACACTTAATTTATTCATTCGCTAATTTTAGGGGGACGACATTTCTTGGTGGTGGTAACATCTTGATTCAACCGGACCACAAATCGCGGCCTTTTTTTGCCGGCATCGAATAATTCTATCTGGTCCCTAAAGATACAGAATATTCATAAAGACTCTCTTTTGTGGTTTGCAAAAAAGAGCGGATTGGAATTACTTACCAGTTGGTGCAATCAAACTCTGGAAATATAAGTAGGTGAAAGAAAGGGAAAGGCATTATACGCGTAAGAAGACCAGTAAATAGGAAAATATTCAAAAATATTGCATCACATTCTAATGACAACACCACCTTATGATTTTCTGCATGACTGGCTATTAATGTAGTGGATATGTGACTAATTATTATTTCTTTATTATGAAGTTACCAAAATACAGGCTGTCGCTCTTAAAATAATGAGAGTTTGGGGTCTGGGGAGAGATATATAAGTACAAGGTGTGGGAACAAAGTAGTAAAGCCAATACATACAATGGATATATTGTATTTCTTTGAGGACACACAATTTTGCCCTGAAGGATTAGAGAAAGACGCCGGGCCCCGGACATGTAGTCAGGATTGATTAGTCCGGTTAGATAGAAATATCGTGCCCCACCAGGAAACATGGTTACCATAAGATTACTGCAAAGTCTGACCCCCAACCCAGAAAAAATGCGTGTAACCATAAAATACTTATTATGAGTGATGTTGCCTACTTTTAGGCTGACCAGGCTGACCTAGAAGGCTGTCCGTAAGGTTTCACTTAAAAAATGATAGTGTAAGCAAAGTAGGCTATATACACCAATGTGACGCAATATTAGAAAGCATTATAGTGCAAATACGTCTCCATTTTGGCTTATTTCTTGTTATACGTTCACAGTTTTGCTATTTTATATACACATTTACATATATATCAATATGTCAATTGGTGTTCCCATCAAACTTCTTCATGAGGCTCAGGGCCATATTATATCGTTGGAACTCAAGACAGGTGAACTGTACAGAGGCCAATTATTGGAAGGTTTGATCACAATGACAGATCCGCATTGCTTAAACAACCTTTAACCAATCTATTACAATATGATTAGCTGAAGATAATATGAATATACAGCTCAGAGGTCTCACTGTGACAGGGCGTGATGGTAGAGTAAAACAATTGGATCAAGTCTACATTCGTGGAGCACATGTCCGATTCATTATTGTTCCCGACATGTTGAAGAATGCACCAATGTTTAAGAGAGTAGGACCGGGTGCGCTTAAGGGTAGAGGTATTGGTTTAGGTAGAGGAAGGGCCACAGTTGCTCGTGCTCAAGGTAAGACCCAGTTTAAACAAAAAAAAGAGAATATTATCATTACTCATTATTTTATGAATATATATTTAGCAAGAGGTAGAGGACGTGGATTCCGTGGTCGTGGGGGACCTCCTGCTCGTCATTAAGCAACAGACGGGCAGGCCGGATCGTAGGTTACTTTTGCTTTTGCTCTTCACTATACACAATTTATCGTTGACAACTTCATCCTTCTTTTTTCCATGTATTATAATGAGATAAGCAAATGGAGGGATGAAGAAAGAAACAGAAAGTATTATTCTAACGAATAGAATGCGAGTTCTTCTTTTAATAGTATAAGTAGAATAAGGTATGATTGTATTAAAATAAATAACATAAATAAAATAGTTAAACAAACAGGAGCAAGAGATAGAGAGAGAAACTACAAGAACGATGGAAGAAATGTTGAGAAAGGTGGAGTACAGTACAGTATTTAGACAGCTGTGTAACCACCGTCCACATAAAGTTCAGAGCCAGTGACATAGCTACTGGCGTCACTAGCCAAAAATACAACAGCGCCCTTGAGTTCCTTGGGGTTACCCATACGACGCATAGGAATCAAGTTAGTCCAGGCAGCAGCAAGTTCGGGTTGAGTAGCAAAGATCTTGTCCAACATCTCAGTGCGCATGTAGCCAGGGTTAATTGCATTAACACGTACACCACGTGTGGCCCATTCAGTGGCAAGACACTTAGCCATTGATGACACGGCACCTTTGGTGCAGTTGTACTATACATACGTCGCGTTAGTTTGTGTTGTGTATGTTATATGAATTACTCACACCACACTGGGCTTGAGGCTGGTTGGCAACAGTAGCAGAGATAGAAGAAATAAGGATAACACTGCCCTGCTTCTTCTCCAACATGTATCTAAATAACGACAAATACTTAGCCATTACTCACACCACATATATAAATTCTTACTTTGAAACAGCCTGGACACCATAGAATACACCATTGACATTCACGTCAAACAGCTTTTGCCAGTTTTCGATATCAAAAGTCTTTTTATAGATGTCGTGCTTAATATTACGTACCACTTTATTAGATACATTCATTTTACTTACCTCTGCTGCTCCTCCAATGGAAATACCGGCGTTTGCGACAAAGATATCAATACCACCAAAATCAGAATGGATCTGATCAATTGAATCCTTGACGGCCTTTGCATTGGTAATCTCTGCCTTGTAAGCCTTGCAGACCACACCATATTGCTTGGCAATTTCAGCAGCGGTATCATGAGTCTTATCATCTGAGACATACATAAGAGCAACATCTGCACCAGCCTCAGCGAGACCTCTGCTCATCTCGAGACCGAGACCTCTAAAATAAACTCGTGAATATTCTCCAATTCTATCTCACTTTTCTTCGGATCTTGTTGTAAAATTTTTTTACCTAGCACCACCAGTAACGATTGCCTTTTTGCCTTTGAGTGAAAAGATAGAAGCCATTATGATGTTTAAATAATATACAGTAAGCAGTAAAGAACAGAAAAAGAGATAGAAAGAGAAAGACTTTTTTTTTGCTTTTTTGTTTGAAACTTTTTATGTAAGACGCTCTTCCCCAAGTTTTCCTTAAATTATTTGCAAAATCTCCGAAAAAAAAAATTGCATACTTTTTTTTTTTGTCTATTTTCAACCTCAAAATCGTACATTTTTTAAGCTCAAGTTCGCAAATGTATTAATGTGGATTTCTGCTGCAAATATCCCAAAAACTAAAGTATCCCATAGTCAGCATTTGACAATACCAAAAAAAAAGTAAACATAATTTATTCTTATAGTTTGCTAGCATATATTCTAAAATATAGCTCTGTCTATTACTGTAGTAAATATAACAAGTGAAAACTAATCATAAAATGTGGGAGTCTAGCTTTTCAAGTGGGTAAATGAAATCAAAGATAAAAATTAAATGGGCAACATTTTTTTTTCGGAGATCGTGCTGAAGATTTAGGGTAATAATGTACACTTAAAACGCTTTAGATAAAACATGGAATATCCAACCGGAAAATTCGGGTACGGGGATTTACCTAAATGCAGAATTTTTATCATATATTCTCTAAGAATAAATAAAGTATTTACACAACGGTAAATTCATATTTGTTTCTTTACATATCGAGTGGAATATCCAAGCTATCACTTGAGGAAGAGAGAGGGAGAGAGAGAGTTCATGTTTGAGACGACAATAGTAAAAAGCAAACACTCCAACAATCAAACAGAAGAACGACCTTGACCAGATAATGTCTATTGAAAAAAAATATCGAAAATGTTACTTGTTGACATTAATATCCTTTTTGGTACATAGTCCCGCAACTTGTACAAACCAGGGTGTTTATTCAAGCTAAAGATGACATTAGTTTAAAGATAGCTTGCCACAATAACTGCGCGTTTTGAAATGAGTATACATTCTAAATGACGTAAAGCATTATGAGCATGATGAATATATTGACTTGTATGTATGGTATTGCATTTAGAACATTAAGATCTATGTTTTATATTATGGTGAGTTCCATTCTTTTCTTTTCCTTTGTTTTGCTGCATGTCATGAGAAAGTTATATCCACTATGGTAAAAAAAAAAGGGTGACTTTAGTTGGAGATTTTTGCAAGATTGACCGGGATTTAAGGGCTGGTTTAAAGTTGGATTTCTCCTAACAGTGCTTTAGGATAGATATCAAAATTCTCTGATTTGTTTCAATTTTCTCTGATTTTATTTGTAGTTATTATTTTATATTTGACATAGGTAGCGAAAGAAAAGGTCAAAATCTTTAGATGGTGCCATGAAAGATAAAATCAAATAGCATAAAAGTTATAATACATATTCTGCCTATGGATTTATAATTTATCAGCTCGTACTTTTGCAAATGTTATGGGTATTTGAAAAGCATTCAAAATAATTGGTAGTCATTCCCTAATTCACCATATTATTAAGACCACTCTACGGCTTTCCTGCAATTAGGAATACTTAAGTTCAAAAAACGTTTCTAACATTAGCAAAAAAAAAAGAAGTTTTTGTTTTTAAGCGGTTACTGTAAAGACAATATTTTTTTTTAAAAAAAAGACTCTCTTCAAGGCGGCCCGAGTTAACTGGATTGCTTTTGATAATACCCAATAGCAAATTATATTACAGAAGAAGTTTATCTAGGATCTACATATATGATTAAATGACAAAGCTACCAATTTACTGTTCGTAAAGATGATCATATTCTTATACATAGTTTATACCACACTGGCGTGATTTAAACAGTAAAAGAAGTTATGTATATGTCATATGTGGCGCACGAGTGTGGTCCGGTTCGCTCTGACCTGGATGTCCTCGGAGAGTTACGCCATAATTAAATTTTGGATTTCCCAGCTGGATATCCTAAGGGTTGACCTTCTCTTGTCCCCTCATTTTGTATTGTTTATTGATATTCTTGCGCCATCGTCATCTCATAACTGACTCTCACCATTCTTGACATAATGAAGTGTAAATTTGTTGTTTTTGTGTGATGAAGAATCATTGAGTGAATTCCCTTTTTCTGATGAAAGGCATGATGTAAGCATTTCTTCTGCATTTGCAAATGCTTCTGTTGCAGTCTGAACAAAATCTTTGTTCTTAAACTCTTGTTGTGCTTTCAATAATAGACCGAAATCTGCCACTCTCTGCCTTAATGTCTTGAATTGTTTCTCTACTTGCTTATCTTGTCTTTGTTTCATAGCATTTAAATGCTTTGCCTGTTTTGCTTGAGCTTGAGCTTGAGCTTGTGCCTGAGCCTGAGCCTGAGCTTGTGCCTGAGCCTGAGCCTGTGCCTGTGCCTGGGCCTGGGCCTGAGCTTGAATTTGCTGTTGCTTTTGCGCTTGTTGCGCTTGCGCCTGAGCCTGGGCTTGTTGATGTTGCTGTTGCTGTTGTGCTTTAGCGTGTGCTTGAAGTTGTTGTTGCTGTGTCTGAGCATGAACATGAGCTTGCTGCTGTTGATGCTGTTGTGCTTTAGCCTGAGCTTGAACTTGGGCTTGGAGTTGTTGTTGTTGGAGTTGTTGCTGATGTTGCTGCTGATGCTGCTGCTGCTGTTGAGCCTGAAGTTGCTGCTGCTGTGCTTGCTGCTGAGCTTGAAGTTGCTGCTGCTGTGCTTGAGCATGAGCGTGAGCTTGAGCTTGAGCTTGAGCTTGAGCTTGAGCTTGAGCTTGAGCCTGAGCTTGAGCCTGAACCTGAGCCTGAGCTTGAGCTTGAGCCTGAGCCTGAGCGTGAGCTTGTGCTTGAGCTTGTGCTTGAGCTTGAGCCTGAGCCTGAGCCTGAGCCTGAGCCTGAACCTGAGCCTGAGCTTGAGCCTGAGCTTGAGCTTGAGCTTGAGCCTGAGCTTGAGCCTGAGCCTGAGCCTGTGCTTGTGCTTGTGCTTGTACTTGTGCTTGTGCTTGTGCTTGTGCTTGTGCTTGTGCTTGTGCTTGAGCCTGAGCCTGAGCCTGAGCCTGAGCCTGAGCCTGAGCCTGAGCCTGAGCCTGAGCCTGAGCCTGAGCTTGGGCCTGAGCCTGAGCCTGAGCCTGGGCCTGGGCCTGTGCCTGTGCCTGTGCCTGAGCTTGGGCCTGAGCTTGTGCTTGTACTTGTGCCTGGGCCTGGGCCTGTGCCTGTGCCTGGGCCTGGAGTTGCTGCTGTTGTTGCTGTGTTTTTGCTTGAGTGGCTACTTTCTGTTGCGCCTGTTTTTGAGCCTGTTTTTGCGTTTGTTTCTGTGTTTGTTTTGTCTGTGCCCCTGAACTTGTGTGCCCTGAGGCATTACTCCGACTGTTAGCTCCATTGACATGACTATGGTGCTGTTGATGATGGACAAAAGCTGGATGAGGATGCTTGTGGATAAGTGTCACGTGCGCCGTGTTTTTATTCAAGTCGATTATGATCGTCAATGCGCCAGAACAGTCGTAACGCGTAGTGGTGCTTTTAGGATTCTCGGCCTTTCGAGGCTTGGCTGTGTCGGATCTCTGTGAGCAGTAATAGCGCAAAGTTGATAGAGTCTCGGGTTTTTTGGTACTTTTTCTACGATCTTTTAAACTAGCAATAAAAATTAATATTTCCTTAAAAAGAATAATGATATAAATATATGAATGTACCTAAAATTGTACTTTGTTCCTTTAAGAATATGTTCACATATTCGCCTTCCGAGTTCTGTGAATTTAAATTGAGCTTCGTCTTTAATAGGAGTAATAAGAGAAAGTACATCAACAAGGTATTGTTTGCGTTCAAAATCTTTCTCTTGTTGAAGTATTTGGACAAACTGGTCAAGTGTTAAAGGACTGTCACTGTTACGCTCTGCCATAGATGAGGCAGTATTAGAGCGTCGTTCAACAGTGGATATTATAGAGTCATGAAATTGTGGGGAAGAGTTCTCGGCCTGCCGAGGACGTGATTGTTGAATTGGAGAGACCTGTTTGCCGTGTGATGGAAGAAGTGGTGGTGCATGATTTGCGCGTGGCAATGCGACAGATCTTTGTTGTGGTATAGGAAGAGACGATTGTGGAGGATGGTTTTGTCGGTAATGCTGATATTGCTGTTGCACATGTTGCTGTTGCTGTTGCTGTTGCTGTACCTGCGGTGACTGTTGCTGTACCTGCTGTTGTTGTTGCTGGACCTGTTGTTGGACCTGTTGCTGTTGTTGGACCTGCTGTTGCTGTTGCTGGACCTGCTGTTGTTGCTGTTGATGATGTTGATGTTGTTGAACTTGTTGAACTTGTTGTTGATGGTGATGTGTTTGATGCTGTGATTCATGTGAAGAAGAAACTCCAGGTTGAGGTAAAGACATTGGCAGGTAAACAGATTGATTATTGACATGAATCTGGGTTCGCATTGAAGCGATAGGAAAAAGATGAGGCTTATTTGTAGCTGTACTTGGTGTGGGTGTAGAAGTAGAGGTTGATGATATAGTGTCTGTTTGTGGTGACGTTTTTTTTATCTGAGGGGATGAAGGAAGTTGTGCCTGGAGTGGATGAGGGGACAAATGAGAGTAGGATTGTTGTTGTTGTGCTTGCTGCTGTTGTGGTTGTGGTTGCGTTTGCGATTGTGGTTGTGGTTGTGGTTGTTGTTGTTGTTGTTGTTGTTGTTGTTGTTGTTGTTGTTGTTGTTGTTGTGGTTGTGGTTGTTGTTGTGGTTGTTGTTGTGGTTGCGGTTGTGGTTGCGGTTGTGGTTGCGGTTGCTGTTGTGGTTGCTGCTGGTGCTGGTGCTGTTGTTGTTGCGGTTGCGGTTGCGGTTGCGGTTGCGGTTGCGGCTGCGGTTGCGGTTGCGGCTGCGTTTGCGACTGAAGCATCTGTGGGTAGCGGGGGTGTTTATAAGGACGCTGTTGATCATCATACACTTCGTACCGGTCAAGTTGACTTTTGCGTTTCTGCATTTCACGGGAACATTGATCGCAGATGGTGTATTTAAGCCCTCGTTCATTAGAATATTGGAATGGACGAACAGAATGACAGTTATCACAATATTGATTTTGTATTGATCCGGATGATGCTGATTGCATTCCACTACCATTGACCACCACTGTTGTCGCGACACTTCCTGCTGTTCCGTGAGAAGGACTAACACTATGAGTTGAAGCCGTCATGGGGGATGTACTCGTGACTGCCATGACCTGTTGGTAAGTTTGGGGGTTATGGATGGGCTGGCGAAGACCCTGAGTAGTGAGGTTGGTAGAGGGGATGGCTGGAAAACCAATTGGTTGGAATTCTCGCGATTGTCGATGAGACATGGATGAGATGAGTTGATGGAAGAAGAAGACAAAAAGAGACGATCTTTCCCACAGAATATTGCAAGGTCGACGATCACTAGAATTGGTAATCTAAGCTCACTGTCAAAGGGCTCCTTCTTGTCTCTACTGAGCAAAGGGGTGCTAGAGAAGGTTGGCAGGAAGGAGGATAAACGAGGACTGAAAAGAAAGCTGACCACGTGAAGGTAGCTGTTGACGTAAACAAATCGACGCAACCAATAAGCTGCTTCCATTGTTCACCCAGCTGCCGTTCCCCTCTCCTCTATCTCAGTTGCTGAATATTGTGCACATATGCCTTTCTGACCAGCAAGAAGGATAGAATTTCACAAATTTGTCAAGTATGGTCTATTTTAGCGCTCTTGTGGCGTATGTGTCTCATTAGATCAGATAGAAACAAATGGAGTAAAATTAAATGAAAGTAAACAGTACGACAAGAAGGATTTTTTTAAAATAAAATAATATGCAGTAGAGCTATTATCATGTCTATCACTTGTTCATACTATTGCCTTTGATCGATATCTCCAACATCTATACTCTCTAGTACCGGTAATATCTTTTCCCACGCATGTGCGCCCTAACCACAGGTAAATTGTTAGTTGTTGAAAATATACATATGTACATGTATGCGCATAATACTTCAACTTACTTTCTTAAAGAAGTCGATATGGCTATCTGCATATGCTGTCAGCCCCTGCTTGAGTTCCTTGTTTTTTGCCTTCTCAAATATATCTGATTCTTTCAATACTTGACTTGAGAAGCTATTAGAAATATCGTTTGCCCGAGCTACCTCTCCCTCCAACTAAAAATCAACTTAGTAAACACATAATTTATGGGTTCGAGCCTACCTCTTTGATTTTATGATCCAATTTCTCCAATTTCTCACGTCTTGCACGTTGAACATCAATGCCCCGGACTTCGTTAAGCTTTTCAGTAAAAAAATCAGTGATATTGAGGCTGGATCCACTTGAATACCGTGTTGGATACAGAGTCCTCTCACGCTCTTGTACTGCTTGTTGCAGGTATCCAGAGAGTGCCTCAAATTCAACCTGTTTCTGATCTCGTGCCCTTAATGCTGCCTAAAATTTTATAGTTGGGTGTTTCATTTACATGACTGTATTCAATCCAACAAAATCATACACATTTTGATGATAAACACTTACTTTTGCAGAATGGCAGTAGGCCAATAACTCATGAATTTCGTTCAAGAACAATACATCTTCTTGTGTCGCCTATGCACCCAGTTTACTATCAACTTATCAAATAGATATTTTGGCGGTATTAAAAAAATCTACTTGCCATGGTTTTTATCAACATTGAATATTCTCTGGTCGTATCAGAGAATTTCTGTAGCGGGGATGCAATCTCACTTTCCCTGACAGAAAAGCCCTGCATACTCTCTGCAAACCCAGCGTAATCATGTTGTAAATCTAAGGAGAAATTATGTAAAACTTTTACAAGATGTATTCTTTCTTAAAAAAATAGGGCTTACCATGTTGTCGTTTACTAATCCGAGTATACAATCTTTCGACAGTATCCAGGTTGTCCTGTATCTTGTCAAAATTATCTTTCATCTCTACAAATCTTTCATCAGGTTTCTTGACTTTTGTAAATGCAGTAAATAAGGAGCCTCCAATAGACTCTAGTACAGATGCGGCAGGAGATATTCTCCTGGACTGCATCCTCTTGTCATTTTGCTATATCACTAGTTAATAATATATACAGCCTGAATCATAACATTAATCCTCAAACCTTACAAAGTCGTTGGATTCTAAAAATATGCGCACAGACTGTGATAACTGGAGTTGCGGATGCTTTGATATTCGATCCATAAACCACTGAAGACTATCATCGTATTAGGAGTTGATCGAATAAAGTATTTGGATTACCTCCACTTTCTGCGTTCAATGAATTCTGTACTGAATCTATCGCCTTTGATATACTCTTTTTTTATAGCCCAGAGGTTAATATACTATTTTTATCGAATTTACTCGGTGAACTTACCCAACCTACGTCGATCTGGAAGAGGTGGTATAATACAGGCAGGGAATTCTAAAGTCAGGGCATTATGCAACCAGACAAAATCTTGGAATCTCCGCCAGACGGGACGAGATTGATGGGAGGAGAAAGTTCTTAAAGAAGTCTATAGTTGTTGGAAAGTTAATCAGATGTTTTATCACCCAAGTGCATTGACCCTCACCATGCAAGATACGAGATATGCGACATATGCACCCTGTGGACTATCCATATGCTTCTCAGTTTCTACAAGCCGAATCACCATAGGACTAGCCACTGTAGGTTCTGTGGTAGCCGTATCTCTGGGTAATGGTGGAAGGGATTCAGCAGTTTCAATCGAGGGGCTGGTAGGTATAGGTTTATCTTTGACAGTTTTGTATTGCTCTTTTGGTAGCTTTATGACATGTCATGATGAGCAAGTTCTGATAGCGGACTTTTTTTTTCTTTTACTTCTTTTGCGGTGTATCTTTTATCACGCACCTCTTGCTCATAGTTAGGGCTGTAGGCTGCACTATAAGCTGAGAGGGGATCATCGATATTCATTACCGGAGTAATGGCATCCGTTGTGGCATGCACATTCCATTCTACGTTTTCGTAGTCTTGATTCATGGCGTAATAAAGAAGTCAGTTGTTGCCAAGTAGGCTTCCTCATGCCAGCTTCAGTGACGTCATCTTGTCACGTGATATATATTGTCTGCTTGGAGTATGAATAAGCACAATTTTAAACGCAGTTGGTGTGGATAGACTAAAGGTTCAAAAAAGCCCAAAAAAAGAGCAAAAACTTAAGTCATATTATTAGGCAAGAGTTTTAATTAATTTTGCCCTTTTTTAATCGGTCTAATTGGCTAGTCTTCTTCCATTACCACTAGGATTGAGAAGAGAAGCATTTTTTTATGGAGACGATGTACCATATAATAAAAGGTTTTTACTTAAGAAAATAGACGGCACTATAAGCATATTTTTATCTGATATGTACTTGCACTGATTTTGAACTTTTTTTTTAAAAAAAAAGGTATGGACAGTCATAAATTAGTCTGATTGACTAAGTTCAGGATAAACTTGTGTTACCCTCTTTTGCTTTTTTTTTTGAACTTTTAGTCTGTCCACACCAAGTGAAACACATTTTTAAGTCGCACAATTTGAAAATGTAAGAAAGTGCGATTAGTATTTTTCAAGTTGTGTGCCTTGTATAGTGTGATTTACTGTAAGATTTAATCAAAATGAAATGAAGTTTCTAGATTTCTGTTAAAAGATTATTGAACTAAGAAAAAAGCAAAGAAAAAAATGCATTTAGAAAAGGTATATTTAACTAATGAAATAGAAAATATCAAAATTGAATTAATGTTCTTATTTAAGCAATTGAAGCTATATTAGTTTTCCAGTAGTTTAATTTAGAAATAGTGTAATAAATGCTCAATAATGAAAATAAAGTAAAAGACGTAAAAGATCCAACTAACAACCTGCTATAGAAGTTTGTATTTTGAATTCCATAATACAAAATACGTACCATAATAATTTGTTAAAGAAAAAAAATGAATATCTGCTTTAACTATTAACAAGATCAAGTGTAAAAAATAATGGTTGGTCATAGCTACTACAAAGAAAAGTGTCAAAAAGAAGAAGAAAAATCATGCTCTTGGCAAATACATAGTCTTAAGTAAACGCTAAAATTACTCGTACATATAAAACTTAGTAATTGACTGTAACTTTCCTAGTCTTAACTACATCATCTGAACACTATCCCATACTAGTTTTTGTGGCAAGACGAAATAATTTTACGGCTAGTAATCTACTTGTATAATCAAATAAATGTCAACTTTTGTCATTTAAATGCTTGTAGATGTCTTTTGAACTAGTGACTATGAGTTTAATTATACTCTTACATGTGGGTAATATCTTTTATTATTACTCACTAATTACAAACCTCTAAAATAGTACATATATAAGACATACAGTATCTTTATCAATTGCAACTTTTTTATTTATTTTTTGTATTCTTGTGTGTTCCTATCTATTGTGAAGCATGAAAAAGATCATCTTTTGTTCCTTTCAAGCCCGATCCCAAAACCCTTGATTTGTGCCACCCCAAGTAAATATAAAGCTGAGAAGAAAAAACTAATCAGTTACAAAAAAAGAAGTCTTTAGAAAACTATGCTTATATCTAAAAGCATATGATTCAGAGTCTTTCTCAGCTAATCAAAGCAGACGAGGATGTTTATATAAGAAAAAGTACAATACAAAATATAGCTCTTTAGTGAAGGTTATAACTGGTTTAAATTAAGTAAATAAAAAATATAGAGCTTCAAATCTCCTAGCTTATACCCTGGAGATATCTAGCGTGTTTACTTTTATTTTGCTTTAAAAACAAAACAAAAAAGTTTTCCTTGTATTTTTTTCTATCCATTGTGATTGTCACGCCTATACTCAATATGACCATAAATAATAAAATGATATAGAGCATTGGATACTAGAATTTAACAAGGGATGAAGTATGCTTTTGTTTTATTATGTAATTTCTCTTCTATCTATTAACAGTATTGAAGTTCCCAGGTATCTTCAATAAATGAGTTGCTTGTATGCACGTGAGCTTTTTTCTTTATTTTTACAATTCATCGGTAACAGCACCCTCGCTAGCGCTCTTGACAGTCATGACGTATCTTGCGAGAACACCTCTGGTATACTTTGGAGGAGCAGGCTTGAACTCAGCGCGACGCTTGGAAAGTTCTTCGTCAGAGACCTTAAGGTTCATCTCACGAGTCTCTGCGTTGATGGAAATAATATCACCGTCCTGGACCAAGCCAATAGGTCCACCCACCTGTGCCTCAGGGCATACATGGCCAATGATGAATCCCTGTAAACGCATGTACACCAAACATTAGAAACTAAACTAAACTTCTGGTAATTATGCCAAATAACTCACGTGAGATCCACCAGAGAAACGGCCATCTGTGATAAGGGCAACATCTTTACCAAGACCAGCACCCATAATGGCAGATGAGGGCTTGACTATAAGAAGATATATAAGAAACTTTTCAAATTCTTGGACTCATGCAACTTACGCATCTCTCTCATGCCAGGGCCGCCCTTGGGACCTTCGTTCTTAATGACAACTACAGTCTTCTCTCCCTTCTTAAGCTCGTTGTGCTCAAGAGATTTAATAAAGCCTTCTTCGCCATCGTAAACCTTGGCCTTTCCTTCGAAAAAGAGACCTTCTTTGCCAGTAATCTTGGCAACGGAGCCTTCAGGGGCGAGGTTACCGCGTAGGATCTGAAGATGACCGCTGGACTTGATGGGGTTTGAGAGGGGACGGATGATGTCCTGGCCCTGGGGAAGACCGGGAAGGGAGTGGAGGTTCTCCTCAAGAGACTTTCCGGTAACTGTCATAACATTTCCGTCGATCATCTTGTTTTCCATGAGGTACTTGAGAATAGCAGGGATGCCACCAATACCGTGCAAGTCTTCCATCACATACTTTCCACTGGGCTTCAAATCAGCCAAGAAGGGAGAACGGTCACTGGCAGACTGGAAGTCGTCAAGGCACAATTCAACACCAACACTGCGAGCAATGGCCATGAGATGGAGAACAACGTTTGTGGAGCCACCAAGGACCATGGTAAGTACCATGGCGTTCTCAATAGCAGCGCGAGTCATGATGTCTCTGGGCTTGATGTCTTTCTCCAACAAGGTACGGATAGCCACACCAGCATCGTGGCACTCCTTGATCTTACCAGGATAACTGGCGGGAATGGATGAACTGTAAGGAAGAGTCATACCCATGGCTTCTGCGGCAGAGGCCATTGTGTTTGCAGTGTACATTCCACCGCAAGCACCAGGACCGGGGCACGCATGGCGAATAATATCATAGCGTTTCTCTTCGTCAATCGAGCCAGCGACATACTCACCGTAGGCTTGGAAAGCTGACACAATATCGAGCTTATCTCCACCACAGCTCTTTCCGGGTTTGATGGTTCCACCGTACACCATCAAAGAAGGACGGTTGAAGCGACCCATGGCCATAAGACAGCCAGGCATGTTTTTATCGCAACCGGGAATGGAGATATTGGCATCGTACCACTGACCACCCATAACCTACACACGTACTTTCCGCTTTAGTACTATAATCGTCAATTGCATACAATACAACGTACTGTCTCGATACTGTCGGCAATGAGATCGCGGGACTGGAGAGAGTAGCTCATACCACGAGTGCCCATCGAAATACCATCACTGACACCAATGGTATTGAAACGGTATCCAATCAATCCTGCGTCCTGAACACCCTTCTTTACGTGTCCAGCCAAGTCCATCAGATGCATGTTACATGGGTTGCCTTCATACCAGCTGAGTTTATGCGTGAGTTTATAGCTGTTCAATACCCAATCGAACTAAACCAAACCAAATCATGACTCACATGCTAGAAATACCGACTTGAGCCTTGTTCATATCCTCGTCTGTCAAGCCAGTGGCATACACTGAAAAAAAAAATGCATAATATTAATAACTATTGACTCTCTGTATATTGTAATACTTACGCATTGCCTGGGACGCGCCCTGACTCTTTGGCTGTGTGATGGTTGCACTATATTTGTTAAGCTTGCGCTGCTCTGAATAATGTCTGACTCCGAGGGAAGCTGCTCCAACGCGAGGACTGTAATGAAATTGAGAGGCATAAGGAGAAAGATTGTCTTGTTGCAACACTTCACACGATACTTACAGGGCAGAGACAGCAAGAAGGTTTTGTCGAGCAAGGATTCTAGATGCCATTAAAAAAAGGGGGTAGAGAAATGTAAGAAGAGGAAGAGAGCGGGGAAGAAGTACGATAGGAAGATATAGAATGAAGAATGACACTTTCCGAGTCAAGCTTATAGTTCAATGCGAGTGGCCACAGTGCCTCTGACTTGGTTTAGGGTGTGCTTGTGATTGGCTGATGATAACAGGCTTCAATCTCGATTTTGTTCCTGTTAGTTCAATCAATCGGCAATTGAATGTGTGTTTTAGCCAGTCACAAAAGTGACGCTGCTTAGCCATCGAGATAGCCAATCATCAATGACTAGGATGTGCTGCGTGCATGGCATCGTCAAATTGACCAAAAAAGGATGAGATATATTTAGATACGTTTTGAATGCTCAGACTATAGGATGCACTGTTACACACGCACAAATAAAGAGAGAGAGAGAGAGAAAGAAAGAGAGAGAAAGAGAGAAAACCTTTTCTGTTTAAGCTGGTGACTTTCTTGGCCTGATGTGAAGACTGTTTAAATTGATTATGAGTTGTGAGGTCTAATCTGCTTAAAAGTAGAATGTGGCTCTAGTTTCAATTGACTAATAAAGGTGTTTTTATGAGCTGGCTATCATCTGCTGATGGCCGCTTCTTAAAAGGTCATCCAACGCCATGTTTCTCACAGGCATATTCTATCATCCAATCCATTGTGGCGCTTCATATCCCAAAATAAATCCTTCTTTGCCAAGACCGAGCGATTTTCCCCCTTATTTCCCGTTCAATAATAATTTCAATCCCCTTCCTTCTCTTCTTATTCTTCTCTTGGCATTTCACTTTCACAACACAATGAACACTCCCATGGACTCTGATAAAGAAATCATCGTCTGTCGCTGGTCCGAGTGCGACAAAACCTTTAGCGATCCAGAACAGCTCTATAACCATTTGACAAACGATCATGTTGGCCGAAAATCTACTGGAAATCTCTGTCTGACATGTCATTGGTTCAAGTGCGATGTTTCGGTAGTCAAACGAGATCACATTACTAGCCATCTTCGTGTACATGTTCCTCTCAAACCACACTTTTGCAATGTAAATATAATTCATATCAATCATTATCGTTACTTACTCGATTCATACCATAGTATTGTAGCAAATCATTCAAACGTCCGCAGGATCTAAAGAAGCATGAAAAGATCCATAACGAAGAACACATCAGCGTCATACACACCTATCCGCAATCCTCTCACCTTCACCCCATGACACCACCAAGACAGATAGATATGCCTGCATACGAGCCCCAGCGAGTACCTATCTCTCCTCCGCAAAGTACCTATTCTGAAAGTAAATCGAACGGCTTTTACTCGCCCACTCAACCAGCCCACGACCTTTCTTCAGATAGTTGGGCCATGCCTTCCACCTCCCCATCAACCGACATGTCTGACACATTCCATGACAATGTTCCTATCGTACCTTCCCAGCAACATTTGACCCATTACGCCCAACCTCCATGCTATAACTCTCCTGAAGACGTCTTCAATCTCATTTTCCCCACCGACACAAACTCCAAACCAGAATATAACACAGGTACGATAAGAAGAGAAACGATTTAAGCTTTGAATTTATGTATTTATTTGTTTATGTATTTATTATTTTGTATGAAAAAGATGTCGCAGATCGTTTGGATTATCTTCAGAGGTTACTTGACAATGGATCCGTAAATCCCTCCAACTTTAACATCAACACCGATCAACAGCTGGCAGATTTAAATGCCTGGCTCTCCCAACTATCTGACAGTATCCATATTGACACCAACCAACCCTATGATATCCCTTTCACCCCCTATCCTGCCCCATCACTCGAGACCTCCTACCCCAGTAGCTATCCCACTTACCAACCCGTAGATACCAATTTCTTCTCTCCTTCAGATCAAGACATGTATGTCCGTTCTTACCCTGACCCAACTCCTCCGATGATGAACATGTCTTGTACCTTCAACACACAATCCAATCCTCCTTCTATGGATCCAATCAACCCTCATTCATATGCAACCAGTCCATCATTAGACATGACCAACGGAATGATGATGGATTCCATGCCCATAAACAATATGATAGGTCACTGTTCTGCCTTTACGGTCATGGCCGAGATGGCCCCATGTACCTTCCAACCCGAATTAATGACTTCTCTCCGATACACAAATTCAAATGAAAAGTCCACTCCAACCACTCCAAAAGATACAAAGGCTAAGGTACCCAAGACCAAAGTTGAAGAGAAGAAGGATGAGGTAGAAAAGGTAGAAGAAACTGTGGAGAAGCTTCCCAAGCCAAGACTTAGTGAGGATGTTGCGGACTTGTTGGCTAGCGATATGTCACGCCTTTCTATCAAAAAGGTTGAAGAGCCTACGGAAAGACCACTTTATCCAAAGACAGGTCCACAAGATGTAGCTGAGCGTCATAAGCAATTACTTCAGAAAGTCAGCCGTATGATCAATGAAAGCTACAAAAAAACCAACCATACAAGCTATCCAGCCGCTACAGTTCAGGTCTAACGGATATTTCAATAGTCATATTTACACACACACGCGCGCATATATATATATATATAAACCAACTCCTTTATATACATATATCTATATCTATAAAGAAGAGTTCACTCTATATAACAAAGCTTTTTTCTTCTTTTTTTTTTTTAAAAAAAAATAATGAAATGAATCAATTGAAACAATAAATGAATAAATGAATATATATATATATATATTTCAAAAAAAAAGTAGGGCTATTTTTTATATATATGATTTGATAGATAGATAGATAGGTAGATAGACAGATAGATAACTAAGGCTTTGTATTGATGATTTATGCCCAAGGTGAGCAAATGGGTGATGTTTTAACCAAAATGACTGTTACGTCTTTATTATCTACTTTGTGTGATTAATTTGGATAGCTACTTATTGTATTTTTTGTGGGTGTTTATTGGTATGAGAAATATGATTCTTTTGTTCGATTGATTATATGGATAAAATCCACGGATTTTAGGGGCCAATGGTTACAAACCTATCCAGTAATATGTATAAATATGTATTTCTGGATACATACTTGGTTTGACAATTGTCTAGCCATACAAATCGTACCCATTGTTATGGTGTCAAGTCTGGATCCGTTGTCCCCTGCTACTACTATTATCATTACATATTTGTATCATTCGATTTTATCTATTGTGTTTTCTTTAATTATAGACCTATTAATATATATATATATTTTACAAATAATTAGTAAGAATATAGTGCACTTTAATTATCATATTAAACTTTATGATTCCCTACTTCATATGTATGTATGTATATATGTGTGTGTAGCTACAGAATATTCAATGAGACCAAAGATACTTTACCATTTGCCACAAACTGTCTGTGGTTGATTGGTTGTATGCAGATGTAGTTTTCTGAAATACAGAAAAAGGCCATTCATAGACCTTTTACTAGTAAGTCAAGTTAAGATTCAGGAATCTACTTTTTTTTAGAAAAAAAAAGATTGGTCAATCTATTACATAAAGACATGAAATACTCTCTATTATTGGGATTGACAAGAGTAGGAGGAGAGGGAGCTTAAGGTTTAGCAAGTTCCTATGGTTAGGGCTGGTGTAGACCAGACACATACTTGCCTTATCGTCTTCTTTTTGGAAATCATTAATGTGTTGGATAAATAATATAACTTAAATGAAGGGATAATAAAATTGATTATTATGCCAATATACACTCAAGGGTTCAATTTATAAACTATGTGGCTAGTTCTAATTGCATTTTTTTTTGCAATATAGACAATGGACTCCTGTGCAATTCTGCTATAGCTTCTCGAGACCTGATTATACAGGGCTGTATGCTTTATCGAATTATTTTAAGAAATGATACAAATCTTATTTCTTTTAAGTAATGACCAATTTTTTGTGTTAACAAAGAAATGAAAAAATGACATTATGATTATGATCATTAAACTCTTATGCTAACTGTATCTACAGTGTACACAATCAAATAGAAATAAATAAAGGGTTTTTTTTTCAAAAATAAAATTCATATTATTTTAAATACGATCTACAACTGCCAAAGTCTACTGCTCCCCAAGAAGTGTTGACTTTATTGACTGTGTGTTAGCCTATACATCTTTTAAAAAAAAGATACGTCATTGTTTCTGTAATATAATTAAATTTTGTCTCTTGAGCACTTGACTGTAAATGGTGTTTTATTTTATTTTAATTAATTTTGCCTTGAGGTTAATGAGTGCATATATAAATCATATTTGCTCAAAGGAAATACTATTTTTCACATAAAGAGACTTGCATATATTGCACACTATGTTTACTCGTTCCAGTGGACTGGTGGTTACTTTGGAAATAGAGCACTGTAAACATAGTGTAAATGTGACAACCATAGACAAGCCCATAGTAAGTATTGAACCAAGTCATAGAGAGTATAAGAAAGACTGGACATACCCGAGTGAGGGTCTTTACCATGTTTGAATTTGTATCTATGTATCTATATATTTATTTATTTATTTATATTATATACTTACTTGGTGGTAAATACCTAGTAATATTTTTGGAACATTTGTGAGTAGTCAGCCAAAAATGTATTCTTTTCAATTGTGTAAGTCAAAATAAAATAATAAATAAAAAAGTAATACAAAGTTAATCACTCAAAATTGTACTTTTCCTTAACTTGTGAATAAAAATTAAGAAGCTCGTATATATAAAAATAATAATAATAATAATAATAGCAATAATAAAACCAGAGGTTATTTCCAACTTGTGTCAACTTTGGTGTGTCAGCCATTTATACCCTAATTTAGAATATTGCTCTTTTCCAAGATAAAATTCAAACCTTGCATAAAAAGGTGAGAATTCTCAACAGCCCTGAGCTTCCAAACCACACCTTTCTCTCTCTCTCTCTCTCTCTCTCTTTGCCTCTACTTTATTTTGTATATTTTTCAACAAAAGTCTTTCTCTCTCTCTTTCTTTCTTTCTTCTTTTATTGTTCTTTACCTATCTATTACTGTTTATCTATTTCTTGTTCAAATATGAGCTCTGGTAAGTCAATTCTACTACTCAATACTCAATACTCGACATTCAACATTTGATACTCGATATTTGTTTTAGCTGCGCTTATTCCTGTGGCTGCCGGAATGGGTAGTGTTTTTGGAAGCATGTATCTCGATGCACGATTATTGCTAGGAAAGGATTTGGTCCAAATTAGGGCCGGGGGGTTGTCTAATATTCAGTATGTCCAGCTTGTATTATGTTTATTTCTTTGTTGTATTAATGTTCTTTATCGTTCTCTATTTTAATGTATTGCATTGCATTGCAGTCACGCTCTGTGGACGTACCGAGACAGATTGCACTATTATTATCGATTTAAGGATCAAGCAAAAGCTCATCCTAACCGCGTGTTTTTGTACTTTGAAGGCAAGGAATACACCTTGCGTCAATTAGAAAAAGGTACGTTACTAAAAAACAAAACAAAACAAAACAAAAAACCGCCATTTGTGTCGGATTATAGACCGCTTTCTGAAACATTGTCTGACTCTTTATCAATAGCATCTAATAGGATGGTAAGCTACAGCCAATACCAAAGAAGATTAATAAGAAGAAACCAGGATTTTTTTTAAAAGAAAGATCAAATAACAAGATCTAGACATTTAATACATCTTTGTGTTTATTGGATGTGTAGGCACACTGGCTCCTGTCGTTAAACATACATAAAGATGGTAGGACAATGAAGATCGGAGACATTGAACTGGTTGGTTAATTAATTATCCTACCTCCCCTTTTATTTTATTTTTTTATGTTATATTATATTTCGCTTCCCCAGATGTCGTTTGTATGATGCATCAAAACCACCCAACTTTCTATATTGTCTTGCTAGCAATCAGCAAAATCGGTGCCATTCCAGCTCTAATCAATACCAACCTTTCCGGAGACTCACTTGCCCACTGTGTAACGGTTGCAAAGGCAAGTATGCTCATATTTGATCCTGTGTACGAAACCCAGGTAGAATCGATCAGTGCGAAATTGAGTGAGCAGAATATCCGATTATATGCCTATGGTGAATCAACTGAAACCGGAGAGATCCCGGACCTACATATTGCTTCGGCTGTTACCCCAATGGTCCTCGAATCGTTTAGTGAAAGAGACACTAGTGAAAGCTATCTAAAGGGAATCAATCTTCAAGATCCTGCTTATTTAATTTACACCAGGTAAGTAAAAAAAATGGAGTCTCTTGTGAAATACCCATGTTGCACAATATTTCTAATAAGCTGCATTTTTATTTTAATAAAAAAAACCCAATTTTAGTGGAACAACAGGCCTACCAAAGGTAATATATTGTGGTAATCATGAGAATAACAACAAAACTGTGGGGAATAGACTGGGTGTTATTAGCCTATCAATGGAAACTAACCAAGGGGGTTTTTTCTACTAATTTGTTTATTTATTCTTTACTATTATTATTATTATCATTATTATTCTAGGCGGCAATCAGTCAACATGCTAGAATCTGTTGTAAGGCATTAGACGCTAAATAATATACCAACCGACCAACACACCCCTTTGCGTGTGCGTGCGTTTTCTGTCTGCTGACACAATGCATATTATCTTAGATGGCATGTCAATGTATTCCAAGACTGCCGGTATCAAAGAAAATCAGAGAGTTTACTGTGTCCTGCCGCTTTATCACAGTTCAGGCTGTAAATATTATTATTACTATTATTCTTAGAGTACATTTCTTCTCATTAATTCTTGCTCTTATAGTAATCGTTGCCTCCTCGGTCACTCTATTTGCCGGTGGGTCGATTGTCTTGGGTAGAAAGTTCTCGGCAAGTCGTTTCTGGAACGATTGCGTGGATTACAAAGTCGACGTCTTTTCAGTAAGCAGATTTGAAATTGAATGAAACAAAAAAAACCAACCACAAAAGCTGTAGTATATCGGAGAGTTCTGTAGATATCTATTAAGTCAACCACCTCACCCCCTCGAAAGAAAGCATCACGTTCAACTCGTGTATGGTAATGGAATGCGTCCTGACATTTGGAATAAGTTTAGGGATAGGTAACTAAAGTACACACACACATATATATATATATATATACCAGTGATAGGCTATACTAACCATCTACATGTGATACTCTAGATTCAACATACCAAAGATTTGTGAATTCTACGCTGCTACAGAAGGTAAATGCACATCTTGTGAAACGATTAGTAATGTGGCTATTTTATAACCTTTTAATCCCCACAAATTATCATTATCATCATCATTATTATCATCATTATTATCATCAATGGTTTCACTAGCTCCCACGAGTATGTTCAATGTCAACTCAAATGATTTTGGTGCTGGTGCAGTCGGTTTTCGTGGTCGACTTATGCGCTCATTCCGTCGGGAGCTCAAGATAATCAAGATTGACCCTATTACAGAAGATCCTTTACGAGGCAAAGATGGATTCTGTATTCAAGTAAGCTTTCTTGAATACCAAGCATGTCTGTGTTATAATAGCTAACTTTTTTTTTCTAAAAAAAAAGTGCCCGTATGGCGAACAAGGCGAACTTTTGGTAATGATTGACGAAGCTAGTCCAGTACAGTTTAGTGGATACTATAAGAACAACGAGGCCACAACCAAGAAGGTTCTTACTGATGTGTTTGTAAAAGGCGATGCGTAAGTTGACTGTAGAATATTCAAACTCTCTACCAGAATCAAAACAACAGCAATGACATATCTATACATATATACTAATATAAGCTTCGTTTTTTTTTGCTTTTTTAGATATTTTCGCAGTGGTGATCTTTTACATGTTGATGCGGATGGGTTCTTCTTCTTTGGCGATCGCGTAGGAGACACCTTTCGCTGGAAGTCTGAGAACGTTGCCACTACTGAAGTGGCTCAGGCTGTGAGTACCTTTCCTGGTATTACGGAAGCCAACATATATGGCGCCCTAGTACCCAATCACGATGGCCGTGCTGGCATGGCTGCCATAGTTATCGGTCAAGAGGGCATAGATTTCAAAGCATTTTATCAACATTTGAGCAAGAAGCTTCCACGTTATGCCATACCAGTTTTTATCCGCTTTGTGCCATCTATGGAAATGACAGGAACATTTAAGCAACAAAAAGTGGAGTATAGAAATCAAGGAATAGATCTTGCCAAGATTCCCGAAGAAGGTTCAATCTACTGGCTCCAAAAAGACACATATGTGCCTTTTACCAAAGAGGATCTCAACAAGCTTGAAGCTGGAAAGTCTAAGCTTTGAATAAAATAATCTTACGTACATACATATATACATTTATATATATATATATGATATATCTTATTTATTTATTTATTTATTTATAAAGATAAACATAATATGCGCATGTGCGTGCGTGTGTGTTTGTGTTGTTTCTTGTATATTAATTAGTGTGTTAACTTTTGAATAACACATCAAAGACTAAACAAGGCAGATACTACGAGTTAATATATAAGAAACACCGAGTCTGCTCAATTAATATTAAACATGGCCCATAACTACTGAGAAGCGAATGGTCCCTCCAGAGGTATTTGCAGCTGCTGTACTTTGTGTGCCTGCAAAAGGTTTTGCAATTCCTCCTGCAAATGTCCTGAATTCATGCCCATTGCCGGCATAGGACATTAATCCAGGTGAACGAAGGGTAGACAGGAGAGGGGGTGGGGTATTAGGTACAATTGAATTTGCGTGATCTCCAGTAGTAGGGGCTTCTGGAGCTGGAGCTGGAGTCGGGGCTGGAGCCGGGGCTGGAGCCGGGGCTGATGTTGTATTTGGGTCTGGTGGGTTAGTTAAAGCTGCTTCATCTGCACAAAGGTTTGTGCTTTTCCAGCCCTACAAAACAATATAACAATAATAAAAGCAAGAATATTAGTGGTAGTGGTAGTAATAGTAATAGTAATAGTAATAGTAATAGTAATAGTAATAGTAATAGTAATAGTAATAGTAATAGTAATAGTAATAGTAATAATGCTCATGAGTCTGTATGTTTATGTATATTTTTTTTGATAGCTTACCCAACTTTGGAGAACAGTAAAGTCATCTGGACTACTTTGGAAAAGAGTAAGAGCGTGCTTTGGTCCTCGTCCTGGGCAGAATATCTTGAACCATGATCTCACTATCCTGCGCTTATCTGCAAAGCGTGAAAAGGACGACAAATCAGGTGTACATCGTCTAGTACATTGAGTTGTGTGTGTTTGAGTGGTCGTTGAGGAATCAGAAGGCCCTGCAGTACTTTCGTTGTAATGATTGCACGTTCCAAATGGTACCGACTGGCGGTGGAGATAAACGCCTAGTTGAAGAATACCCCTTTTCAGTGATTTGGTCTTTTGGATGTACATATTCCAATTGGATCTAACGAAAGCAGCATTAATGAAAGACGAAATGCACGCCGTACTAGTGTTTTCTCACCCTGCATAAAATACTGTTTTGGAGTATACCCGAACATCGTGCTTCAGTGGTCCAACGTCCGAGAATTCAACACTGAATCGAAAGGGTGGGTATAACGAGTACTGATTTTTTGTAGGTTCGATTTTCTCGGAACGCTCTGATGTTGTAGTTCGCTTAGTCTTTGGGGTGCTTGACATAGCCAAGGAGAGTGCAGATTCACCGGTGTAGGTAGTGGTGTCATCTGTTGGGATAATATATGACGGTTTGTTTGGCTTATCGCTTGGTTCTGGCGTTATCATCCCAAGCTCAGTGTCCCATTCGGTAGCTCCTTCAATTTTGGCTCTCAGTTGGATCTGCTGCCACAGCGCATCCTGGAGAATTTCTGGAGGAACGAGTGGCTCGGATGTAAAAGGATGAATATCGTTTCGAATACTCTCTAGTTGTTCAAACGTCATGTGCATGTAGTGTATCGAGGTTTGGATGATCTGTGCATACATAGCCATGTCTTCCTGGTAAAGCTTATCTTCGTACTCTTCATATGCATCCTTTACTGGTTCAAATCCTTCCTCGATATCAGCCGACAAAAGATCGAACCCGGAACATGTGTGTACACCTTCTTCAATACTCTCAGTAGAGCCTACTTCATTCTCTTTTTTCTGTGTTTCTTTCTGCTTCTGCTTCTGTTTCTGCTTCTGCTTTACTTCTTCTTCTTCGTCTTCTTCGTCGTCGTCGTCATCTTCTTCTTCTTCGTCATCTGTTCCTTCGTGTTTTGTACTCTGAGTGCTATCAGTCCCCATGAATAGCTTGTGACGCACCTCAAGTACTTGATAAGCAAATTTGTATCGATCATATTCACTACATCCCCAATATGTATATTTAAAGATTTGGCAATCATCCAAAGATAAAGCAGAAGCCAAGAATAGTAGATATATCAGTGTATATTAGTGTATGTTAGCGAATGTGTATATTTACCTTGGTACCCAGAATGCATCGCTTTCAACAATACGCTTAAGCCAGTTGACAGGTAGTTCAGCAATGCATTCACGGCTCATGGAGTATGCTTCTCGGCACAGGAAAGTAAATATGGCGTCACAAATTCTTTCGCTGCCTTGAACAGCATTCTTGTCTGCGAATATGAGATATTCGACAACATTTTGGGTGTTTAGAGTTTTGAGAATAAATTCTACTGCAGATTCACACATTTGATCGAGCTGAAAGAAAGAACAGGTGGCTAGAATCTGACGGACGTTTTCCTGGGTGATATTCGGCTCGTACAATTTTCCGTAAAGTTGAGTTAAAACGAAATAGAAAGATTCGGATGTAATGAATGGATTATTTTCAAAGCAAAGAGTGACATTGTCTGAGGAGGCTTCACAGAAACCTCCCTGGAGTAAGACACTAAAGTAGGGGTTTTGGTCAAGAATGAGCCGATGAAGAGAGTAAACCTTATCCCAAGCTGGGACATGGACCTGAATGTCACTTCCGATGCCATCCATCAATCCCCGAGTCAGAATATGCCGACACAATAAGAGTGAGTGCAATCTCCAGTCGTACTTGAGACCCATTCCAGGTACTGAATTGCCGTTTATTGAACTGTCAAACAATGAGGATGGGTTGATGCCGTCATTGGATGGATTTTGTGGCCAAGGGTAATCTGTTACTTTTGAAGTACGTATACGATTGACTGAAGGGCGGGTTCCAAGACCATCTCTTGGTTGATTGAGATTTTGCCAGAAGCGGGATGAACTATCGAGTGAACGAAATAAGCGATCACCTTCCTCAGCCTCCATGGGGTATGTGGGTCTAGAAGAACGTTGTGATTCTCTTAAACGAGGCATTGCAATATACAAGATAAAATCAGAATTTAAAGGGGGTGAAGAAAGGGTTGTAGTAACAATTATTGTTATTGTTATTATTTTATTCTTTTTTCTTTTTTCTTTTTGATAATATATATATGGAAATGTAGAAATATATACATATAAAAAATGTACGACAAAAACTAGTGGCTTCCTTTTTATGCTTATATATAATATATATATATATATCTTTATACTTACATAGTGAATAAAGAGGCCAGTTCTTCTTTAACCAGCACAAATAAGAAGAGGTCCAATTCCTCGTTAAATCTCGCTAGACAACAGTAAGTAATAGAAAACCTTTTTCTAGTAAAGAAGAAGACGAAGAAGACGAAGAAGACGAAGAAGATGAAGATGAAAGTAATAACCATCGTATTAGTAAAGATGTTTTCCATTCATTTGATTTTTGACATTTTGACTTTGAAAGATTTATGATTAAGTTGTGAAAATCACAAGAAAATTGTAATTTTCTCTCTCTCTTTTGAGTGTATGTGTTATGTTCATTTATTCTTATTCTTATTTATTTGCTTATTTTTTTAAATATACCTATTTCTCATTTTACTATGATTGCTTTAAATATAAAAATACACTAAAAGGTATAATCAAATGTATTGTCATTAAATAATAGCCGAAATAATATAGATTTTAATATATATATATATATTTTAAAAAAAAAAAGGTAACTGGACCAAGACAACCACAAACTTGGTTTTTCCACCATAGTAATTTTAACTTATTTGTGTGCATGCATGTATGCATATATTTAAAAACCCTTATATTTATCTATTTACCTTTATTCACCTTTGAGATTCTGGCAATAATATAAAGGGCACCACTAGTCGGTACCTTTGTAGATCGTATAAGCTAAGTATTAAGATATTTAAAAGGATCAAAAGAAAACAAAAGATTATTAAAAACAACCAAAACAAATAATATAAAATGTCATTTTAATCTTCAGAAATCTCCAGACTTGCTGAAACCCCCCTCTCCCCTCCTTTCTCTCTTTCCTTCTCCTTAAATACTTTAACTTTCTGTATGGAAATGTTTATGTATTGTAAGCCAAATTTTCCCATAATGTGCCTCATTTATCAAATAAATATATTAAGTATTCTTCGTTTATACATATATAGGAAATCAAAATGAGTTCAGAGCAGCACAGTAAATTGACCATAGAAATATCTAGGCTTCAATAATCTAAAAAAATATATATGATAAAATGAAAGCTTTTATATGAATGGTCTTTATAACCGAAAGACTATATTTATTATTTATTTTATGTACAATCTGAATTTATCCAAGGTCACATTCAGCTGTACTCTCAGTTCCTCTAGTCTTTTTGCAGCCTCCTCACACGATGCTCTTTCTGATTCAGCCTTTTTTTCGATCGCTCTACATATTTCTTTTCTGTCTTTCTTTCAAGCAGTCCTGTACATTTGTTCCATTGATCTGATTGATGGATTCCCATCAAAACCAACAGCGTACTCTTTCCAGACATCTGTCACAGTGAAAATTGCTCTACTCATCTGGTAGTATTGTTGCTCGGATTATTTTGGCTGCTGTTTCTGTGTGTTAGCTGGTACTGTATTGGCTCGAGCAGAGGTAGTTGAGAAGGCTGTCGATGCGACTGAGTTGGAGGCAAAAAAAAAGTGCTGGTCGTAACAAAAAAAAATCGGCAATTTTGTTTTGAAATCTAAGGATATCAGATCTATTATCTGCTTCTGTTGATGATATTGGTAAGGTCGTGGCATCAGATCCAGCTTGCAAAGTTGAAGCTTGTTCAGATATTGGCGATTGCATTCTGTGATTGGAAATAAATGCCGCTTCTTCTTGTTCAATATATTCAAGTACCTCCATTTCAAAGTCTTTGTATAGATCCGTGCTAAAAATATCACAGGCCCAAAGATAATATTTTGGAAACATCTTCTTCAGAACAACAGACTCCTACAAAGAGAAATAAAAGAGAAATATGCTTTTACTATTATATACACACATTAACTACTTACCTGGAGGAACACTATACGCAAATGCGCAAGTAAGTCGATAAGGTTTGGTCTGACAATATCCTCTTGGATTTCTGCATCATTGTTGAACCTCTTCATCTAGTAATCTACGTCTTTAAATACTAACTGTTGAAGGGCGACCAAAGGTTTTACAGCTGTTCTGGGTAAAAAATAACCAGAGTCTTGTTGACCATTGAACCCAGCCAGTTTCTCCATTACTTCTACTGGGAAAATTGACACATAGCAACCGATATTTCGGTCTGTAGCCCATCGCCCAACATTTCTCTGTTGGTCTACAGAAATTCTCTCCTGGTCAACTATATTCAGGGTATTCTTTTTGTTGGCATAAACAACTTTTGACTCGTAGATTCCTACGTTTTTGAATGCTTCGATATACTTGTCCCGCTGTACTTTATAGAGAATAGCCTTGAAAGGATTCTTGCTTTTGAACAGCACTGTCTTGTACCAGGTCTCTCTCTTTTCAAAGTTCGGAAATGGTTCATTCTCAAAGTGAAAACGGAAAAACAGATCCATGATCAGTGCTCCAACTGAAGAGACCTCAACATCTCGATGTCTCACCGACCACCCGTACTCATTTTTTTCGTTTTGATCCGTTTTCCCACAGGATATATTGGCCACCAAAGCAATACACTATGTAAATCCTTGGTCTTTCACTTCCAGAGAGAAAATATCGGCAAACTCTATCCCAAGAGTAGGTTGGCTACTTAATAGCACCGCTTGGCATAGAAGAAAACATAGTCTATCTCTAGAGCCACGGAATTTATTTTTGCTTGTAAAAAAGAAGTTGCTCACTATTTTCAATTCTCTTTTGGAGAATCACTCTTCAAAGTACATTTTTCTGCGTTTGACTTTCTTTTTATCTTTACCCAAAGTATCCAGAAAATTCCGCGCTAATGGACCTCTAACTACACCGTTTGTGTTCAACCCAAGCGCGTTTTGTGTATTAGAAATGTCGGATATAGCTTTCACATATGCAAGAATCGACTCCCTTCCTAAGGCAACTGACGTGCCATCGTCATTCTTGCGATATCTGTTGCCGCGCTTGGGCACATATTCTGTTAAAAAAAGGCTACGTTTTTTGTCGGATACCGTATGCCCATCTTTAAAGTTTTGTTCTTTACACCAATCCTAGGTTTTAACTGATTAGCCCTGAGAATTTAAACAAATAGCTTTACATTTTCTTTAGCAGATGGTCTATACTTACTTTCTATTCTTCTTGCTTAGAGGAATATGCCTTGATTGTGTTTATAGACTTGCTGCTCGTACTTTGTGGTGTACCCATTTGGATACTGCAGTGCATAATATTATTTTTATTAAGTATTTGCTGAATTCATTCATTAGTTATAGAAGAAGAGCTGCTGCTTTGATTGTCCATGCTGATTTTATTTTTGCTTTATAAAAGGTTATATCAGTATATACACTCGAACAATAATAAGAACGTTAACTTTTGGATACCTTGAAATTAATGTTATCGGGTTAGCAAGTATTATGAATCGAAACATAAATTTCATTTGGTTTTTTAAATTGTACTATTTTTTTTTCGTCACTTAAAACAAGCATATATGGTCCTCTTTATCGGTTCTTTGACCGAATTAGGAAGTGACATAAATAGAAGTATTTTTATTATAAAGGCTTTCTATTGGATAAATTTGATACCAGAAATTAAGTCTGAAAGGGGAAAATTTTATTTCCAAAGTATTTCTTGTGAGTTTGGCTAAGCATTAAGATATACTTTTTTTTGTCTTCCCAAAAATCACTACTTTAATTTCAATCCACGCTAGAAATACTTTTAGTCTCACATATATCTGAGGGCCATGGCGCAATAAAGAAGTATGAATTAAGGCTCCTCAGGCACAGAACTAGGAAATGGTTCAAGGGCAGGAGGACTATTTTGTTTTTTTTGTTTACACTGGTTAGTAAAAAATTTAAAAAAAAAGAGGTTGACCAAGAAGAGAAACCTATAGAAAGTTTACCTTGGTCGGCGTCCCTTAATTTTCATGGGCTTAACAGGTGGGTGGTCCATTGGTGCCAGGAGTTCAAAGCTGCAGATCAATTCTTCATTTATACTCATTATTGCACCAAAGTTGTCAAACTCGCCACTAGACACAGGATTAGTAATTATTCTATTCTTCTTTTTGATATTCAGGTGTCACAATTACCAGTAGTTTGGTGCACTAAATACAGTAACCAACGTTCTTTCATTAAAAAACTCGTATCCGTCCTCGACTACCATGTGTGCACGGCAAACGAGATCAAGATCGAACTTGGTAAGAAACTCATTGACGATCTTTTTGCCAAAACAGTATGACACTCCACGCTCATTATCTTCCCAGTCCAATGCAGTGTCTGATGGATCTGACCAGACAAGATCATTTAAAAGCCCGTATTCTGGCACATCGGTTGGTCTGGCAAGATTTCGAACATCGTCCATTGAATTCAACGAGGGGGACAGACCGCCATGTACACAGAATATCTTTCCTGCAACCAGACCTGCAATAGGAAGTGTGTTGAAGGCATCCACAAATGTCTTCCATATCTTGGTGTTCGTTCGGCGCTTGCATTCATCATAAAATCCATAGACTTTAAAGACATAACATTAAAATGTAAATTTTACAACCGTTCACATATGTACATATTTTATATAATCTGTACGCACCTATAATATCTTTATATCTATAGAATAATTCTTACCTCGAGTTACATTAGCACATTCATGATTTCCTCTAAGTAAAAAGAAATTTTCGGGATATTTTATCTTATAGCAGAAAAGCAGCAAAATGGTCTCCAAACTCTGTTTTCCTCGATCAACATAGTCCCCCAGCAATAGGTAGTTGGACTCTGGAGGATACCCACCCTATAAGAACCCAAATAGCACAAAGTCAATAAATAAATAAGTAAATAAATAAATAAGTAAATAAATAAATAAATAAAGTTGATGTAAATAGCGCACGCCAAGGTTTTCTTTTTGGTGATTTGCGCGATTTGAGCTCTATTACCATATCGAATAGCCGGATCAAATCATGATATTGACCATGAACATCGCCCATAATCTTGACAGGAGGATTCAATTCGATCAAAGACTTGAAGAAATACAAGATAAATAAATAAGAGAATGTATGGTGTTTACTTTAATACACATACATATATGTATGTATATATATATGTATATGATCTATATCATATTGAAAGTCAACAACAACAGCAGAAAGGTTCTTCAACTTACAGGTTGGCTGAGAAACACCTCTTGTGCGGCTTGACAGATAGCAGTAATCTCCGAATTTCTAAAACAAATGGACTTGTGGACCTTTCCATCTCTACCAACTTCTAACAAGCGACTTATACACTCGTCAATGTCGAGCGCTTTTGCAATCGAACGCATCGAAGTGACAGTGAGCTGATTTTGGGAATCGACTGTAGTTTGATTGAGATCATTGATAATGTCTTCCTGAGAATCCGGAACATTGTCTAGAGAATTGTTGACGAGAATGGATCCAATGGAGGTTGCAGTAGTATTCGACTGCTCATTATCGGAAGGTTCTGTACGTAAGACACTAGGACGATCTTTATGCTTCTTGGAATGTATGTTACCCATGAGAAACACGATGAGAAATAGGAAAAGGAAATGGATAAAAAGGATGGAATCACGTGTGCCTGCTTTTTTTTTATTCTTAGCATTCTGTTTTGTTTCTCAATCTAGCTCGGGACACTTTAAGACAATGCTGGATAAGAGCATACACCTTTTTAGCTGAGCAATACATTTTCTTTTTTGTTAGTATTTCGTCTTGGGCAATTCCCATAGATACTGCCATCGCTAGACTTGCTGCCTGAAAATCTTTAATGTTCGTACGTCGGTGAAGTGCATGATAGAGATAGGCCATTGGTTCTGTACCCTCCGATGTGTCTGTGTCACGTGAATTATCTCCGCTATCATTTTCTTCAATAAAGCCTAGTTCATCCATTGATATTGTTTGAGTTGGATCGTCTGTGTACTGTATTTTTCGAAACAGATAATGATCAAAATAGCAGCAGATAATTGGCTGCTCTCCTGGCTGTGCATCACAATTAAGATACATATCATGAAAACGCTGAATAGGTGCCAAAAGTGAGGATGGTAAGGTCCGATGAACGCGACAAATATGTTCCAGAACATCCAAGAAGTCATGGATATCTCCTGATTTTAGACATAGAACAAGGAGTGCCCAGTCGATTGAGAAGCTCTCGGGTACCTCAATGTGATTTTGAGTATCGAGTTTCTGCTTGGTGTACCAGATATTGAACGCCTTGCGACACATCTTCATAATTGTAGAAGGTGGACCATGACATTCATGCAGAATTGTACAGAGAATAGGGGTCAGTACCTGCTCGTTGCAGAGAAGGTGTTTAAGGTTATTGTGTTCGAGGAGGTAATAAACCTGCATAGTCTTAGCAAACCGCGAATCTTCTTCTCTCTCTGGACTGGTGGCTGATATACTGAGAAGATCTCCAAGGAAACCAGGCATCTCAGGCTGGTGTGCAGTCAAGTAGACCGAGCACATGAAACGAGAGTATAATTCCCATGCACGCGTTTCCCATGCAGATCTTCTTGCCTTTTTGGATAGTGGAGTATCTTTGTGCGCCCGCCAGCAGAGATGCATAATTACCCTTGGGGTGAATTTATTCAAAAGTTCTCCCATGGATTGATAGATTTGCCATCCATACTCGTATTGCTGGTTTCCCATGGACACGAAGATGGCTGTATTGTTTTCGTCGATATTTTCGCATTCTTCTTTTGTTCTTTTGGAGGTGTCACTCTCGAGACGTTTGGTCACCCACTCGGCAAGACTTTTAGGTCGAGGTACCATGTTTTCCCGGCTGGACTGCCAGACAGATCGTTCTTTGATCCAGTCAGACTCTCCTAATCTAGCCTGATAAAAGATCCACATATTAAACTTATCTTGATCCGTCACCTTTTTCATCAAAGGTGTGTCAATTCGAATAAGCGGCGAGTCTGATGCTGGAGATTTTGGATCGGCCAGATCTAGATAAGCCTTTCCGTAATCTGTCAATAGCCACTCGGCTTGTTCAATCTGGCGAGGGGTTTGCATCAAATGGAGTGTGATCGCCAATTTGTAGGTATCAGTGTCCCAAAGTCTGCGTGGCATAGAATACAGAGCTTTTATGGCAAGTTTGTAAAGGCCATAATGCATAATTTGGTAGATTACTTCAAGATAAGATGCTTTCTATATAAATATATTGTAGTTTATCAATTTAGGTCAAAAAATAACCATTGTTGTTGTTGATATTAATAATTACCTCAAGAGTATATCCTGCCTGAACTACTTTAATAAACAGCCTCCACATAATGCATCTTGTAATATCTTGTGGGAATTTCTTAAGATCGACCCCAGAGATTTCGTTGACAATATTCAAAATCTTTGGCTCACATAGTGTGTGAAGCATTTCTGAATAAATCTTGGCCACTTGTTCGGGGTTTTCGTTGGACACTGTGTCGGACATACTCATGTAAGCCACTGCATTGTTGAGAGTGGCTACGGCTTCTTTAACATCGTCATGCTCGAGTAAATTATTGACTTTTCTACCCACACCAATGCTGTTCAGTTTATTGCCGTTAGAGTCGAGCTGTTTTCCAGAAAGTGAGATTGGATCGCTTTCTAAGTTTCTATATTCTTCATTGACCGGAGTGCGAATAGGAGACGGTGGTGGTGATGGTGTGGGCGAGTGTGAGTGTGGGTTCGATTGTGAGATAACACGACTAAGTGTAGGCCAGCTGTCAAAAAATGCGCCAAGACGTGAAGAGGGTTCTACTGCATCTGCTTCTGGGACGTTCTTGTGCGCTTTTGAAGGATTGCTCTTATTATCAGTTGACAGATCTGGTTTCACAAGAACTTGAGGCACATTAGGGCTAGTGTGTGGTTGCATATGGCTTAAGATATTTTTTTATATGTAAAAATATATATTTAAATTGAATAAGGATATATAAACTCACGCATCTGTACTACCCATCTCGGTCTTATCTAGTCCAATTGCATTCAACTGAAACCACAGTCTCACATTGAATCTCCACCAATTTTTTCTTTTAAAAAAAATTAAGTGACTTGCTTCCGGGACACGCCTTTGACTGTTTTTTTTATTTTATTTTTGGAGCCATCCAAAAAGTATAAAAGAAGACCATTTCTTGCCCTCTATTTTTTTTCTTCATTGTCTCTGTCTTGTAATCAGATCGGATAAATCTTTCGCCTTTTACTAAAGATTTCCGTGGCTGCGGGACACTAAGGAGACTAATCATAATTTTTTGTCACCTCTTGGTTTTGATTAAATCATTCTAATCTTATCAATGATTTGGTATCTTTTATTTAATAATATAAATGAAAATAAAACACATCCTTAAAAGATGTATTCTATGTTTAACTATTAACAAATCTACTGAAAGTTTTTATAAAAAATCAATAAATAAAATTTCTGATTTTCCTTGTAAACTTTTTATGTTGTCATGGTGACAAGTTAAATTCTAAAAAATAAAATAAAAAAATCCATGACTGACTGACTGACTACTGTGAAAACAATGAATAAAATAAACGAAAAATTAAATTAAAAATGTATGTGAAAACTGTACGATAGAAATGAATGAATATATATATTTTATACATGTAAAAATCATTATTTTTTCTAGCTATATATGCGCGGGTGTATCTGATTGATTGATTTTGTTTTGTTTTGTTTTGTTTATTTGTTTTTATTTGTTTTTGTATTTTTTCTTTAAACCGTTTGAGGGTATAAGCATCTGGACTTGAGAACAATAAAACAAGATGATTTTTGTGCAAAAAGAAGGAACAATTATTATTCTTATTTCTCTGTTTTGTGTGTGTGTGTTTTTTTTACAGTCTTCCATTGGCCTCTGCTTGTTTCAATTGCTCCAACTCCAGACGAAGAGCGTCGTTCTCCCTTTGAAGTGATGTGTTTTCACGGATAGACATTTGTAACAGATGTTCCAAAGTATCCTGTTTAAAATTCCCAAAAAAATAAAAAATAAAAAAATAGTAATACAAAAAAATGTTCGAAATTATTATTGATTGATTGATTAATTAAAATAAATAAATAAATAGAAATATATATATACAAAAGTAAAAATAAGAAATCACTTACCAGAGTAGATGGTACATCTTCTCCCAGAGGTCTATCAGAAAACACATCAGCCCATGTTTCCCCCCTCCAGCCTATATCAAGCATCTATCTCTTTTATGTACACTTTTGTGTGTGTCTGTGTAATTTACCTTATTTCTGGAACGTCTGATGGAGCTTGTTTTGGACCAGAGACCTTTCTCTGTTCAGTTGCCTTGTGTTTTGCACCGCCGATATTTAATGTTCCACACACTTCTTGTAATAGCTGTCTTTGAGTTTCATTCACCCGCATGAGTTCTTCCAGCTGCGAGTAAATTGCAGGCACGGCGGGTGGATCCACACTACCAAGTCGAATGGACTGCCCACGCGACAAAGACGATGTTGGCGATGATGACAATGACGGATTAGACGTCGTTGTCAAGGGGGATTCATATGGGTGAAGGGGTCCTTTTTAACAATAAAAAATAACAGCAATAAATTTAATTAATACAAAAAAGAAATCTTTTGTCTAGATCTGTGCACACAACGTATGCATATATTATTGTTATTTTTATTTTTATATCAATCTTAAGCTTCATTTGCTTATGGTGATATTGATTATTTATCAAGTGTTGCTCACCTTCTATTCTTTCTGTCCGTTGATTCATTTCCACTATTCCGCCGGTCAATTCAAACCGACCAATCTTACGTGGCTCACCCTGAATTGGCTGGCTCTCAACAGCCTCCTTTTCACGCTCCTTGTCGGTTGCAAAACGTGTAATAGATCTGGAGTTGGTGGATATTTCACGTGTGAGTGGAAATCCGGCAGATGCCATAGAGTTTTCACGCGAAAGGGGGACAGTATGATGTGGGATAACATGAAGTGGTATTGGAGCCACAGTAGGAGTGGGTACAGTACTTGCTGAAGGAGGGGAAGCTACAATTTCAAACCGGGACTTACGGTCTACTACTATCGAAGAATTTTTTTTTTAAAAAAAGGTAGAAAATAGAATAGAAAACAGAGAAGAATTATGTTTAATAAGGAATTCCTTGTTATATTTCATGACAAAATAAGAATGCCAATGCCAATAGTAGTAATAAACGCTACCCATATTGTCTTGACTTGTAGTCTTGTAGAGGGATCTCTCTAGAGGTTCTTCGGCAAAATGAACATTCAGTGGCTCATTTGAACTGGGCTGGCGTGAGAGTTGATGATTCACACTAAATCTTCCCTTTTTTACCTCACCATCCTTTATCAATCAAACCAACAAAAATATGAGCTTTTAGATTTCCACCCAACCTTGTTTTAACCTGTATTATTTATATTTTGCACTTATAATATATATCTTTTCAAAAAAAAAAGAAGTTCTTACCGAAGATTCATCACGGGAATCAAACTCTGATAGATAAGCCGAAGGACTGGCAGATCGGGTCGATGACTGGCCCACGGTGTCGGTATATTCTCTCGAGGTCTCTTCAATAACAAAGCGTGATTTACGCGTAGGTGCAGATATCTCTGCAGACTGCATCGTCATCGTCATCGTCGTGCCGGCGTGCGATGGCTGAGGTGGATTCCGGACAACTACATCACCAAAGGATATGTGTCGTTTGACAGGTGGTTTTTGTGGTAAAATAGCTTCAGTTGGCTGTTGCTGTTGCTGTTGTTGCTGCTGCTGCTGTTGTTGCTGATATTGATACTGATATTGATGCTGTTGTTGTTGCTGCATTTGTAGTTGTTGTAGTTGCTGCTGTTGCTGTAGTTGCTGCTGCTGTTCATTTGACTGTGCTGATTCGTCGCCTTCTGTATCGTCTTCGTTAAAATCCCATTCGTCCGTTTTGGTAATCGTCACATGTCTTTGAGGAATCTTTTTACGAGGACGCTGGTCAAGCGACGGCAGGCCAGCCAGCAGAGACTTGACAAGATAGTCCTTCTTCTTGGCTTGCCTGAAAAAGGCATGCTGCAAAAGTTTCTCAGCCGATGGACTATAACAAAGCAAATAAATTATCGACTCGAAAGATTAGTCCAAAAAAAAGGGGAAAGAAAGAAGTTTACCGCTTTGTGGGATCTTTGTTGAGGCAGATATCAATCATTTCTTTAAAAGTCTTTGAGAACTTGTTTTTTGTTGTCTCACGACACAATGTTGGTGGGTCATTTGAAAGGGTCATCATCAATACCTACAAATGGTCAATTATGCTTTTTGTCCTTTTCTTCCCCTTCTTCTTTTTGTTTCTTGTCTCTTGATTGGTATTACTGCCATTACTATTACAGCTATTATCTTTGTTGTACTATATATATAGTCTTATAACCTTATGCTTATTTACCTTTAAAGGGGGGTGTTTTGCAAATGGCGCATGCCCCGTAGCGAGTTCTATAGAAGTTATACCGAAACTCCAGATGTCTGCCTTGTAGTCATAGCTAGCCTGCTCCATGACTTCAGGTGCCATCCAACAAGGCTAATAAACCAAACAGAGAATTAAATAACTTTTCTCTCTTTCTCTCTCAAAAGAAAAAAAACAACAACAAATTATTATTGTGAACTTACTGTGCCTACAAATGTCTTTCGCATACCCCTTTCCCCGGTCTCCATCAATGAACTCGAAACGCCAAAGTCTGCCAGCAATACCGTACCGTCCTCATCCATCAACAGATTACCAGCCTTGACGTCTCGGTGGATGTGTCCATTTTTGTGCATATAAGCAATCCCTTCTAATGCCTGCTTGAGTATGGTGGCAATGCTTATTTCATCTAATCCCTCTGGATAGCTTGTCTTCATGATATCAAGACAGGACCCTACAGCAAGTCAAAGTTCAGGCTGCCTGGCTAAACAAAAAAAGGGGGACCAATACATATATATATATACATATTTATAGTCCCATCCGCATTAAACTTTCCTCCTGTCAAATACGGCGTAACGATGTACAGTTTTGATCCATTTACAAAGGATCCATGGACACGCAATACATTGGGATGTTTTGATAGAGCCATAAGAGATGTTTCTCGCTAAGAAAAAAAAAGATTATTATGGTTGTTTAAGAAAATATATATATATAATTTTTTTTTGAAAAAAAATGGATTAATTGATTAATCAATTGCTTGATTGATTTGATTAAAATTGAATGTATTTTAAAGAAATATATTCTTTAAAAAAAAAGTAAGAGAAAAAATCACTAGGTTTTTGTTACTCACACGTAGTTCGTCAATTTGGTTTCGCTCAAACATATCTAGATCAATAATCTTGATGGCCACTCGCTTATTAAACGGTCTGTAAATTGCACTATAAACAATAGCCGAAGATCCATAGCCTATACATACATACATATATATATACATACATACATACACATATATTCATAGTCAGCTCGGCGTATATAAAATAAAATATAAAAAAAAAGAAAAAAAAAATTGGATAGAACATGACAGATTCACAATGCTTTCAATCCACTTTACCAATGGCTTCCTTCATCTCAAAATCATCAATGTTATTAAAGATGTGAGTTTCGGCTACAAGCTGGGATGGAACTGGAGAAGTGGGCATGGAGTTCTCGTGTTGAATGTTCGTCATGATTTTAAGGCCGTTTAGTATATCTGATCCACTGATCGACCGTCTTGAGGAATGTCCCTGTGATGGAAAGGAACTGGATGAGCTCGGATGACCGCTGACAAGAATTGGACGAGGAGGAAATGCAGTCCGGTTGACGAGGGGATCGTTTGGCCCTTCTGCACTAGTCACGGTAAACGAAGGTGTGGTGTTCAAAGAGACAACGTCGTCAGGGTTGTCTATCGTCATCATGAAGACACAGAGGGAGAGAAGAGGAGAAGGGAGGGAGGGAGAGTGTTGTGTGTGAAAGAGAGAACGAGAGAACGAGAACGAGAACGAGAGAGCGACAGAAGGGGGGAGGGGGAGGGGGGGTGGAGGCGACAAGCAAAAATGAGATAAATGACGTAGAAGAAAACAATGGGTTACACAGGTCATTGTGGACTGTCTCGTTTGTTCTGTGTCTATCGTGTAAAAGGAACTCAAAGATACATAGGGGATGATACTGAGAGGATATCGAGCAAAGTTTGTAATATATTGCACTGTATTGTAGTGCAATGTAATGTAATGTGGTGTGGTATGGTGTGTTGTGTTGTGTTGTGCTTCAGTAAGCCACTTAATGGTGATAACTTTAATTGATTGGAATAAAGCTCTTTGTGTTGTTCTTTAACGAGGAAGAAAATGAAAAATAAGATATAAGGGTGTTCAACTGGACAAAGAACAGTGTCTTAACACAGAAAGCCAAGTAAATTTCATTTCTTTACCACTTGAGAAATATAATACAATATAGCATATAATAGAGTAAAGTAGCATAATATAGTATAAGTGTGTTTTATTTTCTCATGTCAATCGCTATAACAACATTCGAACCAAACCCCCCTTCAAGATTTACATATTCCACCGACATTTTTTTTATTGAAATCCAAAGAGAAATGGAAGAAGTCCAGAATTGACCATTGGTTTGTACAACTTATCCATATTATATATATATATTGTAAGAATATAAAAGGGCAACTTAAGTATATATTTTAAAGAAGTATACATAAATCTGACATGTGTGTTGGTACGCCAAGAGAAAGATGTATATTTATATATAAAAATAACAATAAAAAAAAAGAAGAGGGAAAAGAAGAGGGTTTTTGTACACCTTATTCGGTATTTCAATAAGTGCTCTTTTTGCAACACCCACTCACCAATTCACCCACCCGTCACTTGTAAGACACTTTACTCTCCAAATCCAATTACATTCAGCAGTACTTCCCCTTCTTTTCCTTTTCTTCTTCTTCTTCTTCTTTTTCCTTTTTCTTTCCTTTGTCTTACGCCTCATTTGTTCAGTGTAGCTGGTTCTAGCCAAGCATTATAATTATAATTATAATTATAATATATTATTATTATTTTATCACTTGTATAAAAAGAAAGCCATATCAAACACACGCACACACCTATATATATATATATATCTTTATTCCTCCGTTTTACTCATAAAGTCCTTCTTAACCTTTATCACTTTCATTTTGGTCTTTACCAACAAAAGGAAAACACGATATTATAGAGGTTGCGTATAATATATCTATACATGATTTTCTTTCAACTTAACTTTACTTTGCATTATTTATTTATTTATTTATTTATTTATTATTTTAAAATATTCATTTTTTCTATTAGATCACCACATTCATCTGTGATTCTGAATGATTCCTCATCAACCAACCCAAAGTACTGCGATCAGTGGCGGAAATATTCGAGTAGTTGTACGATGCCGACCTTTGAACGCAAGAGGTAAAGCAAGAAAACAAAACAAAAATCTATACAACTTGATAATATTCTGCTTTCCTTTATGTTCTCTTTACTCATTCAGAGTTCCTTTTTCTCTCCCTTTATATCTATCTATCTATATATACATTCAGAGATCGCTCGAGGCGCAACTTGTCTGATACGCATGGACGGAGACCAAACAATCATAACTAAGCCTAGTTTGGCTGGCCAACCAAAGGAAGAAGATACAAAAGCCTTTACATTTGATCGGTCGTACTGGTCAGCCGATAAGAATGATCCAAATTTTGCAACCCAAAAGACAGTTTACAATGATCTTGGGCGTGAATTACTCGATCATGCGTTTCATGGATACAATTGCTGTATTTTTGCGTGTAAGTTTTTTTTTGTTGTTGTTGTTGTTTATGAGCATGTAAAAAAAATATGGAAAGGGAAAGCAAAGATTTCATCCACACACTTCTTTATCCATATATCTATGTTTATATCCGAATGTTCATCTAGATGGCCAGACTGGTTCAGGAAAATCATATTCAATGGTAGGTTTACGTTGGTCAAATATAAAGAAAATAATAAAAGAATCAATATACAATATAATGTATAATAAAGAGGGGATGGTTTATCTAATATCTTTAAAACAAAGATGGGTTATGGAAAAGACAAGGGCATCATTCCACTCACCTGCTCAGAACTGTTTGATCGAATCGCAGAATCAACCACAGATGTCTTGAGTTTTCAAGTAGAGGTTTCCTACATTGAAATTTACAATGAAAAGGTACGAGATCTCCTGAATCCAAGCAACAAAAGCAACCTTAAGGTCAGAGAGCATCCAAGTCTTGGTCCATACGTCGAAGATCTCTCTCGTCTTGCCGTGAAATCATTTGAAGACATTAGCCACCTGATGAACGAAGGAAACAAGGTAAACGTCACATTCATTCCAGCATTACACTTGAAGAATAAATAAAAAAGAAACCTTAATACTTAATATTTAATGCTAGGCACGTACTGTTGCAGCCACAAACATGAACGAGACATCTTCTCGTTCTCATGCCGTCTTTACAATATTCCTAACCTCAGCACGCTATGATGAAACAGCCAAACTTTCAACCGAAAAGGTTGCTCGTATAAGGTGTGTAGGGAAGGGTTGAAGGCTTGATAAATTGTGTTTGTATTGGGGGAAGAGAAAACGATAAGATAAAAAAGAAGCCACTGGCTGAGTCATTCCTATCTTAATATCAAGTCTTGTAGACTTGGCAGGAAGCGAGCGCGCCGATAGTACAGGGGCAACAGGCATGCGTCTCAAAGAAGGTGCCAACATCAACAAATCCCTGACTACGCTTGGCAAAGTCATCTCTAGTCTAGCAGAGCATGGGGACACCAAGAAAGGGAAAAAATCAAAGGAAGCATTTGTTCCTTATCGTGATTCTGTAAGATTCTATTCTTTTATACTCTACGTATTTAATCTATTTGCTTGCGTGATAATCATATAAGAAAAAAAAAAAAGAAGAAGAAGAGAGATGTAGAATGAATTTTTTCTTTTTTTACTGAAACCAGAAGAATGCACACAGGTGTTGACATGGCTGCTAAAAGATTCGCTTGGTGGTAATTCAAAAACGGCCATGATTGCTGCAATCTCGCCTGCAGACTACGAAGAGACGCTGAGTACGCTGCGCTATGCTGACCAGGCCAAGAAGATCAAGAACAAGGCCGTCGTGAACGAAGATCCGAACGCAAAGTTAATACGAGAGCTCAAGGAAGAGCTCCAGGCATTGCGAGATACCTTGATGGTGTATGCTCCGGATGAGGTCGATCGGATTGTGGCCCACGGTCACCTCATCGACGGAACAACTCCACGAACAGATACCCAAAAACCACCTATCCATACACCCGAGGCTGAAGCCGTCGTGCCTCAAGAGATCGTATTCACAGATGCATCAGGACACACACAGCATCTCACTAGAGAAGAAGTCGTCGATCAGCTGCAGACAGCTGAGAAACTATTGAACCAGGTCAACCGAACATGGGAAGAAAAACTCCATTCAACAGAGACAATCCATCAGGATCGGGAAAAGGCACTCGAAGAGCTGGGGGTGATGGTCGAGAAGAACAACATGGGTGTGTATACGCCAAAATCAGTCCCACACCTAGTGAATCTCAACGAAGACCCATTAATGACCGAATGTCTTGTGTATCAGCTTAAGCCCGGAAAGACACGGGTGGGCCGACTGGACAGCACTATTCCAGCCGAAATTCGACTGAGCGGCCCAAATATCAAAGACAATCACTGCTTTTTTGAACACAATGACGGCATAGTGACACTATACCCCGATGAAGGATCCATGACCATGGTTAATGGAATGCGTATATCGGACTCAAAGCGACTCCACAGTGGCTTTAGAGTAATTTTGGGGGACTACCATGTATTTCGTTTCAACCATCCTGAAGAAGCCCGCCGAGAGCGTGACCTACAGCAGCGCACGACTGGCAGCGCAGCAGGTCTTGAGCCTGGAAGCTCCCAGGCTCTTGATATGATGTGCAGACCGGTGTCACCCAGTGCGTCGTCAATGCGTGAGATGGCACAGAGCCCCGAGGTTGTCGATTGGGGGTTTGCACGCAGGGAGGCAGTATTGAATTACTACAGTGCCGAATCTAACCTGGGTGGACTCACAGACGAAGATCTTGAAAAGCTATTTGACGATGTTTTTCGGATCCGCCAGAGTCGTAAAAAGCGATTCGACGGACGATCAGAAGCTGATCCGGATGACGAGACATTGTCGAGAACATCAACCTCGTCATCTGCACGCCCAAGCCATGGGCAGTCGACAGTGTTTGGAGAAGATCAATCGGTGTCTTCGCTTTATCTCGACACAAGCACAATGACTCCAAACCGTGATGATCTGTTGCGTCAAGTCAAAGAAGAAATGCAACAGCAATTGGATTTGCAGAAACAGGCCTTTGAAGAAAAGATCAAGCTTTTGGAATCTGTAAATAGATCTGCTAATGCAAGTGAGGGAAAGATTTCTGGAGAAAACACAGAAAACACAGAAAAGATTGGAGAGGTAGAAAGCACAGAATATACAGAAGACCCAAAATATACAGATGATCCAGATGGTGCAGAAGATACGGCAGACACAGCAGATAAGATTGAACAGGTTCGAGCAGAGATGGAGAGAATGATGGACCAGCAACGGTATGCGTACGAATCCAAAATCAAACGGATCGCTATGCATCTTCCACCAGGGACCTCGTTGCAGTCCCCTACACTTCCATCAGTTGCAACCGAGCATGAGACGATATTGATCTATCAAACGTTTTTGAAATGGAAGTCTCTGAGATATGTGTGGATGGCCGAAACAATCATGTCTCATGCGGCACTACTCAAAGAAGCTAATGTGATTTCAAAAGAACTAAACAAGAATGTAATCTACCAGTTCTTTGTGCTCCATGACCATGCGTCTGTAAACCCTGTTTCATTTTGGGAATCCGGATCAGAACTACAGCCAAAAGGAGGAGGACGCTTATCACGTCTGTCTAGCGAAACAATGCCTTGTGTTGGCGTGCTAGTGGTAGACCGAAAGCATGAAGTTACATATGTGTGGTCTATTGAGGAAACACAAGCTAGGCTGGTACGCATGCGTAGCTTGTATGATTTTACCGAACGCCCGCTTGAGAACAATGAATCTTTGACAGAACAGCAAGATCCTTTCTATGAATCACCCTGTCCACGATACTCGCTTTTGGGATTGGCCAAGGTACCTATTCAAAACCTAGCTTTCCAGGTACCAGTCGAGAGCATGGTTGATGTAGTGTGTCGCCACTCGGGACATGTTCTTGGTCATCTCAGGGTCCTCATTACTCCTATTGCCAGATCAATGGCACGTCGTGCGGGTAACAGCCAGCTCACACTACCTCTGTCTCGTCAGAGCTCGCGTGACTCGCATCAAGAACGATTCTTGCATGTTGGCCAGCAGCAAGTATTCGAAGTTCGAATCATCTCACTCGACGGTCTGTCTGAATCGGACGCCACACAAGTTCATGCCCAATTCCGACTTTCTTCATTTGGAAACATCGAACCCAATTCACCTGTTGACAGGATTTACGCTACTGATCCGATCAGTGGCTTTGGTACTCTGCCTATTGACTTTCATTATGCCCAGACACTCTCTACCACTGTTACGGCAGACATGCTTGAGGTTATAACGACCAAGACCTTGACGGTTGAAATCCATGGCCACCTACAATCGCATTTTTTACGCAACATGGTACAGCAGAGTGTTGAGCGTGAAGAACTTGCTTCGCCTGTGGCCACCCGACCGCGTATGACGCTTGAACCAATACCTCCTGCTCACAGCCGCAGACCATCTGTGTCGAGTGTGCTGAGTATTGCAACAACAAACGGAGGTGGTAGAAATATGTGCGAGGACAGTCCAGAGGATGGGCAAATACGCGAAGAGGTGCATGATATTGTTGCCTGGGTAAAGATATGTGAGCTGGAGGCAGAAGGAGAATATGAACCGGTGCGGGTAGTGTACGACAGCAATAACAACAATCCAAAAAAGAGTGATGGAGGAGGGGTTTTTAGCTTGCGACAAGGTCTCCAGCGTCGGATCTCACTTTCACTTATGCATGCGTCTGGAAGGAAATTGCGGTGGGAGGCAATTGAGGAGATGTCGATTGGTAATGTGCGGTTACTAAATTCCAAGGGACAGGAGATAGCGCCTGCTGTCCACTCAGACGTGCCGGTGTACTTGTTTGCTGAACAGGAGCTGGTCTATCACAGCAACGGTACGAGTACCTTATCTGCGCAGGGACCTTGGGATAGCTCGCTTCATAACTCCTTGTATTTGAATCGTGTCAGTCCAGACAACCAACTGGTGTTGCTGAGTCTGAGCTGGAAAGTTAACTGTAGTTCACAGTGCACAGTGCCAATCAAGTTTAGCATGGATCTGGCTGTGATGATCCAGGAACGCGATGCTAGTGGTGGTGGTGGTGGAATTGGTGGTGGTTTAGGAGCAGGACTGACGGCCGCCGTGTTTTCATTTTTGCGGTCTCAGCGTATTCTACGTAAGATGAGTGCTATCTTTGTACTCAAGCTTCACCCTCCGATGTCACGCAAACTCAAGGATTTGTGGCGTCTAAATACAACACACCGATATGTACGTGGTGAGGAGCTGCTTGGTCCGTGGCGCCCAAGAGGTGTTTCGCTTGTCCATGAGTATCGTGAGGCCAGACAGCGTATGATACTGCGGGAGAATGTGGCTGTAACCCGCCACACTTTATTACTTGGCCAACAGCAACAATCGCGTGTTCTGAAGCGTGGCCAGAGTGTGTCTGTGCGTCCTCGGTGTCGCGATCAGACGGACGAGAAGGTGTTGTTGGACAAGGTCATTAGACTGTGGAAGCTAAAGTTTGGTGAACAGAAAGAGGTAAGATCGGGGGACAATAAGGGAGGCTCGTGCGCTTGTGACATGATGTGGGAACTAATGTTTGCGTGTTTATATTTTATAATATAATGTTTTGTGGGTAGATATCTATTCCTCGATACCCACCTTTGTCTGATCTTAGTTCAAGTCCTAGTCCTAGTCCTCAGCCTAGTCCACAGCCTAGCCCACAGGCCAGCCCGGGTCTACAGGCAGCCACGAATCGACTTGTTCCCAACATTCGACGTGTCTATCCAAGGTAAGCTACTAATTATATATATGTATATATTGCGTATTGTGTTACTTATGGGAGAAATCTGGGTAGCGATACTGTAACCAAAAAAGGGTTTTTACTGCACCCAGAAAATGCGAATGAGGTGTGGGTCAAACACTGGTTTGTGCTCAAAAGGTAAGCTGGACAAGAAAACCATGTGGGTGAAGATTTCTAAAAAATAAAAAGGGGACACGTGTAGGCCATACATCATCATCTACACAGACCAGTCCGAGACCGATGAACGTGGCATCCTCAGCCTGACATCGTTTAGGGTAGACTATACCAAAGACCTTGAAGATATCTTGCAGGTAATTAAATATTATAAGCGCTGGTAGATTGGGTTGAATTTTCAAGGAGTAAAATAGAAAGAGAAAGAGAGAGAATTTGAAACTAAAATGGTGGTGAAATTAGAGGACCAATGTATTTGCAATCTATACCAACCACAATTGCTACCTTCTCGAGGCACCTGATCGCACAACAATGGTAGACTGGATCTCCAAGATCGATCAATTCTATCCAGTCGATAGTCTGCCAAAATCATAATACCAACAACAATAAGCATAGAAAATAACTGTGAAATAAATTTGCTTGCTTTAGATAGCTAAATAGGTGTGTATATTATTATTATTATTATTATTATTATTATTACTATTACTATTATTTCTTTATTTCTATTTTTGCCCACCTTTTACTCCACTTCCATAATTAGACACCCTACCAACCATCTATCTTGCCCCTTTTTGCACACCCATTTATTGTGTCATCAATAAAATACAAAATTAGGTGTTTTTTCTTTTTGAATAAAACTGTACACACTATACACAATACATATTTACATATATAGTCTTGCTCTATATTTTTCACTTTTTTCTTTTGCTATTAATAATAATGACAATAGAACAATTGTTTTCTTTAATATAAATGATATATACACGTCTGGTGCCAAATCAATACATGTAAAGATAAGGAGCAAGTGGAAGTGCAAGTGGAAGTGCAAGTGCAAGAGGGGTCGAGAGTTGGGGATAAAGGGAAGGGGTTGAGTGGGGGAGTTGCTTAGGGCAACAAATAGAAAAATAAATAAATAAATAAATAAATAAATAAAAATCACCCCCCAAAAAAATCATACAGACAGACAGACAGACAGACAGACAGACAGACAGAGTGAAAGATGGCAAGGAGTGAAAAATCCATTGAAGGGATACAATGACTGTAAAAATGTGTGGTAGACGCCTTTGGGTCTATTAATTACAACTCCGTACCCAATATTGTTTTCTTCCGACATTGTTCAGCTTGTAACCTTTTTTTTCTCCCTCTCTCTCTCTCTCTTCTTCTTCTTCCCTCTGTTCCTCTCCACGTTTTCTTTTTGTGCCTCTAATCTATACTATCTTTATTGTCTTTTCTTTTCTTCTTACTCTCGGCCTTCACAATTTTCCTTTGCCTCTTATTTCTTTTTCCTTTTCCCTTTCTTTACTCTACTTTACAATTACACACCTAACTGGTACTTAGATAATGATGCACTACTACGATGGAAGGGACAGTCATTCTGAGACGTCTGCGATTGCAACTGCAGACGATAATTCATTGAGACAAAATGACCTTCAAGGCTGGCTTTTAGGAGTTCATGGTTATCGACAAGACGCTGCAACCACGACTACAGCTACAAACTCACAATTAGGGGCCCAAGAATCAGCCACCAGAGTAGGCGTAGACACATCAAGGTAATATGTTTATACAATTCTATACATATACACACATAGGTGTGGTGCGATGTAAAGAAAAGAATAGAAAACAAAAAAAAAGAGAGAGAAAAAGGGGATAGGGTGGAAATAGACTCATGTGGGACGTTGCTTGCTTAGTATTGCTGTATCAACCACGCGAAACGTACGCAGGGAGCGACCAGAGTCGATTTCATCTATTAGTTCAGAAGATAGTGTGAATCTAGATGACCTGATCAGTGCAAATTTTACGGTGGATATGGAGCAAGAGACAGACTTACCAGATCTTGCCGAATTGGAGCTTGATGACTCTAGCGAAGCATTTTGGAATATGGACGATGTAAGTAGAGAAGACAGAATAGTATTGCAGATGGGATCAACAAAACGTTCCAAGGTACTTGTGCCGTTTCGACTCTCCAGTCAGGCCACTGGGACATCACTGCCAGTAGTTGTGACGACCACCCCTGCCGACAGTAATGGATCATCAGCTTCAAGGAATGGCGACGAAATATTTGGAACGGGAGACGCAGACTTTCATAATTTTATGAATTCAGGGAGAAAGGTAAGCGACCTGCCTCCCTTTCCAGTACTGACCAGCCGCAGAATGGAACTTCTGGTGAAGGTGAAGACGACTTGGACTGGAGTCCTGAAACTGAACGTGAGTATTTTGTATATATATATATATTTGCGTGTTATTTAATTATTTGATTTTAATGAGACAAATGATAATAAAGACAACAGTAACAGTAATAAACTTGATGCTTCCTTATGTCTTTTTTTTATGTGCATATATAATGGAAATTGAAATAGATATTAATATTAATGATTTGATTTGATTTGATTTGATTTGACGTCCTATAGAGATCGTTAGACAAAGGGTAACCCCTCCTCGGTTGACGCCTACATCCATGACACTCCCAAAACCTCGTACATTTGGCCCATCGACACCGGACACCATTAGACGCCAGCGATCAGGTAGCATCAGTAGCGAAAACAGCCTGAACTCTCAATCTACCATCACAGCCGGAACACATATCTACGGACGCTATGGCGTGACCCCTCCGTCTTCTCTACACCCCTCCGAGTCTTCGTCTTCGTCGCCATCGTCAAGATCGCACAGCCGACTCAGCAGCTACTCTACATCTAATCAAGGAACATCTTCAGCTCTCCCGCGTGCCAGGACTGCATCTAATAACATGTTACAACAAAGTCGATCATTTACTACCCAGGCACATTCTGGTTCATCCGGATCTGGATCCGGATCTGGATCTGGATCTGGTAATGGTGGTAGTAGTGGATTTGGTGGTGGGGCTAGCGCTGGAGCTAGTGCTGGAGCAGGCGCTGGATCTGGATCTGGCGTTGGTACTTCCGGCTCTGAAAAGTTGATGTCTCGGTCAGCATCTCGCATTGGATCGTCAATTGCAACATCAAAACTCGCCAAACGTGCTTCCCATATCCCATCTCCTGCCAGCACTCGCGCAACAATCATTCCTCAACGTACAAAGTCTACTCATCCAGGTCTCCTTCACGACACCACCAACACCTCATCTTCGTCTTCCTCATCTTCCTCCTTCACTGCCGCACGCAACTCACGCGCATCTCATATTCCATCCGCACGTGCCACTGTCTATCGCCTCACCTCACAGGACCCTGCACGCGCCGGATCGCGGCTTGGCGTCAGAAGTACGACACCTGGCCCACGAAACAGTTTGTTCGGCAATCCTCCCCCTCCTCCTCATTCTTCATCTGGTGCTTCGTCTAACAGCGGAATTCCTGCCCGTCCCCAAACTTCCCTCAGCACTGGCAGACCTTCTGGTCTCCAGACACCTTCTCGAGTTATGAGCAGGATAGCAAAGAAGACATAAGCATAAACTCTCCTTCTCCCACTCTTACTTTTACTCTTACTCTTACTCTTACTCTTATTATCACTTCCCTCAAAAACAAACAAGCAAGAAAACACATAAACACATAAACACATAAACATATAAACATATAAACATATAAACACACGGACAAGCAAAAGACTCTTCATCCTTCTCCTTCACAAACACCAAACTGCATTTGAATTGAATTGAATTGAAAATAGTGAATAGTAAATACTGTATTTTGAACGAACATTTGACCTACTATTTTCTTTTCCTTGTTATTTTTTAAAGAAAGAAAAACAAAGGGCACTCTTTTCAATAATATCATAAAAGTTACATTCATATACAAGACATATATAAAAGGTAAAAGGTAAAAGAAAGAAAGAAAGAAAGAAAGAAAGAAAGAAGAAAAAAGACAGGCAAAAATGGTCTACTAGATTATATTAATTCACAATTAAAATATACATTTATATAATATGTAAAGATTGACAACTGGAGGTGGATTTGAGTTTGTTGGTCAGCAATACATTTATTATTCGCAGCAAGTCAAATAACATCACATCAGCTTACATCATTTTACACAGCAAAATACAATACAATACAATACAATACAGTACAATACAATACAGTAAAGTAGTAAAATTTACGTGCAAAACTCTTGTATTAGTGAATAACTATGACATGCTATTTTATATTTTAAGAAAAAAAACCATTAAAATAGTATTCATATCATTTCGTATAAAAATTGATAATCTTGGATTCACCTGACTTTATATATTAATCTTATTTGAGTGCAGAGGAAGCGTAATAATGATAATATGCGAAACCAAAAATCACGATATTTTGCATCACAGCGTGTATTATAGTATCTTGATTCATTGGCTTAGCTTACTGTGCTGCCATTTGTACAAGAATGTGCATAAACAAAGCAAACATAACCATACACAAAACAACTTCCAGAGGTGTCCTATAGTCAAACCCTATACACACAATATATATAACATTTAACATAATTAGCTAATCAGTTTTCTTCTTCTTCTTCTTCTTTTTTGACTTTGATTTTGATCAATTTAATATATATATATATATTATAGTTAGATACTTGCCTAGGTTAATGTTGTCTGGGATCACCACAACACGGCAGCTTCTGTCTGTACTAGCACTGGCCAATAATCTACCTGAACGATTAAAGCAAAGACTGGTGATTGCAGATCCATGACTTGGCCTGATTCGTACAATGGGCTTTTTTGTTTTTGTTTTTTTTTTTGGATTGGAAGACATGTAGAATGTATAATCATTTATATATGTATATATATATATATATAAATTATGTGCGTGTGGTTAATATAGATAGAAAAATGGTTATAATCTTGCTTATTTGCTTTTACCCGTAATGTCTTGGCATCAACAATGCCTGTGGTAAAATCACTTGAAGTATAGGCCAGCAGATTACCTTGATCACTATTGAAAGTTTGGTTTAGTTTAGTTTTAGTTTTAGTTTGATTTACGCACACAATACACAATACACATACCCTCTATCTAAATTCCCCTTTTTAGTCTTCTTCTTCTTTTCCTCATACTCTTTGTTTTTACCACTACCTAGATTACTAATGTTTCTTTTATCAATACTTGGCTACTCACTTGATTGTGAAGTTTGTAATGGATGTACGGCTGACACTCTCAGCTTGAACCTTGGTCACAGAAAACCTGTGATCGCTTGGGCGCATCTTCCATGCACACACAAATCCCTTTCCCCGTGCAATGGGATTTACAATGGCATAGAGCGTTTTATTGCTTGGAGATGTACCTGAGAACCTGAATACACAAGATCAATTTATGCTCAGTAAGACAAACAAACAAACAGCAGCAGCAGCAGCAGCAATAATAATAATAATAATAATAATAATAATAATGGTAGTAGTATATGTATTTGAAAGGAAAAATAAAATAAAAATATTGTGCTTACCTGCAGGCACGAAATTCACACTGAATCCCATTGAACTGTGGACTGTCGATGGCCTGCACAATACTTCCATCTCGCATAGACAGGATCAGTACTGCGCTTGTAGTTGCCACAGCTACATATTCTTCGGCCTCATCTATATCAGCATCATGAAGACTATTGAACCTCAAGGTAGGAAAGGCCAGGGACAGTCCAGGTACTCTGAGGACAGATATCTTGCCGTCCGTGCTTCCCGAGACAAGGTAATTGCCTCTTGGACTGAAGCGTGTTACCTTCTACTCATATACATATATATATATATATATATATATGTATTTATTGTATTATTGTATTATATCAGTATATATGTTCTCTTGCACACCAACACCAACACACACACATACACATTTGTATGTATGCATATTCTTATTATTTTATTTTTATTGCCAAGAAATAATATCCCTCTCAATCCTGCTAATTCACCTGATATTCATCTGCACTCTTGTTGGTATTTGTGCATACAGCCTCAGTGGCCACAATGCGACTGCAACGAAAGAGGCGCTTAAAAATTCATTTGTATTCAATGCAAGCCAAATGGATATCATCTTTCTGTCTCTATCTCTGTCTCTGTCTCTCTTTCTCCTCCTCCTCCTCCTCTTCCCCCACTTCCACCTCTATCCCTCCCTTTTTCTTTTTTCTTTCAAGTCCACACATCTTGCCTTGCCTTGCTTTGCCTTGCTTTGCCTTAATTTTACTCTTTTTTTTTCTGTCTTTGTTTTTAATATCCCCCTTACCTTTCTTCAAGTTTAAACAACTGGCAATTTGTGTTTTCTCCTTTATCTATAGACTTATTGACCCCAACTGCCACAATATCCATCTGTAACACGTATATACACCCCGTACCCACCCCGTACACACGTTTGTATTAGTTCAAAACTTGCTCAATGAAATCACAACTTTAGTATACATATATTATATATACCTTTGGATGACATGCAATTGACATTGGACAAGCATCTTCAGGTGACAATGACAATAAAACTTGTTCAACAAGAGCCTTATTTTTTTCATCGACACTCAATAACATCTACATTATATGTATTTTTTTTATTAAAAAAAAAAAAAGGGGGGGGGGTGGATATTTGTATAATGAGTGAGTGAGTGAGCGAGTGAGCGAGTAAATAATAGAGTACACAGTACCAGTTTATTGGATGTGCCCATCGTATTGATGCCATCTCCTCCGGTAGCTAAGATGCGATCGTCTTCAGTAAAAGCGATTCCATGAACAGGAAACTCAAAGTCATGCGTGAATGTTGTCGGTTTAAAGCGTCCCATGACTAAAGATGATCAAATGATAATAATAACTATAGTAGTAGCAGTAGTAATAAGCATATATATATTATAATATATTATATTATATTATTCATGTGGGAAAGTAAAACTAATTTTTTTTTTAAATAAAAATAAAATCAGGAAATGTCAGGTGACTTACTCCTAAAAAGAATATTACATAAATCTTGTCAAAAGAAGTAGTGGGTTAAAAGGCATTGTTATATTTCTAGTATGTAAGAAAGATAAAGGAGAAAGGTAAAGAGAGAATGTAGTTTAGATTGGTTTGGTTTGGTGTGTGCAGATGTACGTTTTCATTTCTGAACGAACTAGAAGATGTCACTGTGAGAACATAAATTAGTAATAATGACCAAGAGGAGGCACCCGCCATATGTACCCATAATTTACTATCTATCTATCTGTATATAAGCTGTGTAAAGAGCACCAGCAATAACAATCAGTAGGGATGATGATAGCAGAAATAGTAATAAGGTAGTTTATTAAAAAGTAGAATGAAGACTTAATCAAAATAAATGTACATGTTGATCACTTGAAGATGATACAGCAGAGAGACCAAAAAAAAAGGCGGTTCTTATTTGCTCTTTTTTCTTTTCTTTTTTTTTGCCAAGGCAAGAAGATTTCAATCTAAATCGAAGCATACATATATGCATCTTCTTTAGATTGACTCTCACAAGATGAAATATACAAATATATACAAATTATATATATATATTTATATATATATATACATTGTGTTTGAGTTTGTGAGAGAGAGAGAGTGTGTGTGTGTAGTATGTAGTATGTAGTATGTAGTATGTAGTGTGTTTGCAAGTGCGTTCGTGGTGCATTTGTGGCACGCTTGCGATATTTTGTATGTGTGTACTCTTTTTGTATGGATTGTTATGGCATAAAGACTATCCTTGAGCGTAATGGTCGATTCTCCAGAACTGCCTTGAGTTGTCGACGGTTTTTATAGGTGTTCATGGTTGTCTGTTCATCTTCAGCTGATGTGAGATCCAGTGGTAGAGAGTCCTGCTCCAAACCAACCACAGCCAACAGATCTGGTCCCTCTTCTGTTGGAGATTTACGATCATATTCAGCCGAGCTGTGGGTATAAAATACTGTGTCGATCGCGTAGAAGCGTACTGATTTTGTGGATCGTGCGGACTGTTGGCTTGTCCAGCTCGTCTGAGACCGTCGTCTGGATAGATTGGTTCGTAGTCGACGCCATTGAAGGGAAAGAGATATCATGCTACGATTCGTACCGGACAGGCAGAAAGGCAAATGGGATGGTGTCGCTGGGAGAGTAATGGTGAAAGTGGGTAGAGGTGAAAAGAAGTGAGAGGTATATATATATATATATGTATATATTTTTATATATTTAGAAATAACAGTTGAGAGTTGAGTACTGAAGACAAATGAACAAAATGCTTGAGTATGGTTCTTTTTATACTGTCCAGATTATTAAGCTTCAAAATAATATATATATATATATATATATATATATAGTTTATAAATTTATGTATGTATATAAAAAGAAAGAGAAAGAAAGAAATGATAGCTGCAGGAGTCTTGTATTTCATTGCCGTATTTGTCCATATTCTCCAACATGTACTACTTATAATAATTAGGCTTGGGAGATATATGTAAGCTTGACGTCTTTTAACTATACCGAACCATTGACCGATGTGCTTCACAGACCTGCCGAGTCAAGAGACCGTTCACAATGACAGTCCACCATGACGCCTTTATTATTATTATTATCTTCACTACTAATATTATTTATTATCTCCCTTGTTAAGTGATATTTAGATTTTCCTGCCAAGAATAGACAGATCTAGTAAGTCTTGGCATTCAAAAAGAATACACATACATACAATATACATAAAATATACATAAAATATATATTTAATTGTCTGTCTGTATGAAAAATTGCCTCTAATTTTTTTCTTTTATTTTATTTGTCAAGCTGGCGATCTTCCCTAATTTACAACACACGACTTTTTGTAATTCTCAATCTATTCCCTTGAACCATCCCAAATTCTTAAAGAAAATACTCGCTCGTTTATTTCTTGCATCTCCTCCGTCAAAACTGGAATACTACCAAAGTTGCATAGTCTCTTTACTGTCTATCTCCTTCTATATTGTCTTGCCCTTTATGTAGCCGAGTATACAGTTGTGGGGTAATACAAACATTTGTATTTATGTGTGTTTGTGAGTGTGAGGGTTTGTTTCTATGTGTGTGAATGTGAATGTGTTTGTGTGCGTATATGTACATGGACATACATACATACATACATACATCTATACGTACGTACATAAGTATATACTTACATACACTCCCACACACACACAGAGAGAGAGAGAAATACAAACACAAACATGCAAGTACGTATGTGATAAAGCAAAGGTACATGGTTTTGGATGTAGCATTCCTCCTTTAAATCATCCATTTTCACTCTCCTCCCCCACCCCCACTTTTCTCTCTCATTTCGTTTCGTTTCGCTTCTCTTCTCTTCTTATTGTCGTTTCATCATAATGACCGTATATTTTTAGACAGACCACGGGCACCTTTTTGACAGACCCAGTCCTTCCATTCTCGGATCCAGTTCTGGAGGCCACAAAGCACCGCCATGTATCTTGTTGGTCTTGAACTGGCGTACAATGTAATTGAATCCAACCGATTGACAAGCGGCCGTGAAAGCGACTCTGAATGATCAATTGACTCTACCAAAGGAGAAAACATTGTCAGCTCTAGCTCTAGCCCTAGCGCTGGTTCTGGTTCTAGCTCTAGTTTTGGTTCTGTCTGCTGCTGCTGCTGCTGCTGCTTCTGCTTCTGCTTTTGCTGCTTCTGTTGTTGATGTTGGTGTTGGTGTGACAGTGGTGGGTAAATTGACAGGGATAGCGTTTGATCAATGCTGTTGTGGTCTCTTGTCGTTGTGCTGTGGTGCATCAGTCCACACAAGAAACACGATGCTGAGTAAGTGAGTGGTGGAGGATGGTTCGGGTAAGCTTCGGCGAATATATTGGGCGATGGCGCTGTGGTATGGAATCCACCAGCACCGTACACAAACGACGCTGATATCTGTGCGTCTGGGATCCACGAAGAACTAAGAGCAGAATTGGGATGAACTTCACCGACTAGCATTAAAGAAGAGAATCAATTGAGGAAAGAACTACTGCTATTATTGTTATTTCCGGTGATTGTTAATAGGCAGCAGCTATCCAACATCTATATTTCCGTGGTCCGTGCAAATGGACTGTTTTATTTTATTTTATTCAAGAATATACACATATACACTATATACATTACATACATATTTAAATACATACAGATAAATCAATAAAATATTACTATATTTTTCTGATATATATATATTTATTGATATACTTTATTACAAACGCACGTCTATTGAAAAAAGGAAATAGATATAATTCCCTAAAATAGTGCGCTTTTCAGCTCTTGTTTTTTTTTTGCTTTGATTTTTTGATCACTTCAGTATGCATTGCATGTCTTCTGCCTGGCTCATCAAAGGAATTTTTTTAAATTGAAATAATACTTACTTTGTACCAACACTCGGTAATGCTGTATGCCACCAGTTGGAATATGAGTTGTACAACAAGCCAATATACCCATATCACCCAGTTCAATCATTCAAGATATATATATATATATATATATATATATATGTATATATGTCTGCTATCGATCGACAAAAATACTACTTCCTGACGATCCAGTACAAAAACACACACACATATATATATATATATATCCGATATTATATTATTATTATCGATCTTCTTTTTAAAATAAAACTATTTGAAATATATTCTTCCGGTAAAATGATCTGATTAGTGGCAGAATAGTAATTAAGCACCTCTCTTGCTGTATTCCTTTCTGATTTCAAAAGACGAAAAGACATGGAGATAACAAGAGGAAACAAGGGGGTGAGAAAATTTAGACAAAAGGTGTGGATCCGAAAATACCAAAATACTGGTGTACTAAGAGATACTTTATATGTATAATAGAATAGAATTTGATCTCCAAACAGATCCCATTTGTTTACATATATCTATATTCTATCAACCTTTTACAAACTTTACAAGAATAGTACGCCAACTAGATCCGCAACCTCTTTGTCTCGAGATTTATACATTTATGTCCGGATCAGACTCGAGTGCTCTTAAAATGCGCTCATGTAGTATGTAGTATGTAGTATGTAGTATTTTTGAGGAAGGGAGAAAGAGAGAGAAAAGGGGGGGATTAAAGGGGAAGGTTGATCGTCTAGATGAAGATATATGACCAAGTTTTACTTTATTCCATTATGTCTATATGTATGTGTGTACTTCTATTCAGCCAATAACAACACGGACATGTATATAAGAGTGCTGGTAGGTAGGCGAGTAAGTAAATGAGTAAGTAAGTGAGTTAGTGAATGAATGAAACTTATTCTTAGCTTAGTCTCGCTTCTGATCGTCCATTTCTTTCTTTCCTTTCTTATTTTGTTTACGAATGACTGGATGAGTAATTCTGTTTCTTATAAAGAAAAGGTGCATTTTAGGATAAATTATTCTTCATCGGGCCAAGTTTAGCCTTATTGCCACCAAAGAAAGGAGGTGTACTGGGGAACCTGTTGGCTATGAACGCATCAACCATTAGATTATTGAATCATTAGACTATTAAATCATTGAACATTTTCTTATTATTTATTAAGAATATCTACAATATGAATATGAACATTATTATTAATAAATTTAAGGTATTGAATGATTCCGGTTAAAGGAAATTTATATATATTTATATACTTATATACATTTCTTTATTCTTGTGCCGACAAAATTATATATACATACTAATGTTCTAATGTCTATTAGAGATACTCTAGAACCAATTTTTTTTTATTTTGATTTTGATTATGCTTATGTACTTCAAAATAGAAACTGGTCTTGTGGGTAAGTAAGTCTAGGCGTGAGTAGGTGTGAGTAGGTGTGTAGTGAGGGTGTGAGGGTGTGGGTGTAGTGTGCGTAAAGTATAATGGTAATACCAAATATCTTAATCTAAATCTGTGCCTTACGCCCTCATGTGTTTTATTCCCAAAAGTTGATAGTTTAGAATATGCTGTGGCGCGCACGCAAATACGCATATAGAGATCTATGTATACACTTATAAAGGGAGATATATAGTAGGTAGATAAAGAGAAAATAGAGTAAGAACATAAAAATAAACGCTATTTATGAATACAAATAAAGAACCAATAAAGAAAATTAAGTTGTGAAGAAGTTTAATAAACTATTTCTCGTTCTAAAGTCTTGTTGAGATATTACAGGAATTCTGGTGATCTAATTAACTTTTATTAGATCCAAACAGGCACAGGCACAAATGCAGATATATAGATATAAAATATACACAAAAATGAAGTTAAAATGTAATTTATATATTATATTTGTTTCAATCCAGAACCATCTTTTTTTGTTTCAATTTATAAAATGTATAAATACAATAAAAGAAAAAAAAAGATATGCCTTACATATCTTCAAAAAACCGACATCAGGCCCTGCATATTCTAACCTACATGCAGTGACCAATGTAGCCTCTCTATTTCTTCTTTTTAGTCTGAATAAGGTGTGCTGTTATCATTCAAAGGAGAAAGGTCTGGATAGTAAGTAATATAGCTGCTTGTATTCTATGTGTTTATTTATATTTATATATATATATAAAAAGGTAAAAATGGACCCTGGATGTGAGTGAATAAAGAAGAAAACAATTATAAATATATTTATACATTATTATTGCCGGTTCCTTGGAATGAATTCCAACATGAACCATGAGGTGGGGTTAACTTTTAATTTATTTATTTATTTAGTAAAAAGATATATGGAAATGAGGGTGGCTTGTTCTAGAATATTTTTTATTAAAATTTTCATTTTCATTTTATTAATAATTAATAATAATAATAATTATAATATAAATATATGTATATTGTATATATATATAAAATTTTGGAATCACCAGCCCTCCAATATCCGTAAGTTTTTTGTGGAATATTGAAATAGGGCGCTAAGACATTCTCAATTTTTATCTTAACCTGGATAGACACTCTAAACAAATCCATTGAAAGGATTGGCGAGTAACACGCAGGTTTGAGAACAAATTGCCGCACAGAAATTTGTTCGATCCAAAGATTCATAAGTTGCAGCCGCTCCCGGAGTATATATAGTTTCAAATCTTGCACTAACTTGTGGTTCTTACTTTTCATTTTATATTATCGTTTTTTTTGATCTACGTATAATAATGATTTTAGACATCATTAACCTTGGACAGTATGGTGATCTTTTATCTATTACCATAAAAATATTAAATTTATTTAATATAAATATATTTCTTGATTTATAAACTTCAAAAAATAAAAAAAAAAGTTCAAAATTATTACAAGATGTCTATTGATTATTTATTTTAATACTTGTCATTATAATGATGCCAATTGATACAACAATACTATATTTCTGGCGTCAAATTTCTTTCTTTGATTTGCTATAGTAAAGAAAGTAAAGAAGGGAAAAAGGAGGGGGGTTTGAGAAACGGAATTTATTTATTTTTAATAAAGAAAAAATAAATAGAAATCATTCTTCAAATATACATTACAAGAACCAATAATAATAGTGATGATATTGGTATTGGTATTGGTATTTATTAATTTCACTGTCTATTTCTTACTTTTAATAAAGAGAAAAAGAATATATACATATCTCTAAACATATAATCAAATGAATAGTGGTAGTGGTATTCAGTTGGCTGTTTTTTTATTTCATTATTTTTGGGGGTTTTTCAGATGGTTGATTTATAATTTGAAATTTTACTACAAAATAATGATAATTATGATAATGATGGTAATGATGATAATAATCAGCCCACAAAATAAATAGATATAAAATATTTAAATCTACTACAGTGCTTGATAGTGTTTTGCAGTGTTGGGTAGTGTAACGCAATGAAATGCAATGAAATGCAATGCAATGTAATGTAATGTAATGTAATGTAATGTCTATTTATTTTATTTATTTCTTTTAAAAAAACTCAAATGCATTCTGTTGGATTTCTACCAGTTAAATGATTTACGCATAATAGTTAATAGTAAAAATAAAATAAAGAAATATGGTTCCTAAATGGAGAAAACAACCATAATATTTCGGATGAGTTTAATGGATTTAAATCCTATTAACTTCTTCTTCCTACTATTAAGATTTGTAAAGAATATGTATATCAACTAATGTATATAATTTCTACAATCTTGGCATTCAAATAAAATAAATACAATACAATAGACAGTGGCAGAATTGTGGCAGAATTATGGCATAATTTTTATATCATTTTTGTTTTCTTTCTTTTTTTTTAAAATGAAATGAAATAGAAATTAATTACCTGCATTTAATATAAAAGAAAAGGAAGATATTAGCATACATTTACTTATATATTTTGAAGCATTTAAGCTTCAATACCAAGATCCTTGGCGTACAGATTTACGAGCAAATCGTACAGAATCCCCCTTTTCTCTTTCTTTCTTTCTTATTCTTATTACGATTATCATCATTATCACAGAATTAAACCCTTGCAGTAAAATAGAAGTAGTAGTAATAACAATACAATAGGTACTATAGTGTAAGAAATGCAAAGAATAAAATTAAATTAACAGTCATACAGAATGCACAGACACCCATCACATAGAGAGAGAGAGAGAAAATTTTTTTATATGACTGTGGCAATGGGACTCCTTTATTTCTACTTTTCCTCCTATTGTAAAAATGAAAAAATAAAATAAAAAAATTATTGCTGGATTGTCAGTAAGAATTTTACAAGAGAAATCCCAAAATATTTTGTATATTAATTGAAACATTCATTCATTCTTATTTACCAATACGTTAAATGACTTTTGTGAAATTATATTTATGTGCCTTTTTCTCTCTTTTTATTAACAGGTTACACCAAATATCCGGCGAATTCAACCGGGTTCCCAAGAATATTATTGGTTTTATATTAGTCAACAAAATAATGTAATATAAATAAAAATAAAAATTGATCGATTGGTTGATTCTGACAGCCCCACCCTCTTCCTTTCAATTTTTCAATTTTTATATTATTATTAGTTATCTAATGGTCAATTGGTCTATCTTTATATTTCTATATGATGTTTCATCAAAGAGTGAACGTGTTTGGTTTGACTAGTTGGATATAAGATCCAATACTAATAAATCCTAATTTATCCCGGGGATTTTCTTGTTTGTATTGGAAAATAAAATAAAAAAGCTAAAAAGCTAAAAAGCACTCTCTTTCGTTCGATTCTTTTATATATACTCTCACACACACACACACAAAATAGAGTGTTTGGTTTTGAAAGTGCTAATTTGATAATCAACTCACTGTGTGGAGCCTTTTTTTGTTATTTTAAAAAAAAATGAATTTATGAATTCAAATAAATCGCATAGAAAAGAAGACTCCAATTTACAGAATAAAGAACTGTCTATCAAGTGTCTCTTATACTTGTCTTTCTATTCTGCAGCAGTATAGTAAAGACGTGTCCAATAGATTCAAAATATCACTTGTGTGATTTGAAAAAAAAAAAGGCAAAAAAGTACGACGTTGTACATCATCCCGGAAGAAAGGACATTTCTCATCGAGTGTGGGGATCCGTTCAATTCTCCTACTGTCCTTTCGTCTGTTAAAATGTCGCAAATTTTGTGGAGAGAGATGTACTACATCCGATACTTATATATGAATATTGATCTGATGACTTGAGTATATATTAGATAATAATAAATAAAATAAAATATATCGATTCTACCCTCCACCATGGGAAATGCAACGGAGTGTACAAGATACGGGAAGATCAAGTACACCATTGTATTTTTTCCTATATAATGCCAGTCAATTAGACGCCAGAAAGAAATAAAAAATTAAATAAATAAATAATACCATCATCATAATCTCTTAACCTCATTCAAACGAACCAACAGAAAAGAAACATGAAAGCATCTCTTATCCTCATCTCTTGCTGGCTCATCAGCAGTGCCTTGGCCAGAAAGACATGTGTTATCCCTGCTTCCAAGGTCTCCGGGGCCGATGACTCTCTTGCCATCATAGACGCCTTCTCTCGCTGTAAAAAGAACGGCGAGGTTGTGTTTAGCAAAGGAACGACCTACAATGTCCAAAAGGCCATGAATATCACCGGTCTCGATGATGTCCACATCTCTCTCAGGGGAAAGGTCTTGTTTAGCGATGACATGGAATACTGGCAAAAAAACATCTTTGCTCTCAACTTCCAGAGTGCTGGCACCTGGTGGGTTATCGGCGGCCGCAAAATTATCATGAATGGTGGTGGAACTATCGATGGAAACGGTCAAGTTTGGTGGGATGCTCAGGTAAATAATTCTTATATGTATAATCTACTAGAATGCAAACTAAGCCAACTTATTAACCTCATACACACAATACACACAATACGTATATTTTATATAGGCCATCGATCCACGTCCAGTCGCTCTAACATTCGACAAAGTAACCGATCTCAAGGTCGAGGATGTGTCCTTTGCACAAGCTCCTTTCTGGCATCTGTTCGTCCGAGATGCACAAGATGTCATCTTTGATCGAATCAATATCCGTTCAGTCACTAATTCCACCGTAAGTCAATCTATTTTTCTCTTCTACATTTTGTTCGACTAACTTTAGAGCATCTAAGCATAAAAAATTACCCATTTATTTATTGACACAACTACTTAGTTCCCTACCCATAATTCTGATGGCTGGGATCTTTTCCGCAGCTCAAATGTTGTTATCAAAAACTCTGTTATTGTCAACGGCGATGACTGTGTATCCCTCAAGGCCAATGCTACCGACGTAACCATTAAGAACCTGAGCTGCACTGGATCTCATGGCGTTTCTATCGGATCCCTGGGCCAGTACAGTGGAATTGGACAGATTGATGTCGTCAAGAATGTTCTTGTCAAGGATGTCACATGCATAAACTGTTCAAACGGTGCTAGGTAAGACATACACACATATATATATACTTTAAAATCCAAATCAAAAGTCTCCCACTAAACTTTATAAACTATTAGAATCAAGACATGGCCTGGTGGATTGGGATTAGTAGAGAACATTACATTCGACCATATGAATGTCACAAATGTCGACTATCCAGTCATGATCACCACACGTAAGTCTCTTTGTTAAATCTGATCTCATTTTGGGAGGCTTTACTTGCTGTATATACATATATTATCTTCTGCCAGAAGTTTAATTTTTTTTATTATATATTATATTATCAGATTATTGCGACAACAACCAGATGGAATTTTGCTCAGGAGCCGATACTCACTCATTAACAATCAAAGACGTTGTGTTCAATGACATCTATGGAACCATATCTAGCGCCAAAAAGCCCATCGTGAGCCTCAACTGCTCGAGTGAGACTCCTTGCTCAAACATTTCTCTCACTAAGATCAAGATTACCCCCACTGCTTCTACACCAAAGAATGTGTGTGACTATGTTACCGGATCAGAGAATATCTCTTACTGCAATGCCTAAATATACATTACAATCTATTAAACATAATATATACTATTATATATATGTGTGTGTGTACCTGACTAGGTTTTGATTATTGATTTATTTACTCATTTAAAAAGCTGGAAGTCCATCCTAACCTATGGTTTTTTGAATTTACCATATTAAAGTTCATATGCCAAACAAATCAATTGACGTGGACAGACTAAAAGTTCCAAAAAAAAAGGGGCAAAAAAGGGGTAAAACAAGTACATCTTGAACTTAACCGATCAGCTTAATTTATGACTGTCCACACCTTTTTCTTTTTTTTTTAAAAAAAAAAGTTCAAAATTAGTCCAAAATACATATTAGATAAAATTGTACTTATAATCCTGTCTCTGTCATTATGGGAGAACATTTTATGGCAAGTTTTTCTAAATCTCTCATTCTATGGTACATCTTCTCCATGAAAAGATGCTTCTTTTCTTAATCCTAGTGACAATGGAAGAAAGCTAGCTAATTAGAGTCGATTAAAATTCTTGCCCTTTTTTTTGAATTTCTAGTCTGTCCACACCAATTGTTAACCATGAGATAAAGGTACAATGCTATTGTATTGTGTTATCTGGATTATAAAGACCAATTTTGATAGCATAGTTTTTTGTTTTTAATTAACGAAGGAGCCTTTAGCTTTAATAGTAATAATAACAGTCTAGTCATCTCCTGGTTACACACTGTAACGTTAGCTCATATAATTTCATTAGCATGCTCTTGGAGATGAATCGCCAGCTGGATTCTTTTTTTTTTTTTGCTTTGGTTGCACGTTTATACAGCGTATTGTCTTTAAAGGTTAAACAAGTATTTGAAATGGTACAACTGAATACAGATATATCTTTAATTACAAGTTCACTAAAGAGTGCTTTTTTTGATATACATGTTTTTCATTTTCTATATTTCTATTAGCCCTTTACATATATATAATGCTAATAGTCGGAGCCTGATGCTTTATTCTCTCAATTGTATAGAAAGCAAGCTATAATACATAGTAGTATATCATTTAAATAGACTGGTATCAATTATTAAATATACGTTATCTTTTTATACAACTTTCAATTCTGAAATGCAAACAATTTCCACTGCTCTATTCACACCTATTAATGTTGGCAATTCCCCCTTGAGCCACAGAATCGTACATTGCCCTCTGACCCGTATTCGTACCAACGCCGACCGCGTTCCGGTTCCTTTGATGACCGAATACCACAAACAACGCATCTCTGAAGGTGGTTTGCTTATCGCCGAAGCCACGATAATTTCAGAAGACGCCGGTGCTTACCGACTTACTCCCGGGATATATAACGACAAGCAAATTGAGGGATGGAGGAATATAACCACAGTTGTCCATGATAACGGCGGATTTATATATCTCCAACTATGGCATGCTGGACGTGCTGGTGTATCCTCTTTGATACCTGGAAACAAACCTCCTGTTTCTGCATCTGCAATTCCAATTAATGATAAGAATACTATTGGCGAAGATTCTGAAGTTCCTCATGCCCTTGAAGTTGAAGAAATCTCTCAGATCGTAAAGACATACACTCAGGCTGCTAAGAATGCTATTTGTGCTGGATTTGATGGCGTTGAAATCCATAGTGCTAATGGCTATCTTCTCGACCAGTTCATTAACAGCTCGTCTAATGTACGTACGGACCAATACGGAGGTTCAATCGAAAACCGTGCTCGATTTACTCTGGAAGTTGTAGAAAGCGTTTCCAAAGCCATCGGACAAAACCGCACTGGAATCCGCCTTTCGCCTTGGTCAGGATTTCAGGATGTAAAGGATAATACGCCTTATGAGACTTGGGGGTATATTGTAGAGCAATTGCAAGAAAAACACCCTAACCTGGCCTATATTCACTTTGTTGAGCCTCGCGATGATTATGTCAGTGGGCCTAACCCCCGAAAGGATAGAAAGGAAATCATGGAGAAGGACAGTATTGAGCCATTCCGCAAAGTATGGAAAGGTCCACTAATTACTGCTGGTGGATATACGACAAATCCCAAGCGTGCATTTGAGACTGCTGAAAAACTAGATAATACGTTGATCGGTTTTGGTCGTACGTTCATTGCAAACCCTGATCTTGTTCTTCGTCTCAAGAATGACTGGCCCCTAAATAAGTATGATCGCTCTACCTTTTATGGAGGAGACAGTACCGGATACACTGACTATCCTTTCTATAATTCTTCCGCAGCTAGTGATATTTTAAAAAAAAATTAGCTTGTTACTATACTAGCGTTATCTATACCATCTATTAGATGCATTTCTCTTATTCTCAAATATCTTATTGTGTATTTAATACGTTAAGCTTGTTTCACAAAATACAATAAAGTGAAATTCAAATAAAATATTGTGATGCTTTTGAAGCTACTATATTTAATTATGCACATTTTTATCAGGTATTTTGATACACCTCTACGCACAGGTCAGGGCACATTGTAAAAATATCATGTATAGTATAAAAATTAGGCTGACACATGTTTAAGCACGATGTTTGGTGTCAAAACTTGTTTTTACGTGCAAGTGTACCATAAGCACAACTTTTTAATGGAAAGGCAAAGATTTTTCTATAAAAAAAAAGAAGACACATTAAATTAGATACATGATAAACTACTAATAGATATAAAGGCAGTGAAGCTCAAGTCCCCCCCCCCCCCCCCGATATTTGGATACAGTTAGAACGCACATATATCACATCTTTATGATAACAATCCAGACATACCCTCATAATCCATGCATATAGGAGCATTCAGCCAAAAACTTGTACTAAATTTTAAAATCAAGGCTAAAATACTATTAGACATCTAATTTTATACCCTCGCAATTAAAGAAATCCTCAGGATATAACAAAACCATGCCAAAAGACTGCTTGAATTTCTGGAGCAGGTTTTCTTAAACACATACTGTAATTTATGCCACTACACCTTTTTAGTAGCTACTCTCATTATCTAGCCACTGATTGTGTCAAGACTACTACTGTCTACCCTCTTTCCGGAAATTATTAGTGTAAAAATAAAAATAAATTTTGGTGCATTTTTCTACCATTTCTCTGCTTAATGCATCTTTTTTGGTGCACTTGGTGCATTCCATTTTTGCACCAAATCAATTTTTATTTTTTGTACCAATAATTTCCAGAAAAAGTGTATATAAACATTATTGTGGAGTGCTTCGGATTCATAATGAAAATCATTCATTATGTATAATATTACAAAAGTATTCCCAAATATAAATATATACTAGGGCTTTTTATTATATATAGTACAAAACAAAGTTAAAATGATTTAGTTATTTTTTTTAAAAAAAAAAAACTACTCCCACAAAGTGCAATGTTATATGTGAAATCCCATTATTTAATTTTCACTCGCCGACCTTTTTTGCTACTTTATTTGTAGCACATAAAAAATAGACAGTTTAGTAAGATTTTTTCTAAAGTAAGATTTTAACTCCGAAGTGGAAAATTTTTGCGTTTTTTATTATACGACATTAGGAGAAACAATATTTTCAAACACCGTCGCATTTTTTTTTGTGTAGGAGAATTGCTAGCCTCACAAAAATGCTACGCTCCCAGGTGTTTTTAAATTACTAAAAACAGCTTAGACAGTTTGAGTTCCAAAAATGCCCTGCAATCTACCAAAAAGATTTGGCATTTGAAATTCAAATTATTTATTTTATTTTCTTTTCTTTTCTTTTTATTTTTTTACGAGTTTTCAATTAGTCTTTTATTTTTTATTATTATTTGCCAGCAAGTAATTGACCCTCTTATTCCAATTATAATTTTATTTAAATATTATACTGCATTGCAATAAAGGTATTTATGTTTGATTTCGGATTAGTATCTCAATATTAGAAAAAATTAATACTGTGAGAGTTTTATTTATTAAAGAAAGCTAAAATAATATTCGAGGTGCTCGGAACTGATCTTGGGTTAGTATCTTAAGATTAGAAAAATTAAATACTGTGAGAGTGTTATTTATTAAAGAGACAAAACATTAAGTATATATATCAATCGATAAAGACTTTCTTTTTCTTACTATTCAATTTGCCTCTCTTGATATTTGTACTTCCGCTATGCTACGTCTGGCACACAAAATCTACCCACACACACATAAATCTACCCACACACACAGAAATCTACCCAGGCACACAGAAATTCATTCGGACACACATAAATTTACTCGGACACACACATTTTTTTTGTGATGAATTCATAGACCTATATAAAGAATAAATTAATAAATAATTAGCATACTTTTTGAAAGTAGGGCTTTCCCTTTCCCTTCAAGTTTTATGCAACTCTTCGTTGTGGAAAGCTTAGCTACTATATTACAATTAAGGTGTAAAAATAAGTCGAGCAGTTTATTGAATGGATAGTAGACTTTAAGTGATGTGGTTGTAAAATAGTTAAAAGATTTGCAGAGAATCTAAAGGCAGATCCCAAGTTACGTGCTTATATTCCAACTTTTTAAAGATATAGATATACAAAATTTTATTTTATTATTTCCAAAATAATTAATGCTTTTGTTCTAATTTTTTATCCAAGCAAAGTATTTATAAAAAAAAGTATTGCTCATAAGTATTGGTATCAATATATGTGTGGGGGTACACCAGTTTGGTCTTATGCACTTTCCGAAGCTTATAATGACAAAAAGTCGGTAATTGAAGAGACATTTAACAATTGTAAGCTTGCTTGACTCTCCCGGGGATGTATGTTTTCATGTTGACTAGACCTATGGGAAAGAAGGAATGTCAGTACCAACACAAACAGCAAGAAATTAAAAGCTATCTTGGCCATTTTCGTCATGTCCTGCTTCTTGACCAAAGTGGAGGTTAATATCGCTCAGCGCCAACTATATGAGGGACTTTATTGGTATAAAGCTCCCAGCCACACACGAGCCGAAATTTAAATGCGTAACAAGATGTTTGGTTTTAAGAGACTCAGACTAAGCAGGTAAGATGTTGGAACATATGTGACATGTATTGTGTAAAAAATAAAATCAGAGAAGACAAATTTTGCTTTCTCAAAATTAGCCAGAACAGATGACCACGCCACTGATGTTATACTTCATAAAAGTGTGTAAATAATTACGAAAGACTTTGCTCATTATTCCAACCAAGATGTCCCCATAAAAAAATGCTGGAAGATGCTATGACCCGTAAAGGTTTGAACAAGGTCTCTCTTTGTGCATTATTCCAGCCGTAATAAAGTATTCGCTGGCTTCTATGGTTGTTGGGACACCCATCATCAGCTCAGACGGTGCTCCGCCAAAGAACAGTATACTTGGACAGAATCAAGGGAATTCATTAAAAGATATAAAGAGAAAGGATAGCTGCTGAAGATATGAGCGCCACCTTTCTCAATATAGCAGCAGCAATAACAGTGAACATATGTACTTGCCGTCAATATGTCACTTTTCTCTCTTTCTGCATTTTATTTTTGTTTCGTCTAAGAAAAACCAATATCGTTTCAATTTCAAGTATAAACAATGTGGCTATAAATAAGTGAATATCTCAAAGTGGATGCTATATTTATCTCATATCCATGTGTTCCTTTATAATGAGAATGCCATTCAATGGGTATTTTCTTTAGTTCCATGGTTTCTATAATGTGTGATATATTTATAATCAAACAGCTAAGAAAGAGCTTAATTTTATCTATTGACGTATTTTACATATTACTCTGGTATTGGGACTGAGGGTGTAGAAGTATATAGACAATATGAACAGCTTCCTCATTCGAAAACATTATTTATCTTTTGATTTCTGTTGGCTGTAGGAAATAATAAAAGTCCTTATTAATTTTATATCCCTTTCATAATCTCGGGTGTAGCAACAAATGGTCCGTGTAGCACTAACCATGGGTTTCCTTTTAAATCTTGGTCTCCGTCTGGTGATAGTATTTGACACATACATATATTTATGTTGAAAAATAAAATTTTGGATAATATAAGCTTATAATCAAAGAAGAAGGAAAAACGTGTGGTAATGATGCTTAGAATGACTTGATTATGAAACAAATAATATGCATAAATGGTGCACTGTGTCCTTCTTTGGTCACAAGAGGTACTAAGAATCAATGTCCCAACCCGGAAAATAATTGCGACATTTGTTGACTGGAAATTCTCGCCTTCTTTTCTTTTCGAGGTTTCTGGTAGGTTGAATGGTGTCCCATCTGCCACCTTGTCTACCGCTCATATCCTCCTTAACCGACTCCGGAACGAGATCGCTCTTGACCACGGGTCAATTTAGTTTCTGTCCCCCTCCCATACTACTTCCACATATAAAACAAAATCACAAAAACAATTAGAAAATTAGAAAACCCAAAAATAAGCTGTGACCACCTTTATTACCTAGTAGTGTAAAGCTTCACCCAATAAAACAGAGCCTTCGGCTCCTTATATAAAAAATGGTAGGTTGAATGGCGCCTAGTTGGGTCATTGAATAGAAGAAATAACAGTTGGGTAATTTTTTTTTTCGGAACATTGGTGGCATAAAATTGAAGTAATCATTATACATAGACTTCATATACTGCCAAGACCATACTGAGTGCTCATTTTGAAGCCTTTCTTTTTATAAGCCTTTTAGAAAAACCTAGGGTGGTACTAAAAGCCATTTATCTTCTATTCTCCAGCTTGTCTTTTTTTCCCGGCCACACACAACAGCTTTCCGATTTTGGCTTCTGGTTTTTTTTTTCGGAGATGGATAGAAAACTAGTAGGAGGCATTGCTGCACAATATAGCTCATTAAATTACCAAAATATACTCCTTGTACTTAACGTGGTCAAGTAAATAAATGTATGTATATTTACATACTTGGCCAACCTAATGGTGCCTTATGCCATATTAAGTCATTGTTTTTATTGGATTTGAAATGAAAACGCAAGATTCAAATCAGCCCAGATTTCAAATTTAGAACAAGATCATGACATATGTAATTTATATACATATTCCAGAATCTTTATTTATTTATAGAATCTCAACCCTTTCCCTGACTTTTTATAAACGTATTTTTTTTGTATATAAAGAGGGTCGCTTTATGGCCCTTCTCTTTTCTCAGCATCCTTTTCTTTCTATCTCTCTATCTCTCTATCTATCTATAAGCTTATTAACTAGTTAGAGTGTTTAATCCTATAAAGAAAAACCCATAGTCTTTTATATCAACACTCGAATATACAAACAAACGAATGAATTAAGAGACGAGCGAACTAACAAACTAACAAAATAACCAGCAAACGAACGGACGAACGGACGAACGAACGAACGAACGAACGTACAGACGGACGAACGGACGGACGAACGATTGAACGAATTGACGAAGATACGAACGAACGATTGAACGAACGATATTCATCTCACCAACCTTATATAAAACAAAAAACCAAAAAACATACCATGATTAACAAGCAAGAAATAAATAAATAAAATATTATTAACCTTGAATAGGTGCAGTAGATATCCTTTTGTGTCACAGTATATGCTACAGGTTCATTAAAGGTAAATGACTTTCTAAAAATGTTTATTATGCTCTTTATTTTCTAACCTATTCACATAGACAGACTTACTCGACTTCTCCACCCAAGCACATAAAAATGTATCCTGTGAAATTCAGTAGAACTTTTCACTTTCTCTAGGGTTCCCTTAGTATAATCAATTACAGACTTGTAGTAAACAAGAAATGGTAAATAAGTGATTAAGTTCCCAAGTTCTACAGTATGTTTAACCAATTTTTTCTCCTTCTTTCTTTGATAGCCTCAGTCTGTTACAGCCCAAACTACTATTTGGATCAATTTTTCTTATTTTTTAATTGGAATATGAAATACAAATAATGAAAATAATAAAAATCTACCCAAATATTTAATTCTATATTTTATACAATTTATTTATATATATATTTATTTCAAAAATGACACGCAAAAATAAAATAAGAAAAAAAAAACATTATGAAAACATAAAAACATTCTTTTGGGCAGTGCACATTTTCTTTGCACGATCTGTTCCCACAATACGCTCTAGTTTCATAAAGTCATACTTGGAAAATACAGCAGTACAAGATAGTGTGGCTTCTTCTGATGCACTTGCTTCATCAAATTTAAGTCCCAAGAAATTCACAATCTCGGTGTAAAACACTGGGTTGTCTGGCAAGCCGTAAAATACTACATGGAATGTACCTCGAATGTTATATCTACACAGTGTCACAAAACACATTAATATCATTATCATCAAATTAATACCATTGATTCTTTATTTACCTTCTGAAAAAGTGTAGTCGCTCTGTATACAACATGAAACTTGTATGACCGTGGAAAAAGTTTGATCTTGCACGGGTAATGGCTGGTCCAGATGCATATCTATACAATACACTTTAAGTAATAGAAACGATATATAGATATATCATAAACATACTCAGAGCATGCTTCATGGGAGAACAAATTGTCCTTGAGATAGTTGCGAACTCGAACAAAATCAAAATAGGATGGGATGAAAATTAGGGTATGGGATTGTGTGATGGCTGATCTACGGAGGGACGGAAGAGTCTGTAGAGTAAATAAACAAATAAATGAGTATTTTGACATTGTGAATCACTACTGCTTGGTAAAGAACAACTTTATTTCTTTTACCTTTTCAATAAAGTATTTGAATCTTGTATCATCAGAGGTCGCCAGCGAAGTAGAATCAATGCGTGTAAAGGTCTTGATATGAAAATAATAAAAATAAATAAATTGTTAGTCATTTCCTAAGAAAAAAAAAGATTTATATCTTTTTACCTGTTGTACTTGGGGAATCACATTCACAATTGATCCCTCGTAAGTTTGCTTGATCTTGAGTTTCCCAGATACGTTTTTCATGTACTTGTTAAACATAGCATTCAATTCTGGGGTCAAGAATTCAGAAAACACGAGGGTTTGACGAAGATATTTTGCCCTAGAAAAACAAACCATGATAAGATAGGGTAGTCAGCTTACATTAGGACGCATATGAAAGTATGATGGGTTTGGACTTACTTTCCATCAAGATACCAGCTTTTGATTCTTGAGATATCACAACCATGGGCATCCTTGGGAATAAGGTTAAGGTGATCACAAATATGCTATTTTTAAATAATATTAAGCATAATTAGCAAGTGCAATAGCAAGAAAAAAAAAGTAAAATCACGAAAATGGTCCCACATTTAATTCATAGTATTTACCTCGATATGTTCCCAGTTCTGCATCAAAAAGTGGTTGGCTTGATCAAACACAACCAGCTCAATCGATGACAAAAAGTCAAAATCACGTTTCTTGTCTCTGTTTCAAAGATTTATATAAAATTAGATACATTGAAACATTCGTGTGTTTATGTATCTGCATTTTTCTTCTCTCAATATTTACCCATCAGTACCAATCACAGTACGTAAACCAAGGGGAGAAGCAATGATGATATCAGCACTGTAGAAATCAGAGTAAATGTTAAGGGTCTTTTTGGTGAACTTGAGTCCTAATCGGAAATGATCGTCAATGTTTCCCTTGAATGTCTCCAAGTGGTCTGCAGGCTTGGACTCATCAACAGACTCCTCTTCACGCAAGTTAAATTGGTCGTAAAATTTCTTCTTGTTGTTCTGTTGCTCAAGTATATAAGTTACTGTTACTTTGAAATAGACTTTATACTAAGTTTACCTGCTGTTCTGTACCCGAAAGCTCAATCAATGCATTTACAACATCTACTGCCGCATTTCTGAAAGGGAGGATAATCAATACCCTTGGGCGAGTAAAGCCCTGATCACGAACTTCTCTGTTATTATAAAGTAAATTGTTAATATATATATAAACATTTTTACATTATAAATCAATCAATCGATTATCAGTTAGTTGGTTAGTTACCCAATGTCTGCATCCTCTTTTTGGGCCTTTGCAATCTTAGAGTTGTTTTTCATGACACGGTCGCGGGTCCTTTTTAGAAATAGAGTGCCATAAGTTTCACAGTACTAAATAAACAAGTCAAGTCATACACTTCACCAAGCATCAACTTACTTGGCAACATGATTAAGAACATGCATCGCATAGACATTTCTGATCGCCTTTGCGTTATCAATCGTACGGTTGCAGTACATGATATCGCGATAATGGTTGGCATGGTCGAAAAGACGCTCTTGAAGAGGAGTAAACAACTTTTTCTCTACAAATAAACACTTGATTATTTAGACGGATTCCTGTTATATATTCATCTATTTATCTTATTCTCTCTGTTATTAAACCTACTGCTTTTGACAACGTCCTTGTTTCCTTTCTTCCATTGGTTGGCAATACGTTCTTTTACACCAGCTTCCTCAAGACTCTCAATCTTATGGACTTCCTTGATAGATTTATCCTCTTCAGTAGTGTAGCTCACAACTTCCTTTAATGCCTCATCTTCGAATGCCTGGGCAACCCACTTTTTTTGTTCAATAAGAGCAATCTTTTGATCGAATGATTTTGGTTGCTCATCGGCAAGACGGCTTTCGAATAAGTCGGCTAGCAGACATCAAACTTGGTGATTAATCCACAGATCAATATACCAACCCACACACATATATAGTTATCCTTACCTTTTAAAGCCTCTTCATCATCACTAGACTCATAACCACCAATCTCTTCTTCCTCTTCTTCCTCTTCTACAACATCTTCATCACTGTGGTTATCCTCTTCTTTTACTTCTTCTGATTCTGAATCTTCAATTCCATCTTCCAAGATATCTGGATATAGATATATACACCGTTAGGTTTAGCTGAGTGCATGCTTTGAATTGTTCCTGAATCAATATATATATATATGCGAACCTTCTTCTTCGATTTCTTCATCCAACTCTTGTTCCATGTCTTCTTCAAGTTCTTCGTCGTCACTCACAATATCTTCTACACCTTCTTGTTCACGCTGGATTTTTTTGTAGAAATCTTGATGCTGCGATGTCTTTTTCAAAGAGCCGACTAGCATAGAGTACGCAGAGGGCTTTTGCCAGTCTTCCTCGTCTTCTTCATCGTCAGTTGATTCAAACTGTCTCTCTTTACGTTCACGATCTTCATCCATTTCACGATCCAGATCTTCCTCAACTACAACTCGTCGAATGCGCCTAAATACACCAAAGTATCAGCATAAACTCGTCTCTCTAATTGTTTGTGTGCGTCTGTTGTATATATATGAATATATATATATATTACTTCTTGGGTGCTTCGTCTTCTCCACTATCCTGTTCTTGTTCTTCTCTGTCGCCATCCTCATCAGCGAAATCACGAGGAACAAGTTCTCCGTAATCGAGCATATCCTGTTTTTGCTTTCTCGACAGGTTTCCATATTTGGTAGGTGCTTCTTTACGCTTGGAATTAGATTTTGCGGAAGAAAGGCCCGAGACATGTTGAGTAGCCGATTTGCCCTTCTTTGGCATGCTTTTGCTAATGGCTGATTTTCCCTTTGCCATTGCTATTTTATTACTATTATTGTCTTTAGTGTAATGTTAAATGTCACTTTTTTTTTTTTTTTAATGTGAATGAATCCCTTTTTTGCTTTTTCGAGTAGCTATTTTGTGACAAGCGTACTGTGACTTTTTCAGGTTTAAGCCTCCGTTTGGCTGCCCTGTCTGGACAAATTTAGGTTCAGCGCAAATGCAAAAAAGAAAAGAAAAAGAAAAAGGTTGACAAGGAAACCAATATGACTTGCTATTATCAACTAGATAATAAAGAAGGGACATTGGAGAATTGAAGTAGCAAGACTATCAATATTAAAGAGTACAAATATTGAGAATCTTTAATTAATTTGTCTATTAAATAAAAAAAAAAGTAGATGGGAGTATCAACTGAAGACATGGCATATAATGAAAAAAGAAAAATGAAAGCTTACAAGCTCATTACTTAAAAAAAAGCATAGTGATCACTTTGTGCCCAATTCTAGTCCTGTAGTAAGTGTCGAGTTAATTAAATTAATTTCTTTAATGATATGCTTATTTAATGTAAACTGATCTAAAAACAAGAATAATATTCAAAAATAACAATACAAATCGGCTTAAAATGCCTACTGTTCTTCTCTTCCTTTGCTACATACATTGCAGTAAAAGGTCCCTATTATCTTAAGAAGCCTTCTAGACATGTTTAAAGGAAAACAGTCTGGACGACTAATTCTGTGTCACCCAGGTTTCCTGTATAATTTTTGAAATTGAAACAAATTAATTTTTTTTAAAAAAAGAAGCCCCAAATATAGAACATTCGCTTGGAGACAAAGCATTAAAAATAAGAACTAAAGCGATGATTTCCCACAATAATTATAATAAATTAAGATATATTTATTTGATTATTAGTAATATTATATTTAATGGTATTTTGTGTATAATTTAGCAATTCATTAATAAAATTTTTAATCATTATTTTGCCTTGAATTTCAAGTAAGATTAATATATATATATTATGTATGTATCTACTCTTTGAAATAATCACATTCCGCCGGCAGAACTGTTGTATAATATTACCTGAATGGAGCTAAAAGAACCAACAGAGAATCATATTATTAGGTGGATAGTGTGTTGGTTGAGTAAGAAGCTAGAATCTGAAATAGGGAAACCCAAGGAGAAAGCTTAGTACTCTAGATTGGCTAATGGTGTCTATTATGGCAATAATACATGGGCGTCATTGTGAAACGTGCGTAAAGATACAAAGGAACACACACAAAAGACTAGCTTATTTTCATCAATTTCCGCTGTAATATACACACATATAAAAAAAGAGACAAAGAGAGAGAGAGAGAGAGAGAGAAAAGTAATCGGATCGCCAACCTTTGGGCTGAGAAAGAGTGTCTGGAACCGATGAGACGTGTTTTTGCTTTTTGCTTTGCTTTGCTTTGCTTTGCTCTATAAAGGTACGCGATTTATATTCTTATTATTATCGTTTTGATTGGTTTTAAAGTCTTTAATATGTATAGAGCCATGCTTATGGATCCGTATTATCTTTTTACTATCAAAGTACATGCTCTAGACTTTGCCAAGCCAGTTTAGACTGACCACAAGTATGATCTGAGAAAGCTAAAATGGGTTTTATGGAAGCATAGAGACCATGACGCATGCCATCTTTTTTTTTAAAGTAAAGTAAAATAAAAATCAATAAAAATGACAGGTTCAAAGTCTTATTCTTTACGTCAGTACAACATCAGCTTTGTGAAAAACGTCAAAAGGAATTACTGTTAAACAAGGATACTTTCACTAGTTCAACTTGTTTAAATGACGTATGGTATGAATTCATCAGAACTAATACCTTTCTCAAATTTTCTTATAAAAAGGGCCAGTACTTTGACTCAATCAACAAACATTATTGCATCGACAATTCTATAACTTTCTCTTAAAAACAAATCTATTCAATATGGTCAACTACGTTCCCTCCGGCTACTTCTTCATCGCTTCCCAGTTCAACGGCAAGGTCCTTGACGTCGAGAAGGCCTCCACCAAGGATGGTGCCAAGATCTGTGTCTGGGCCAAGAAGGATACTGACAGCGACAACCAGCAGTGGGAGTACCGCAATGGTCACCTGATCAACAAATACTCTGGAAAGGCTCTTGATATCAAGGGCGGCAAGATCAAGCACGATACCCGCATTGTCCAGGAAGACATCAAGGAGGCCTCTGAAGAAGCTGATTCCCAGCGCTGGTTGATTGATCCTCAATACTATATCCACACTGCTGCCGACACTTCCTTGGTTCTTGACATTCGGTAAGACAATTTTTTTTGATTGCAGTAAATATCATCAAACTAACATTAAATAAATAGTGGTGCTGAAGATGAAGATGGTGCCGAAGTCATCCTGTACGAGAAGCGTGAAGGCACTGCTTCCTCCAACCAGAGATGGAACCTTATCCCTGCCAACTAAAAATATTCCCTCCCTTTATCTTATTTTTGTTTCTTTACCCGGCTACATTTAACTTTTATTTGCACATATGAAAAAAAAGTAACTGTAGTCAATTGCAAATATATATATATATATCAAGTCTTTTCTTGCGCTCTTGTCAATAAAATATTCCCAATCGCGTTTACTCTTGAATGACTCTATTAATTGAACAACAACTTGATGTCCACAAAAAATACTACTTGGTAAAGTTGTATAAAATTATACCTATTTATATAGGTGTTATATTGAATATTATGTGGTCAGCAATAGTTTTAATATAATCGTTTGATTTAATGCTATTTTAGTTGAACAAAAAGAATAAAGAATATAAAGAATATAAAATATATAGATTTAAAGTAATCAACTATCTAGAGACATCAATCTCCATCTCTCAATGTTTTCTATTGGGTCCAAAGTCATACTGACGGTCTCACGATTTACTTGCGGTGGCGCACTATTGGACATAATTCTTCTCATATACACCGGCATCGACGACCTTCTGTCTTGCGGACTATTGTCATCTTGAAACAATACCTCTTCCATCTCTTCCTCCTCGTCATCTTCTTCATCATCAAATATATCGTCGTAATTGTCCAAGCTAGCCATATCTCCATCCTCCTCCCAAGCCGTTTCTTGGATATTTTGTTTTGTAGGAAGTCGAGCATCAACAAAGGGATCATGTACTGCATCAAAGAAGCAATCTTCATCATTACCGCCATTATCCCATAATTGTTGTTGGTGTGATGGTACTAGTGGTGGGACTGATGATTGGGTAGTAATACCTTTGCTTGAATCTTGAAGTTCATTCTGCCAGTTGAGCATGTCACTTAGTGAGTTCTCAACCCAATTTCCACTTCTGAAGCTGTAAGACAGTGGGTGAGCAGCAGGCCGCTCGGGTATCATGGGTGCATTTGGAGGAATGTATGATTCTGGGAAAACGAGCGTATTAGAGCCAGACACGCTTTGAGAAGACGACTGGAGACGACTGCTACTACTATTAATATTACTACTGGTCTCTAACGGATCAGATGGCGAAAGTTCAGCCCAGGGACGTAAAAGTGGCTGAAGAAATCTTATATAGGAGTCATACAAGGTTGGGTGCGGGCAACTACGAAGAGCCTGTTATTAAAAAATAAGAATTTATAAATAAATATACACTTTTATGAACAAGGAATGATAAGCATATACTAGCAAAGCATACCTTTGAAATCTTGTCAAATCCAGACAGCATGATCTCTAAGCGCACTTTCTCTTGTTCTCTTGGAGTAGTTTCACCCCTGTAGGTAGTTGGTGGAGTGGTGACAATGGTGCAAATAAGACGAAGGTGGGTTATCTGATGATAAAGAAGATATTTGTTTAGTTTACGTTTAAGCAAAATAATAATTAAACTATCATCTTACCAGGTGGTCTACTACTCCTTCATCGACCATAACTAGGCCACCTTCTTCCGGATCTGCTTGTGCTGAGCATGATGAACCTGGGGACCCATCTGATTTGGCTCTTTCTTCCTGCGATTTTAATTTTAACTGGCGGAACGCACTCTCAAACTTGTAATCCAAAACTTGGGCCAAAAATGTAATTGGTTCAATGTGGCGATCAACAGTGTACTGAATTTCTCGCATCCAGGCTGTATAACGAGGTTTTGGGGAATCCATGTCGGTCTCAGATATGCCTCCTGGATGGTCCTCGTTCTCCAGAATAACCTTCATTATCTCCTGCGGATTTGTTTTAAGGGACATCCGGAACGGCAGATCTGTTTTACTTGATTGCTCACAGCCAGTCTCGTCTAGGATGCGATCAGACGGACGATCAAGCAAGAGCTGGCGCAGGATATCATAACCATGAACATACTTGGAAGAATTATGGGTCGGCTTCGTCTGAAGCGTCGTAAGAGTACAAAGAATGTTGAGAAACAACGCACGAGTGATGATGTCTAGTCCATAAACACCCTTTTGCTTTTGGTTTGAGGGCCCGAATAAAAGATCTCGAATGTGTTCAAGGCCAATTGGGTTCATCAATACGCGCTCAGTACCAGATTGCTATAGACAGTAGACAAGACAATATATATATATATATATAAATCCATAGGACCAAATATAACATTAGATGTCATTTAATTTCTCTAACCTCATGGGTCATAATAGCCTTGAAGCATTTTGCCAACTGTTGAAGAAACTTGTCATCTTGGGGTCTCCTAAAATTCATAAACAAAAAAATGTGTATACATCAGCACCCCAAAACTGTCAATTTCACGGGATTTGTTGATACTCACTTCTTTGGAATCTCTTTCATTTGACGGAAGAGGTCCGAGAGGGCCTCATATCCACCTAGACTTAGGAACTCTGTAGTCCAACTAGACAATCAATTAGACATCTTCTTTATTCTTGTTCCAAAAATTAAAAATCAAAGAAATATAGAATCGTATTGCATTTCTTTCTTTCTTTTTTACTTTACCTTGCTACCACACTTCTCAAAAATACTCTAAGGTCAGCCACGTCGTTTTCTTCGAGCTCTCTGACATGTGTCTCTCTAAGGACTGTTACAAAGTACTCTGGTGTACTTTTCATCTTGCCGCGAACTGTCCGGTGATTTGTATCACCATGTGAACCTCCAGCCAGAAGTGACGTATTTTTTCCACCACGGGAAGTACCCATTGACTTTGTGTTCGAGGAAGTAGCCGTGGCCGTACTTGTAGATCCATTCGACTTTTGATATGAGGCCGATGAACGATTTGCCATTGAACTGTCGTCTTTATCTGAAGGCGAGAAGAATTTTCGATCACGCACATTCGAAGGTTGTCCTTTTGATTTGCGATTGATGCCAAGTGTTGCAGCAAGCGAGAAAGGAGATGATGAAAAGGTCGAGTTTTTTCGTAGGAGCATACGTGACCGAGACGATTGTAAGAGTACGGATTTTTGTTCGGTAGTGAGCTGAGTAAGATTTGGCTTGAGACTGGTTGGTAAAGCATATTCTTGCTGTACTAAATAATGTTAGAAACTTTGCTTTTTTTTTTAAAAAAAAAAACATTCAGGCCAAGGTAAAGTTTTTTTTTATCTTCTTTTAAATTAAAAAAGAGTTACTTGCCAATAATAATTCAAATGCTTCATTGACATCGTCTGGACTAAGTTTGGATAGTTTTCTCAGGGGTATTGTTCGTCCAGGCGACTGTTTGACAGTTTTAGAGCTAGATGATGATGGCGGCGGCGAAGGTGGCTGTTCAACTGGGGCGATAGAAGTATGAACAGTTGGATTATCGAGACAGACAGTGCGCAGTGGCGGTGGCGTGTTTGGATTGATTGGTCGGGCAGAATGGTTAGAATGCATAGAGAACATCGAGTCTACCCTCGAAGCTGTTTCTATGTCTTGTATCATCGGCTCATGTGGTTGCAGATAGCTAGGTTCCTCATCAGGCTCTTCGGGTGACAGGTCAGGTTCGCCTGTAGTGGGTGATCGAACTCTTCGATTATGCTGAAAGAAGAATCCGGATACCCGATGAAGAAGTTTGTTAGGATTGTTGGCCAAGGCAGAAGGGCCCGGGGAAGACGGAGGGGAATCTGCAGGAGATCCCATGGGATCCGAAGCACTGGATGATGCCTTTGCTTTACGCTGTGCCATGGAATATAATGAATTAGTAAGAAACCGAGAAATAGAGAAAAGAGAAAAGAAGAAAAAAAAACAGAAAGATAGAGAGGTTCAAATAGGGTACAAAAAAATGACAATCGTTTTGTTTGATTGTTTTTCCCTTTCCTTTTAAGGGTACTTTCTCTCTCTCTCTCTCTCTCTCTTAGCAGAGGACGGTTGATATTTACCATTTACCATTTACCGTTTAATATTTGTATTGTATTGTATTATATTTTATTTTATTTTATTTTATGCCTTAATCTTTCTTTTTTTTTGTGGCTACCATATTCAGTGCTCAGGATTTCCATATACAGGAAAGAAAGTCTTTGAAACAACAGTTATCCAAATAAAGGGATATTATATATCTTTATTGATTATTGTTTATTGTTTATTGGCAGTTAACCAGACTTGCCACAATAAGGTCATTAAAGAATATAAGTAAAGAAGTAAATAAATAGATAGAGTAAGCGTATATATATTTGTATGTATATATTTGTATGTATGTGAGTTGTCTGTTCTTTTTTTTTATGTAAAGGATTGAAGTGTATTTCATTGTGAAAACAGTAATTAGAAGAGAACAAGGAAAGCAAAGAGAATGAAGAGAAAGAAAAGGAAAAAAATAATTAAAGGGAATGAATTAAACCAATTGATGTGTAGTAATATAAACAGAATATAAAGTAGTATGATAAATTAATGAATGTCTTTAGTGCGACTTCTTCTTCTGAAGAGATCCCATGCGTGAGAGAGTTTGGAATATTGAGAGACCAGCAAGTATTCCGCTCGTAGACTTCTTGGGTGTTGTGCCAGCAAGAGGTATCATGGTTTCTTCTACCTTATAAGGAGCGTCGATGATTAGATTAGCAGTGGGTGTTACAGGAGAAATGGAGGAAGTGGTGGATGAAATTGTAGAGGCAGGTGAGGGTGGAACGATCGCATCTGTCTGTGCAACATATTGGTGATTTGGTATTGGGCGGAGGTCAAGCTTTCGAGGCTTCGGCACCTGTCGTTTAATGTTTTTGTGGGGAGATGAAATGGGAAGAGGTGTAGATTGGATGTGAGGTCGACTCAGTGGCTGACTTAGTTGACGGTTGAGTGATTGCTGGTTTAAGTTGCGAATAGGCAGCGGTTGGCTAGATTGGCGGACAAGAGTTTGTTGTAGTGGTTTATTCTGGGCAATTGCAGCTGCAGCTGCAGCTGTTGATTTAAATGATTCATAGCCAAGAGTACTGGTGATAGGCTGCTCAAAATGATCAATGCTGGCTGCCTTCTTGAACGATTCGTAGCTGGGTACAACTGCGTGTGTGGATATCGGTTGAGTTTGACTCATCACAGACCGCTTGAATTCTCCATAACTGGTGACCTGGTTTGGCTGGATCAAATGGCCAGGCCAACATTCACTCATCATTGTATCCAATTTTGACCACGCATCCATTCTAGCCGTCTGTTCTGACTCATACTCGTGTACTGTGGGTGGTTCGACTGAGAAACTCACTTTACGGCCACAGGAGGGTCTATTTCTGATGGAGCCCTTGCGTTTTGTGATTGTGGTTGTAGTTTGCGTGGGTTTATCAGGGGGCGTGTTTTGTCTGAGTATATCGGTATAGAATTGCTCTAGATCTATACGCTTTGAACGACCATAGGAGCTTGGCCATGCAGTGGGATCAATGGGGCCAAGAGTAGCAGACATGTTTATTGAATAGATAAATAGATGAGATATAGTTGGAAGAAGAGGTACGGGGGGGGGGGGGGGGTTTTGGAAAAAAATATCAAGGGCCCTGGACTTTTTTCCTACCAAAACCCTGTGCGGAAACTGGGTTGTGGAAGATTCCACCATTACCACCAGAGAACCAACCATCCGGTTTATTAAAGGTTTTTAAAGGAATTTTCCCAATATTAATAATTTTTCCAAAAAAAAAAGGTGGCATTTTAAATTATTTTTATAAACCCAAATGGGGGGGAAAAAATTTGTCGGGGAAGTAAAAAAAAGAGGGGATGGGGATG